TCTCCTGGAAGGGTGAAAACAATGTAAAACCAAGAACTCAAGATGGGAGACTTTTGCTGCTAATTACGATGCTCCATCAGCTCGAGAAGCCCCACTTGCCACGGTCAACCAGGGACTCAATGTTTTAAGCCAGTCCTGGCTAGCTGTGGCTGCAGTAGGACCGGCATGGAGAGCTGATCTGGTGGTAGGTGATTTAGCAGACCCTCTTCTGTCCTGCAGAAACCAAGACCTGAAGGCTGGACAGGATGCAAGGACCCTGTCCTGCAGACTAGCCTTGAACCCTCCTAGGCTAAAAAAGAGTGAGGGCAGACGAGGAAGGGGTTTTATGGGAGTGTGTCCATGGCAAGGGTGGAGTGGTTTGCTCCATCCTGGGTTTCTCCGGGGAAGACACCGAGACACGTAACAGGTGAAACTCGTGGTTCTAGCTCAGTCTCACAACACAAGCTGTCTGCTCCACCCAGAGAGCTCACATTTCCCTAAAGGCAGACTCTCCAAAAGCAGAACACAGTTGGCTGTCTCAGGGTCACTAGACTATCTTAAGAGTACCCCACCCCAACCAGGAACCTACTGGGGGTGTGACTTTTGAGTTAGTCCTAGCTTTTTACCCTGTTCAGCACTGCAAGGGACTAGGGACAATTAAGGCCAGAATCTTTCTGCCCTCATGAGGCTGACTCATAAGGGCAGGACCTCAAGGAGACAGTAGGTGAATAAATCAAATAACCAAGGACACAGAGTAGAACACAGTGTGCCTCTTATCAGCTAGGGCACAGGACAGAGCTGTGAAGGTGGCCCAAGGGGCTTCTGGGAGAGGCTGAAAGCTATATTGAGCCCTAGGTACGAGGCACCAGCAGAGCCTGAGATGGGAGGGGACAGTTTAGACCAGCCTTTGGGGCTAGACAGGATGAGGCAGGAGGAGGGTTAGACCACAGGGCCTGGAAAGAGGGGTCACGGACACCCAAGGTTCCTTTAACCCACACGGAGAGCTAACACACGAAGAGGTCAGAGGTCAGGATGAAAGCTGCGTCTGTGATCCCGGACTCTGAAGGGCCACACTGTGGAGCAGGACAGGGGTAACCCTGAGATTTGCTGACTTCTTGCCTTGTAGTCCCCACCCTTGCAGATTCTCAGATGCTGCCAACCCTGGACCCCCCAAACAACGCTGAGTGTCTCCGGTCAGGGCTTCGGTGTGGATGGCTTCTATTTATAAGTTGAAAGAGGATAAAGTAGCAACTGCAGCCTAAAAGTGTCTGTGGGCTGATCTTTATGGAACTCGGAAAAGTCCAAGCCAGAGACAGCAAAGGAAGAAGAGTAGACTGGGCAGCTGAGGCTGTGGAGCCAGCTGCTTCTATGGAGGCTATCTATGTATAGCAAGCCCGTGCCCACTCGAGCACAGAGGCCTGCTTGACCTCTGCGACGGCGTAGGCTTGATAAGTTTGCCAGGTGGCCTTGCCTGTACAATTCCATTCTCGTGCCACGCTTCTCTCTCTGGATGCATTATCCTTGAGGGCCTGGCATGCTCTGCTCCTTGGGCTGTGAACTCCCTGACAGGTGCTACCAAAGCCTCCCCTCTGCCCGACGGTCTCGTCCTCTTTCAGGCCCACACCATGGCAGCGCATCGTTCGGGTCAAGGGTAGAGGGAAGGAACCGTGGCTTGGGGTTCTGCAGACTGGAAAATCCTTTTCTGTAATACCCTAACGTCATGGCGCGGCCAGTGTGACTCCCACATCATAGTCTGCTCAGGCGTCCCCTTCCGACTCAGCCTTGGCCTCAGGCAGGGACTTAGTTCTTTGAGCCCCCGTCCTTACTCAGTAGGACATCAGGGATGGACCCTCACCGGCATGCTCAGTGGCTTCCTGTCATCTCCAGAAGAACCTATCTCAGTGCCCCCTGCTGGGGTCTGGCAACCCCTTCCTGAGCAGCCATCATCAGAGCCACAGCCTGGGATTAGGTACAGTGGCTGTGGGGACTGTCATCCTTCTCTGTTTGTGACCACAGACTTGTCAGCATGCTTCACTAGTGAGGGGCTCTGCCTCGTGTGAGGGAGCAGCTGGGACCTTTTGGTCCTGAGGAGTTGAAGCGCCAGTCGCCACTTGAGGCCCCTCTGCCCTGAAGCAGGCTGTCTCTCCATCGTTTGTTACTTTGCACACCAGGGTCTCGAGTCCAAGGGGACGCCAGGTCTCCCCCCACCTCCCCAAGACAGGGTCTCCCTATGTGGCCCTGGCTGTCCTCAAACTCCCACTTATCAACCAGTTTCCAAGCCCCATGCTGGGATTGAAGGCTCTCTGGTTTTGATGATGACTGTAATGGGTAAGGAGCCATTGTCTGCTCAAGAGGAAGACTGAGATGTCCTGTGCAAGGAGTTAAAAGTGGGAAGCAAGGACCCAATGTACTGAGAGAAAAACCAACTGAGAGGGCTCCTCCAAGGGGTTAGGGTTACACAGGACTGAGTGACAGGACAGAGAACGGGTGGCAGGAAGCTGCTTCAGGCAGGGTGAGGGTCAGCAGGCCCTTTCTACTGTCAGGGCGCTTCACAGAGTCTGAGAGGTGAGGCGACTCAGCCACTTGTGGTCAGATTTTTTCTTTAAGTAGGTGCTGGCAATTCCAGCCAAGGGAGTTAGTCTGTCTCCCCGACTCTTCTCATGTTATTGCTCTTGCGGCCACACCTGTTCTCACAACCTGCCCGTTCTAGGCAGACTGGTGGGCCCACCGTGGCTGTGCCGCTTCAACAATGCCCCTCACCAAGGCCCTGCGTGCTGTGCTTCTTGGGGGCCTGCTGATCAATGGGTAGAAGTCACTATTTGCCCCCTAAACTGAGACTCTGGAACCAAATTCAATGTCACACAAGATCCTGTGCACAAGAATGGCAGTGAATACCAGTGAGTTCTGGCCCTGTGCAAATGCCCTCAGGCACCACTGATCAGGCCAAGCACCAGCCAGGGAGGCTCAGAGCTGAGTTGGTCTGCACGTTCCACATCCTTTCTGCAATGCTAGAAACCCAGTCAAAGCAGGATGCAAGGCCTGGGACACACAGGGAAGGATGGGACAGTGCAAAAGGGACAGGTCCAGCCATTAACTCATGTACAGGGAAGGAGTCACCATGTTAATGGGAGTCTGTCCCTGAGAAACCCAACACCTGGCTTTTATACCCCAAGTGACCAACTTCAGCACTAACTTCATCTTACATCTGGAAAAGCAAAAAAACACAACTGAGAGTTTAGGAGACCCATACACTGTTTTCTCCCTCCGTTCCCAAGCTCCATGAAGCATAGCTGGCGAGACGGTGACGTCCTTCAGGGCCTATGTGGCAGCTGTGGTCCATCACTGAGGTATGACCCTTACAGTGTGTCCTGGCCCAGGCAAGAACCACTGTGCATTCCCAGCCCAGCATGACAGGCTTCAAGGAACATGGGGTGCTGTCAAGTTACCTACCACTGTAATCCACCCCAAAAAAGGAGTTCAGAGGGGCTCAGATACCAGCAGCACATTCCTCCTGTGCCACTGAAGACAGTGAGTGGCGGGGTGCTATCTGGCTGAGCACAGCTGATATGGCCTTATGTCGAGATGTCACATGCCAACTCAGTGGAGGATTAATGTGGAGAATTTAAGGTCAAGGGTTTAGGCTGAACTAGCTTCTATTTATAAAAAGGCGCCTGTAGAGGAACAGAAGGGCAGATGAATGGCTTGGGTGGGTGGGGGTCAACAGGATGACATGCCAGAGCAGAATAGAACTAGTCTCCTGGTTACTTGGCTCTCTGCTTTCCCAATCACAACTGGTGTCCCCTTGGACTCGAGACCCTGGTGTGCAAAGTAACAAACGATGGAGAGACAGCCTGCTTCAGGGCAGAGGGGCCTCAAGTGGCGACTGGCGCTTCAACTCCTCAGGACCAAAAGGTCCCAGCTGCTCCCTCACACGAGGCAGAGCCCCTCACTAGTGAAGCATGCTGACAAGTCTGTGGTCACAAACAGAGAAGGATGACAGTCCCCACAGCCACTGTACCTAATCCCAGGCTGTGGCTCTGATGATGGCTGCTCAGGAAGGGGTTGCCAGACCCCAGCAGGGGGCACTGAGATAGGTTCTTCTGGAGATGACAGGAAGCCACTGAGCATGCCGGTGAGGGTCCATCCCTGATGTCCTACTGAGTAAGGACGGGGGCTCAAAGAACTAAGTCCCTGCCTGAGGCCAAGGCTGAGTCGGAAGGGGACGCCTGAGCAGACTATGATGTGGGAGTCACACTGGCCGCGCCATGACGTTAGGGTATTACAGAAAAGGATTTTCCAGTCTGCAGAACCCCAAGCCACGGTTCCTTCCCTCTACCCTTGACCCGAACGACGCGCTGCCATGGTGTGGGCCTGAAAGAGGACGAGACCGTCGGCAGAGGGGAGGCTTTGGTAGCACCTGTCAGGGAGTTCACAGCCCAAGGAGCAGAGCATGCCAGGCCCTCAAGGATAATGCATCCAGAGAGAGAAGCGTGGCACGAGAATGGAATTGTACAGGCAAGGCCACCTGGCAAACTCTTTCCAAGACTGCAGTGCTCCGCTGGTGGTGCCTTCACAACTCATGGGTCCCAAACAGTGAACTACCATGCTGGGTATGAAGACTGTCTCCTCACACTGCCTCACTCATAAGAACTGGCAGCTAATGCACGGCAGACGGGAACAGAGACGGTGGCAGGTGGCAGGTGACAGGCGGCTCAGCTGCTGTTCCACTGGTCTGCTTGCCATACCTGCCGCACAACTGGCTGGGAAAAGGCACCACTGCTTCTGAAACAATGATGTGGGGGGGGGGGGGTGAGTCTCTAAGCCTCTTCCCAATTGTGCAGTGGCCCTCAGAGGAGCCAGACTGACAGAAAAAGGACAGATAGACAAGAAGGTGGGCCCTCTGAAAGGTGTCCCCCACATGCTACCTTTCCCACGTGGAGGGCTCTACCCGGAACAACAGTGAACAGAGCCCACAGAAAGTTCTCTGTGACCTGAATAAATCCACAGACATTGCACACAGAACCAGCCCAAACACTTTAATAGCAGAGAAAAAAAATAACAAACAAAAAATACCCCGGCGTAAAAATCTGAAATGAGCAAACGAGCAGTTTAGGCTTCGCCGTGCTTTGGTCTCCAATGTGTCCTCCTGTGTGTGTTTCCGTGAGAAAGTTCGTTTGACAGCCTGTTCCTGTGTGCTCTGGAGAGTGGAGGGATGTCCACAGTGTCACAGGAACCTGAAGGGATGCGGACACTGGCTCAGCTTCTCCAGCCACCAAAGCCCTGGACAGACCTGTAGGAAGTTCGGAGAGTCAGCTGGGGTTCCAACTGCACTTGCTCTCCTTGCAGGACATGCAGAGGGTCATCACACACGCCTGGCCCGCCGCAGAGGCCACCCGGGGGTGCTACCAGGGGAACGAGGACAGTGTCTCCCAGCCCTGCCACTGGAAGGCTACTTAGCTTTTCATGACCCCCAGCAGACCAACAGCCCCAACCCCCAGCCCAGCTGCTCAACCTGGCACTTCAGCACAGCTCTGAAAGCAGACCACAGAGCACACAAGCCCAAGCAGGAATTAAGGTCAGACTCAACCCAGGAGAAAAGCACTTACGAGTTCGACGATCCAAAGGTGAATCCTGGAAAACACAAAGGAGGAGGTCACAACACTGAGCCTACAGTCCTGCAGCCGGGGATCCTTCCCGTTTGGTCCTGTGCCAGCTTTCCCTGACCCTGTCTACAGGGTGGCTGAGCCACCAGCTTTACTGGGAGAAGAGTCCCTCACTATTTTAGGGTTCCCCAGCTCTGGCTGCAGGGGGAGGGTCCATGTAGAGCTGCCCGGTACCATTCTATGAGGGGAAAGAGCTGCCCTCGTTTTTATTGATACCCATGTTTCCTTTCCTTTCCCAACCAGAGCAGCAGACACTCTAGGTCTGGCTCAGACGTCACATGGCGTCTGGGCGTCAGTTAGCCCCTGCCACCGGTTCTGCTGAGTTCGTGCATGCCTCTTCAGTCTGACATACATTCCTGCTCTCTGAAGATGCAGAGCACTGTGCAAACACAAGGCACGGAGGTCGCCACACCTGCCCTTTGAATCCAAAGCCTGGTAAGGCTGCTACTATGTGGAGTTCTCAATTCCTGAGAGAAAATGAACTCAGTAATTTCTCTGATCAGAAATGGCACAGGGCCGCCAGTCTAATTAAAGAATCTTGTCTTTTTCAGCCACTTCAGCCACTGAGCTGAGTGGCCAGGGGAGAAAAGCACAGCCATTTACCTCCTGTGCCTGATCCAAACCCAGAGAATCCACTGTTCTGGGTCCCAAAGCCTGAGGTCTGCTGGGACAAGGACCCAAAGGTCGGCGCGTTCTGACTGGCGAGGGTACCAAAGGACGCTGTGTTGCTGCCGCTCCCAAACCTGGGTTCCAGTGAGAAATGGGCAGGGTTAATGTAGCCCTTAGTCTCCGTGCCACCCACACACCTCATTTACCATCACCAGTCTTGGATGCACCACACATGATTCACGGTGACAGGCTTGGACTGAGCCAAAAGACTTTCAGAGAAAAGGGCTCTAGCCTAGAGTAAGCCTTTACCTTGGCTCTGGGAAGGAGACATCAGGAGTATAGTGTGAAATCTACCCCAGCCAGGGCAGCAGTTCTAGCCACAGCCAGTAACTCCAGTCACTGAGAACCAAACACAGCACAATTCTTGCTTGCTGTGTCCCTGACACCCTTCACTTTCAGGCCACTAAGTCAGAGCTCTTTTATCCTCCACATGTTCTGCCCCATTTACCTGCCCAGCTCTTCCTTGGCCTTGACTCTGTCATGGCTTCAAAAACGCTCCTCCTGCTCCAGCCTACTGAAGGCTGCTTTCACAAGCTAGTGCCATGGAGTCTTGTGATTCTATTCACTTTATTGTTTTTATTTTCCCAAGAGAGGGTCTCATGTAGCCCAGGCTGGCCTTTAAACTGCCATGTTGCCAAGCATGATCTTGAACTTTTTTTCCTTTTTTTGGGGGGCAGGGTCTTTTTATATATTCTTGGCTGTTCTGGAATTTGCTATGTAGACCAGGCTGGCCTTGAACTCAGAGAGATTCTTCTGTCTCTGGGATTAAAGCCTATGCCCCCATGCCCTGGGACCCTCTCATCTCCATGTCTCAGTGGTAGGACATTTATCACCACACCTGGCTTATAAAGTGTGGGAGGAAGAGCCTAGCTAAGGCTTCCTGAGTGCTTGGCAAGAGCGCTACCATTGGGCTACATGCCCAGCCCTCTATTTTCTTTCTAAAAAGAATTTGTGTGTTTGCACGTGCATGTGTGGCTGCCACATGCCAGGCACGCTGGTGACAGTGTGTGCTGGTGCTCAGGGACAATTTTTGAAAGCAGATTCTTCCCTTTTACCATAGGTCTGAAGCATTAACTTTCATGGCATGTGCTTTTACTCACTAAGCCCTATCCTTGGTTATTTGTATTTAACAAATGGGTAAAGGGCATTCTGTATATAAAGGTAGTCATCTGTTCATATTCTGTGTGTGTGTGTACAATTTCCAAATATTTCACTCAGAATTTTGTTTCATAAAAATCAGTAAATACATAAAACAATGTAGAAACAACATCACTTTCTCCCCTCTGCTACTTTCTCTCGGACATCCTCACTCAAGGGTTCTCCCTCCAGATTTGTTCCAGAAAATGGGGTTGAGGATATAAGTGGCATCACCGAGGGCTCACTGGGGGGCCCCCTGGAGAAGGTGGGTAAGGAAGGGTTAGGGTGTCTTGGAAGAAGAGCGAGGACCCGATAAATGCCTGTATTACAAAGGGCACCCGCAGTTCCCAGTCCTGTACTCCTACTTCAGGGTGAGCTCTGCTCTCTGGCAGGGTCAGAGTGAGGATGGCACCAGGGTCGGGCACATTAGTGGCTTCTTCCCAGAGATTTAATGTCTGCATTGGTACTTACTAGCCCTAGGAAATGTGCCAGCTAGTCATGACCTAAGATACTCTGGACACTCTTCAACTTCTTGGGTGTGTGGACCAGCCTCAAGTGTCATGCTTTGGGAGCCTGCCACCTTGTTTTTTGAGACAGGGTTTCACTGGGACCTGGGACTGAGATTCAATGTTGGCAGACCCCAGAAATGGACCACCTCAGTGCGGATCACAGCATGTGCCACCATGCTCAGGTCTTATGTTGGTGGTGAGGACTGAACTCAGCCCTTCATGTTTCTGTAGCAAATACTTATTGACTGATCTAGCCCCAGCCCTGTTTTTATTTCTTTATTATTACTATTTTGGGACAGGGCCTTGCTACGTAGCCTATGCTGGCCTCAGATTCTACAACCTTCCTTCCTCAGCTAGCTTTTTGAGGAGGTGCTGGGGATGACACGACTGTGAGCTTGCTTGGAAAGCCTCTACCACTGAGCTACACTTCCAACCCCCAACTAGTAAAGCTACTAGTAAAGCTAAGTGCTACTTTTAAATAAATACAGAGCCTCAAGACTCCCAGACTACGGAAAACGTGCTGTGGGAGGTTCCGAACTCTCTTATGAAAGTTCCCTCTGTTTTTTTGGAGTTTCTCAAGGAGAAATGTTGAAGGTCCCTTAGCCTCCACAGCAATCTAAGGAAGAGCAGTCTAGCACCTCTCTGTGGAGCCACATTTGATAGAGCAGGTTTTCCTGGACAGACACCCACATTACTCCTAACCTGCAGCTCTCTGTTCTGAGCCGAGCACCAAGGGCAAGCCTGTCCAGGACTGTTTTAGGCATCAGCATCTCCTTCAAATGAAGGATTTTGTAGCCATCACCACATACATTGTTAAGTCATTACGGTAGAGCGAAGGCTATTTCTTTCCTCGGGGTTTTGGCAACCAGACTAAAATTCTAGGGTCTAGAAGCAAATCCCTGACATGGCATTTTCTGATGAGGATGTGTACAGGACATGAGAACAGCTGGTTGACAGCAGCTGTGTGAAGGTCACCCAGTTCTGGGCCAGGGCTGGAACAGGGACATTGGAGTTGTTTGCTAAAGGCTAACAGCATCTCAAGAGAACAATCCTAAGAGGAAGAATTGGTGAGACCTCTTTCTTTAGACTTTCTAACATAAGGACCACCTGAGGCACAGGTCTGGCTGCAGCCAAACCCAGTTCAAAGGTATCAATGACCTGCAAGCTATACACTGGCACCCAGCAATGTGGCCAACATCTACCCACATGTTTAATAACTTATGTACACTGAGCCTTGCCCTAGAGAAAAAAGGAATATCCTAGCAATGCAGAGTGTAAGAACTCCAGGCCCCAGTGCTTCCGGCTGTACAAGTTTGTGGTTTTCCCCAGGTCCCGCCTACAGCTTACCCGAATCCTCCTGCGCTGGCAGCAGCAGTACCCTCTCCGAACACTTTGCCTCCCGTCGAGCCCAGAGGGCTTGTAAAGGCTGGGGCTGAACCGAATGCTGGCACCCCTCCAAACCCAGGGGATCCCCCAAAAGTAGGAGGGCTGCCAAACACTGGAGCAGCACCGAAGCCACCTGAGCAAAACAGAGGCAAACAGAAACAGGGAGAAAGAAAAGGAGACAGACAGAGAAGGCATCAAGTAGGCAGAAACCAAATCAAAAGAGGAGAAAGGGAGATAAGCTGTCAGTAATTCCAACACAAGAACCCAAAAAGCACAATACCCCAACCTCAATCCCTCAGCTGATGTGCCTCCCCCACTAAAACCTGAGCATCTGGTGCCTTTCTGAGAGAAGGCTCCCCCCACCCCCACCCCAACGCCCCTTCTTGAGCTCTGCAGGCCCATCCTGGGGTTCTTTCCAGCCCCATAATATCTGGGACTCCTCAAAAAAAAAAAAAAAAAAAAAAAAAAAAAACTAAAAAAACTCCATCCCCAAAGCTTGTGTCCCAACATAGCAGTCACAGGATTTATTATTTATTACCACACTGACTAGGCTCCAGGCTTCAGGGAAACCCAACTAATAAAGGCCCAAAGTCTCTCCCGGCAGAACCCACAAACTGGGTCACAGCAGAAGCAGGGTGATGCATGCTGGCGCTTAGCCATGTGCATTTTACTTATTTACAGCCAGGTGGCTGCACGCCTATCGCAGTGTCCTGACTTGAGGTACAGAGGAGTTTTTTCAAGTGCTTGCTTCTGTGGCGTCACTATAAAGCACACCACTGAGCCTCCATTTTGAGGACAGCTATGGCATAAATGTAACCAAGTGTTAAGTCAGTGGTGAGGATGGCCTGAGTGCCCGGATCAGGACTCTAGATACTAACAGGGTGGAGATGTGAGGTATGGTCAGCTTAAGCACCAGGCAGCCTCTGACTGGTGGGGAGGGTCATAAGTGAGTCAATCCCCTGCTCCTGAGATGTCCCCAAACCTCAAGATACTACTCTAGTTCTGAGGTTCAGAGGAGAAAGGTAACAAGGGTATGCTGAGACAGATGGAGATGCTTGGCTCTTTCCTGCGGGCATGAGGGGGTCCTTCCTCAGTCATCTAAAGTACATGTTGTTTTTGAACTATGTGCTAAAGGGAGTAATGTGGGCCCCACACCACCCAGGACAGCATCACACAAGGAGGCAGGGTTATTACTGAAAGCAGTCTAGTGTCTAAGAGGTGGATCTGGCTTTACTGTAATCACCCTACTCCTTGTACCACCGGATCAGGAGAGACCAAATATAGGACAAGCAGGAGGTTGGGTGAACGCTGCAGGTGAGCGTACTGGCTGTTACCTGCGATTGAGTTATGTGTCTGTCTTTGCACAACTGAGGAGATACCTTTTGCCATGGCTCATGTTTGGGTTACCATTCTGTATTTTAAAACCTTGAGTGAAATTCAAAGCTGTGCTACAGAGACTGGTAGACTACAAACATTGACAGAATGGAAAAAAAAAAAAAGGTGCTAAAAAACCATTGTACTTTAATTATTTAAAACTGATCATGGGTCTAATTGCACTTTCTTTCTAGACATACAAGGTTTCATCTAGTACCTTGTATGCAATATTGTTTAGACTTCTTGCTGGAATATGAGTGAAAAATGAAAGGTTATAATGACACAGAAAGTAACCTGGAAAGGAGACAGGCAGGCAGGCAGACAGACAGACAGACAACACACACAGAGAGACAACCTGGGTCTACTAAATGAAACAGAATGGTTGCTCTTGTCTTAGTCCTTGGGATAGGCAACTCACTGCAAACAGGAGAAGCTCAGCGGCAGATGGCCGGTGTGTCTGAGCTAGCCACCAAGCAGATCTACTGATGCATACTAAGGTATCTGAGCTTCAGGTGTGGCGGCAGCTGATTGGGCAGCTCCCATCCTTTCCTCCATAGCCTGGCCCCCTTCCTCCAGTGGGTCACTGAACTCTTGGAATATTTTCATCTAACTTCAGCATGGGTACATGGCAGAGCTGGGATTGGAACCTCTCATGGCTCTGTCATGTGTCCTTGCTTCCTCTCTGTCACACTGCTTAATAACCGAGGATGGAATGGGTGTAGACCCAGGGCTGGCTGGCAGGGAGGCCATGGTCAGGTTCATATCCCCTCTTTCCTTGGTGGCCTTGGTGGCGATGCAGTTTTACTGAAGGGAGGAAGAGACACTTAGAAGGCTCCATGTGTGCAACAGAGGGTAAACTCCCTGGCAGTCCTCACTCAGGGTCTTCCCAAACAGAAAATCCAGAATGACGGAAACTAATTTTTAAGGTGTGAGGTGTATTTTCTCTAAGACAGAAGACACAAAACCACCAGGCTGTCAATTCAGATCAGCTGGGACACAATTCGGAGCACAGAACCACACACCAGTCAACAGAATAAGCAAGGAAACATTGGGCACCTAAAAAGATGTTAAAGACCCAATGGTTACCAAAGCAATGTTTCTTGGATTTTAGTGTGTATGCTATACAGCCTGCTGTGTTGGGAGAGCACTGCTTGGGAGCCACCCACCTTGGTTTTTGAGAAAAACCACCAAGTGGGCCATGTTGACTGAACTACTGGTAGCACTAGCCCCAATACTTGTCCTTTTAATTAGAGCCAAAAGCTTTGTGGTCTTTTTAATTTTGAAATTATCCACTGTGTATGTATGTCTAAAACAAAGCTGCAGTATTTATTTCTAGGGGAAAGATACTTATTGGCAACCTAGAACCAAGCTGCCAAGCTAAGGTCTTAGAAAACAGATACAGCATGTATCTAGAAGCCATTGCATTTCAGGGTCACTTCCTAATCTGTGTCAGGCACTCTAAGATCAGTGTCACCTCCTCAGACAGGGGGCCTATTCCAAACATCCCACCTGTCCCCAAGGGAGGGCGCTCCAGAGAGCCTTCTCTCAGCAAGCATCCCTGCCCACTCCTGAGAAACTTACTCCAATCTCCCACCAGCAGGACCAGCACTGCAGGCAGCTATAGACCTCAGACAGGCAGGTGACAGAAATTAATAACAACATGTTTTATGGGGCAGGAGAGATGGCTCAATAGTTAAGGGCAGTGGCTGTTCTTCTAGGACCTGGGTTCAATTCCCAGTTTCAGGGAATCCAATACCATCTTCTGACCTCCAAGAGCACCAGGAATGCACATGGTACACAGACTCACATGTAGGCAAAACACCCACACACAAAATAAACAAACATTAAATAGCACATTTCATATTAATGCATATTGTTCTTTTAAGACTTTTAATGAAAAAATATGTAAAAAAGTATTTTAAGAAGTTCACAGAGGTGTATTTCTTTGTTTGTTTTTTGAGACAGAGTTTCTCTGTGTAGTCCTGGTTGTCCTAGAATATGCTCTGTAGAACTCATATAGATCCACCTGCCTCTGCCTCCTGAATACAAGGATTAAAGGTGTATGCTACCACCAACCAGCTATAGAGGTGTATTTCAAACTAAAGTTTAAAAAGGGTGGCAGAGGCCTGTGATTCTAGTCCCCAGGCAGCTGAGGCCAGAGGATCATAAGTCTAGGGTAGCTTTGCCTGAAAGGGAAAGCTGGCATAAGGAAGAGGGTCCAAGACTTGAACACTGGAACTGAATCTGTGCTTCAGGAGGTTCCCTTTCTTTCCTCCCTTTCCCCCTTCTCTCTTTTCTTTCTCTTCTTCTTCTTCGTAAGGGTCTCACTATATAGACCAGGCTGGCCTTGAACTCACAGAGATCCACCTGCCTCTGCCTCTGAAGTGCTTGAATTAAAGGCATGCATCACCATGTCTGGCTCCTCTTTTTTTAAAGTATGTCTTACATGTTAGAAATTCAATAGATGCTCAATAAATGCAAGAACAAACTGGAGAGCAAAGTAACTTCCTTCTTACTGCAATCCCCCCCTGGGATAAGCACCCAAGGACATTGCCTCCAGATACTACCTTACTTACATGAGCTCTTGTGTGCATCTATGTGGGGTGCACACACACTCATGCACGCACACACACACACACACACACACACACACACACACACGCACACACACAAAAGCTTGGTCATAATTGTGGGGTACCTGTTTTATTTGGAGTAGCAAATCCAAAGCCTTGGGATGCTACACTTCCACCACCAGAGCTGAAAGTACCAGTAGGCTTCTGTTCCCCGAAGGATGAGCTGCCAAATCCTCCAAATGTCTTAGCGCCACTGTTTCCAAATAGATTAGTGGTATCTAAAGGGACAAAGAACAGGTGTGAGGGAGTTTGAAGAGGAGGGCAATGTCATTTCCTTCTCAGGTGACAGAAGGGAGACACATCAGCTGAGTGTGTGGAAGCCAGAAGCCATGGTGCAGCCCAGGATTTAGGGGAGTTCATGACAATGAGTCTGAAATACTCAGGCTCAGGACTTCCTGGCACAGCTCTACAAGGAGAAAACTAAAGGGGAAAAGAGCGTCTGCAGTAGTGTTCCTAGAGGCCTTGGGCTGCCTACCAAAGACAACCGGTTTCTTGTCTCCTCTGGACAAGGCCTGGTCTCATTTGTCTCTCTTGCCAAACTAAAAGAATCAAAGCCAGAACAGAATCTGGCCCAGCACAGGGGATGCCGGCATGCCAGCTGTAGTCTGAGCTGTGCAGGGTCCTGAGGGGGAGAAAGGAAGGGTCAGAAAGAACCCCAATGTCCACAGTGTTTTGATGACTCTCTGTTGGAATTTGTTTATAACCATGGCAAGGCAGGGGAAGCTGCCTTGAAATGGGGAAGGGAGTACTGCTCCAAAACACAGGCTTCAATCCCCTCCAAAATGGATGTATTGGTGACAGCCACATCTTAACAGAGCTGAGCCCAGCCCAGCCTTTCCCCAGCTACCAGGTGTTCCTGGTGTGATACAAAGAAGTGAGGTAGGTGCACTCACTTTCAAAACTGAGCTGCTGGAAGGTTTGGCCTACCCCAACCCACAAATTCTCAGGTCTCAGACTGGGTCCATCTCCTCCATCCCCCACTTGTCTTTGGTGGCATCTCTAGGGACAAGAGCTTCTCAAAAGGGAACACATCAACTTCTGGCTACATTGTTCTCAGAGTGTCTTTCTTGGTCATGGCCACAGTTTTCACATAGCCAGGACTCTAGGCTGAAGTGAACTTGGATACTATCCTCCAGTTGGTAGGAAATTGCAAAACGGTTCAGCCTGGGAACTGTGGCAAAATAAAAATAGCTTAAAAGTGTTTGATTTGAGCTGGGTGTTGGTGATGTACACCTTTGATCCCAGCACTTGGGAGGCAGAGACAGGCAGATCTCTGTAGGTCAGCCTGGTCTACAGAGTGAGTTCCAGGACAGCTAGAGCTGTTACACTGAGAAACCCTATCTCAAAAAACAAAACAAAAAATGATTTGAGGTGGATTTCCTGACCGTGGCAAAGAAGAATAGAGGTGGGAGGAGACTGTGTACAGACTCCTTCCACAAACCAGGTGACCAGAGACAGACAGACAGACAGACAGACAGACAGACACACACACACACACACGGCCCACAGCAATGGAGATAAGGCAGTAGAAAAGGATCTATGTGAAAGATGGGCAGAATTCAGTCCAGGAAAGCAATGGATGCTGGCATCAGCATGGAGAAAGGCAGGTTCTCAAGGCTATAGCCCTTCCCTATATCACAGCCCAGCTCCTCCACTGTTCCTGCTTCTTCCTTAACCTGCACTTACCTGGTCATAGGGTTTAAGAAGTTCCTGATCTCTTAAACCACAAAAAAGTCATAAAGACAGGAGCGTCCTGGAGTGAGGTGCTCTCATTCCCACTGGGTCAACACTCCCTTTGGATGACTTCAGGCACTGAATGTGGGTGTGGGGAGGGATGTGCAAGACGACACCAGCTCAGACTAACCTCCGGGGAAGGCCAGCTGACAAGCAAAGCTAGGGTATCAGAGATGAACTGGCTAGGGAGGAACTTTTACAGGGATATTACACATCTAAGCCATTAGCAAAACTAGCTGGTAGCAAGGCCGCACAGATGATGACCTACAGCTGGGACCCACCCATTTCTAACTAGCACACCAGGTGACTATGTGCCAAGTGCTTGTTTGGCCTGTTACATGTATCTGAGCTGAGCCCACACCTGCTGTTTTCTTGCTTTGATCTGAAAGGACCATACTTTCTCAGCATTTACTACACAGCCCTTCAGTCCTGGAGATAGCTAGTCAAACATTTCCATTACATCAGGGTTCTCAGCCCCTGCCCTGGCATGCACCTATTTTTGTTATGCTTATCAGGAGTCTGTTGTTCGTCTGCTAAACACTTTTTGAACATATAATTTCTGAGATCCCTTCACTCTAGGTTCTAAATCCCTCCAGGGGTAGCTTGGTGACTTAGGAGGGAAATGCCTTGACAGCAATCCTTCCATGTTATCAGTGCAGAACAAACAGTCCTTGATCTATACAGGCAGAGACCAAAACTGACACAGAAAACATTGCTCTTAATTCCACTGGCCTTAATATTATGAAGACAGTTAGAGGATACAAGTGCAAGACTCAGCTCACTGTAGCGCATTAAGTGGAAGCAGGAGAGGCGAGGATGACAAGAACCTAACTTGCAATCCTAGCCACAGCAGCAGTATACACACACCATCTTACACTTCCAACTGGGACAGACAGGTCAGCTCAAGAATGTGAAAAATCAGCTGGAGAACAAAGTGCTAGGAAGTATAGCTTCAGGGAAAAAGGCAGCAAAGGTAAGTGACGAGAGACATGCAGGCTCCAGCCAACTGCCAGTGCACTTCAGGGTCAGAGAGCCAGGCAAGCAGAAGGAAGCACGGTGCCAGCGTGGGGCTGCTCATGGCTCCTGTCTGGTCACACTGCCTTCATACAATCACAGTACATGGAGAGAGAGAGAGAGAGATCTGGGCCTTGGTAGAGAAGAGAGAAGCAGCCCATCCGACTCATCTCTGTCTGCAGTTCTGCTGTCCTTTCACGACTGCAGAGGACACCTCATTAAAACAAAAATAAAAACCAAAGCAGAGCAATGAGGGTGGAGTTCAAATAGACCCTCTCTAGTTTTGCCCCTTTATGTATTTATTTGTTCTTGAAGCTTTGATAGTACCAGAGGTTGACAACGCATCAGAGGCTGGGGAACTCAACTTACTTGGGGTGGCTGTAGATCCAAAGCCCCCACTGGCTGAGCTGAAGGGGTTTTTGTTAGCAGCATCCTGGCTGGGTTTTCCTCCAAGGCCACTGAAGAAACCACCCGTTCTTGTAGAGTTTCCAGACCCAAACACACTACCACTGGAAGTGGATGACTGCTAAAAAAACAAATGGGGGAGGGGGAACAGGAAGTAAGAAAGGATGAGAGATCATGTAAAAGTGTAGTCCACATCCTGGCAGGAGGGGCTCACAGCTGGTGCAGATGGAAAAAAGCGACTGGCTGACTCCGGAAGACTTCCTACAGATCTGAGGTTCCTGGATTACTGCATTTAGAGTAGGTGGTGCTCAACACTTATCTGCCATGCTGCCGGCACTGTATGACTCAACACCCAGGAGCAGGAAAATCAAGCACCAAAGACTGACCGAATGCCAGGTTTAAAAACAGGGATGAGCTATCATGTCTTCAGATTCCGCTAGTGTTTGTTAAGGTCATCAGCAATGATTACGTGACTTACAGCCATTTCTATCCATTTATGCACTTGTAATTCACAACGACTTGCCCAGTGCTGCAGAGAGCAGTCCATATTAGCCCCATTGCTGAAAAGATGACCATGGTTGATTCCATCCAAGCATTCAGAGGACCACTAACTCAGGGCACATGCTGACTCAGAGATGCATGAAGCGACAGGCACTCAATTTGTTGACAAACTGGCTGGCCCTGTCATAGACCAGCTTTCATTTTGAGGGATTGCTCATGTTAGTTAAACTGACAGTACAGAATAAGATAGGGTTTAGGGAAGAGCAGGAGCGCAGAGGAAGGATGGGGGCCGCATGCTGCCGATGCAGTGGTGCTATTGTCCCTCACGTGAGACAGAGAAACTGCCCACTTCAAATGGTGGGAAGGGAGCAGAGCTTGCACCTGTACCCAAGTGCAGCAGCACTTGCTCAGGCAGCAACACACTAAAATTAGAACGACATAGAGAAGCCTAGTGTGGCCCCTGTGCGAGGATGTGAAGCATCCCCTATTGTTTCTTTCTTTTTTTTTTAAAGAACTGGATCTGAAATACAACCTACTCAGAAACGGCTCCTGCAGCCCCTCGTGGGCACTAGAGCTGCTCTGCTCTGCACAGCTTGCGGTCATCACCTAATCCTACCTCCAACACCACCTCTTCTCGCTAGGCTGGTTTGGGCCTTTGGTCAGGACTATCTACAGCTCACCTTCAACACAGCCTCTGCTTTACAGGTTCGGGCCAATCCCTTCATTCCTGTTCACAAGCTAAGTGGTCTGGCCCCTTGGCCAGCATTTGAGCACTCTTCTCCCTGAAGCCCTCCAAATGTCTGTGCTGCTCTGCATACAGAGAACTAAGTTTGCTCTTAGTCCCCAACCCTTAAATGTCTTCAAAATGTGCAATAGTGGACAATCAGTGACAGCCTTTGCAAGGACAGGAAGCATGACAACTCAGTGTCTGATGCATGGAGTGTCCCTATAACCTCCACACATCAGGCTGGAACACAGGAAACCATCACATATGGACATTCTGCCCTAGAAAATCCAATTCTCTCAACACAGCCTGAGCTGGCCACCCACAGAATGAGCAGGAGTGGGCAACTGACTGACTGCAGTTCCCTCAGACCTCACTGCTGCCTCAGGCAGTAGACCCAAACTTCCTGCAGATCAAGCCTGCTTCTTCCCCTGTTTCTCTGCCTAGGTTCTATCCCGCTGCTGTCAGCTTTCTCCCATGAACTCTGGAGCTCCAACTTAAAGTCTGACTCCAGTCCCACATGTGGGTCCTCAGTAGTCGACCGGCTACATTATGAATGGTGTGGGGTCTGCTCATTCTGAGTGATTTGCACCTTCCTCAGATATGTGCACACACTTGCTTTTCTTCTTGCTGTGTAGTCCAGGCTGGCTCACCTCCCGCTGCTGGGTGTAACTCACCTGGTACTTTCCCTTGTATACGGAACCTTGCACTAGTAGGACAACAGGGATGGAGGCACCCTTGTGTCCTAAAGTGGGGTGCATCCAGGAAGGGTGTCTACTTCAGGTGCTGTCCTCACCTCTGATGGCACTGGATTGTCTCCTAGCTAAGCTGGAGCAAGGTCATTGGCCAAGGCAGAGCCTGGCGACCACAGTGCTTCCAGCTTTGCTTCTTAGAAAAGATGGTGTGTGTCTATGTTGGGGGGGGGGGGGATTAGCACCTGTTTATCTTCTAGCCCATATAATGTTACATAATTCGGTACAATGATTTAAAATTTAAACCAAAAAGGATTTTAGCATGTCATTATCAACTTTTAAAAATTAAGGGAAATATATAGCAATGACTACATTTTGATCATCTGTAGCTCCTAGGGCAGTGGCAGCAATTACACTCACAGTAGCACAACCACTAGTATGCACTGAACTCAAGACCCATTGCGGAAGTTCTGTAACTGCTAAACCACAGCTTTCTATTCTCTCTCTCTAGTCCATTGATTCTCAACCTGGAGGTCAAGCAATCCTTCCACAGGGGTCACCTAAGATCATCGGAAAACACAGATAATTCAAAACAGTAGCAAAATTCCACTTATGAAATAGCAACAAAAATAAATTTATGGTTGGGGTCACCACAACATGAGGAACTATGAGGGTCAGGCAGTGGGAAAACTGAGAACCATTCCTCTGGCCCTTGTCAGGTTCAACCTGCACTGATGCATTTATACACTGAAGGTATTTAATACAAGTAGAGCCATCTAGTAACGGCCTGTTGCAGCTGGCTTAATCTGCTTTGCTCATGCTCCTCATATGTAGCAAGAATTAGAACTTCATTTCTTGGTATGGCTGAATATTCCACTGATGTATTCCACATTTCCTCTGCTCATATGTTCAGTGACTGACACACAGGTGTCTCACCTACAACGAACACTGGCATAAGCATCTGCTTGAGTTCTTTTTTTCAATTCCTTTTGTTTGTAAGCCTGAAATCAAAACTGCTGGGCCATATGGCAGAAGTATTGTTAGCCTTTAGAGGAGGCCTCCAACTACATTTCACAATGATTGTACAATATATAGACCCACCAGTACAAAGGCTTGGATCTCTCTCTGTTTTTGACAACATGTAGTTTTAAAGTAGTAGTGCAGCCTGACTGCTGGATTTTAATTTCTCCAATGTTTAAGGAACTTTTTGTCTTTCCATGTTCACTGGCCATTTATGCCACTGACACAGCTACTCCTCAGGCTTTGTCAAGGCTTCACCTCCATGACCAAGCTTCTGACCACTGTGCTTGCCTACAGCCCCCAGCTCTCTGGAGCCAGCTCACCAGGCTGTCTGCCAACCTTACTCCTTTAGGGAAAACCCGTTTTCAAAGATCAGCCCATCACCACTTTCTGCCCACATGCTCTTCTAGGGCAGCAATAGGTGTCAGGTTCTCCTCTTCCTGGACATGTATCTGTCTGAGGAGATGATGAAGCCTCTGCAACATTCCAAGATACCGAATCCTGGGAGGCTCTACAGAGCAGTGGTTCTCAACCTGTGGTTGTGACACCTTTGGAGGTGGCATATCATATATTTACATTACGATTTATAACAGTAGAAAAATTAGTTATGAAGTAGCAAAGAAGTAATTGTATGGTTGGGGTCATCACAACATGAGTAACTGTATTAAAGAGTTGCAACATTAGGAAGATGAAAACCACTGGTCTATAGCCTCAATACAGCCTCCTCTTGGAGTACCCCTCCACAATGTGAGAAGAGAACATAGGAAGGCCAGATGTATGTATTCTGTCAGAGTCAGAGCCAACAAGTGATTCTGGCCCCCAGTCTCCATTCCTCCAGCAGCCATTGCAGCTAATGTGGCAGGCACAAGGCAAGCCAGCCCCATCTGCCAATTTGAGTTCATGGTACACAGAGTCCATGGATATGATGGATGACTGCAACAGTTAACTTCAATGACTGGTGTGAGGTGATCTGTTATGAAGCCCTTAAATAAGTGTTGTTCACACCCCCTGGAGTTTTCTTGGCAATTTATGGTGTGAATGAACAAATTCTGTATCCTTTCACATCTTAGTCAGTTAGGTTTTCTGAGGACTACTCCGAACTACTAAAAACTAGATGATACCAGAATACTGTCCAAGCTTGGTGACCCTTTTATGCTCCCATTAGGAGCATGTGCATGTCCTGTAATATACTGAACTTTTACCTGTGTGTGAGGCTAGATGTTGAGTGTTTTCCTCAATTGCTTCTCCACTTACTATTTGAGACAGGGTCTCACTGAACCTGGAACTCACTCATTGGCTAGGAAGCCCCGGGGAGTTTGCTGTCTCTGCTTTCTCAGTGTTGGGATTACAGGTATCACCCAGTTTTTTAGGATGCTGGGAATCTAAACTCAGATCCTCACCGCTGCCTAACAAGTATTTTAGCTACTGAGCTACTCCTTAGTCCCCCTGACTTTTTTTTTTTTTTCTGAGACAGAGTTTCTCTGTGGCTTTGGAGACTGTCCTGGAACTAACTCTTGTAGACCAGGCTAGTCTCGAAATCACAGAAATCCGCCTGCCTCTGCCTCCCGAGTGCTGGGTTTAAAGGCGTGTGCCACCACCACCTGGCAGTCCCCCTGACTTTTGCAGTATTAATGGTATATATTCCTGTGGTTTTAATTTGTACTTACTAATTGAAATTGAACATCTTTATATCTACTGGTTGTCTACCCTTTATTAATTTTTAAAAATTACTTTTACTTATATTTATCTGTGTGATGACAAGCTCATGGAGATCAGAGGACAAATTTGATTGGATCAAATTTCTGTTTCCACCATGTGGGTTCCAAAGACTGATTGATCTCAGGGCAATAGCTTTGGCAACAAGTGCCCTTTATGCACTGAAACATCTTGCCAGGCCTGCCCTTTATCTTTAATTTTCTCTCTTTATGTATAGACTCTCTTCATTCCTGGGATCAAAATTAGGTTACAAGCACCTTTAATCACTTAGCTATCCTTGCAAGACCCATTTCAGTTTTAAAATTTATTTATTTTTAAGACAAGATCTTACTGTTATATAGTCCAGATGGACTTTGAACTAGTCTTGTGCTCTGCCTGGCTTGGCATCCTGAGTGCTGGAACTGTAGGCTACACTGTTATCCCTGGCTCACTTTAGATATTTTTATGTATAGTAAGCAGTGATAATGCTGTACAACATCATTGTCATCTTCTCTAATTGTCACTGAGCTATGTTCTTGCTTTTATTCCCTTGAGATAGAATACTGCTACATAACAGGCTCTGGCTGTTTTATTTTTTAAAAATAACATTTATAAATGTGTGTGTGTGAGTGCTATTCTTTTTTTTTAAAAACCTTTTAAAGAAAAGATATTTATTTTATGTATATGGTACTCTATCTACATGTACATCTGCATGCCAGAAAGGGGTAACAGATACCATTATAGATGGCTGTGAGCCACCATGTGGTTGCTGGGAATTGAACTCAGGACCTCTGGAAAAGCTGCCAATGCTCTTACCTGGGGCCATCTCTCCATTGTGGAAAGATCACTAAATTCTGAGGGATGATTATACCTATGTGTGAGTAAGTTCAATACTCTAGGCAGCACACACTTAGTGCTTTATAGGGCTCCCCAACATCTCATAATAAAGCGACTGCTACCGGAGCTGCAGTGGCCCCAAGTGGGGCAGCCTGCCTGTCCTTGCCCCTGTAAATACGTGCACTCTAAGGGCAAGGACTCTAGCAGGCCTGCTCATCCCCATCACCACAGGTGTGTGGGTGTCCATCCCCTTTGTGGTGCTAGCAGCAGCTCTGTCTGTTTCTGTCAGAAGAACATGGCACTAACTTGTCTATTCTGTGTCTTTGTAAAGCTGGATTGCTTCCCGGCTTTGCTATCACAGATGCATGGCTATGAGTGATTTATTGCTATTTTTGCTGGACAAAGGGACTCACTTATTTCTCTGGGTCAGCAGAGGTCATATCTGTTCAGCTATTTATGCCAGAAAGCTTTCCAAGGCTATACCAACTCCTATGGCCAAGCTCTCTCCTCACCTGGTACTTTGAAACTGGCCTCTAAAAGCCATTTTGGTCCTCTTTGTAGGTTATTATTATTATTGTGTTTTTTTTTTTTTTTTTTTTTTTTTTTTAACACATTCTGAATAGTCACTCCACAGGTTAAACAGGCTAAAATCTACCCATTCATGCCTTGATTTACCTTAAGGTGAAAGCCATACTTTTGTCAAGGTCAATTTTTCCTTCTTGAAAAATATCTCACATGTTCCCTTTACGTCTGCTAGATGTGAAATCTCTCAGCATTTTTGTTTACTTCAAAAGCTCTTGGCTTCACTTCATTCATGACAAGGCTTTCCCGCTGGATTAGGAATGTGCAGAAGACAGAGTCCCTTTTCTGGCATTCTTTACGCTGTCAGTCCAACTATAGCTCTGCAGATAGCAGGCTCCCTCCTCTGGCAACTCTTCATCTTTATTGTGCTTGCTCTGTGTTCACCAGGGTCTTAGGTTCATTACCTTTGATGTGCCTAGCTGTACATTGTCTGGATATTTTACTCTTTGGGTTACTTTAGTCTACAGAGTTTGAAAATGTCTGTCCTTTTAAATATTGCCAAATATTCTCTTCCTTCAATGGCTCAGTACACTCGTGTGTTGGGTTTTCTCAGAGGATCATTATTTCCAGAGCCCTCCATCATTTCCTTTTTGTTGTTGCTTTTTGAGACAGTTTCTCTGTGTAGCCCTGGCTGTCCTAGAACTTGCTCTGTAGACCAGGTGGGTCTCACTCTCATAGAGATCTGCCTGCCTCTCAAGTACTGGGATTAAAGGTGTGTGCCACCACTGCCCAGCAGTTTTCCATGTTTTCTATCTCCATGATCTATTCACAAGTGTACCCTAACTTCTAGTTCAAAGGTTAACCAATATAGCACTCAGAGGCTAAACCCCATTTACTGTTTGTGTTGGGAACCAAACCCAGGTCCTCTGTAAGAGCAGCCAGCACTCCTACTTTCAGAGCCATCTCTCTAGTCCATAGCTTGCTGTCTCTTCAGATTGTCTACAGCTACTTCAGTGTTGCTGAGGCAGAGCTGAATGGTTGCAAAGCTATGAGTACCCTGGATACTGTTGCTTTCCTACTGGTCTAGTCTGATATTGAATATATCTACAGTGCTCTTAGGTGTCAATTAGTATACTTCTTTATAGGAGCGCTATTTGGTTTTTAGAAAGCTGCTATGACACTTCTTAGAGTTTCCCATTCTTTACCAGAATTTTCAAGGTTCTCCTTTACATTTTTAAACATGTGAAACACAGTTGTCTAACAGTCTAGAAGTGTCTGTAAATGTACTTCTTATGTTTACGCTGTTCTTGTTCAGAACTATGGTTTCCTTTCGTGACTGATTTGGCTGTGTCCATAGGAATAACTTGAGGCACAGAGTGAAAGTTTCCTAACCTACAATAGCTGTGCTCTTCTTGCCACACTGGAACATCAGGCCACCCGCACAGGCCAAGCCCCATGGACCTGAGACAGGTCCCTTCTGGACGCTCTACTCAGTACACACCTTGGTTTCTTTCTGTCTATTGGTTTCTCACCATTTACCATTGGAGCTACTGACTACAAACACCCTGTTTGTTTTCTCAAGTTAATGGATGTGCTCAGGAAGGAACTGGCTTCTGAGTTCCACCTGCCTTTTCTAGGTCCCCACCTTCCCAACTCGCACTCCCCCACCTTGGCTTGGTAAGTTAGTTTGGTAGTGCTTTTAAAAACAAGGTTTCCAGGGCCTAGAGAGATGGCTCAGTGGTTAAGAGCACTGGCTGCTCTTCCAGAGGACCTGGGTTCAATTTCCAGCACCACATGGCAGCTCACAACTGTCTTTAACTCCAGTTCCAGGGGTTCTGACACCTCCACATATCTAGGCAAAACACCAATGCAGGAAAAATAAAAACAAATAAGTCATTAAAAATAGGGTTTCCATATTTATAAAGTGTTCCCCATTGTTGTTTAGTAGGTTTCTATTACCAGAGATCATGTCTCTCTTCTACACAGATCACTAGCTAGGGTAAGGTGATCACCTCCCAAGGGAAAGATACCAACAAAGGCTCCTGAGGATGTGAAGGACACCCACCACTGCATCTACTGTGGGATTTACCAGCTCTTACTCCCAATGCCACAGGCACCTATCTCACTGCCCTTCAGGGCCCCGGTGAGGCTGCTGTGTGGAGAGCAGCTGGTAGTGTGTAACAGCACACTCAAGTCTCACTGGCCCCAACTGTCCTTTTCTTTAAGTGGGGATAGTAATAGCACTTACTTATGGAGTAGTCAACCTGACCAAGTGCCACAGCTCAGGCCACCAGGAGGCTTAGGGGCACAGACAGCTCGGCACAGGGTCAGATGTTGTGGTCTTTGCTACATAGTCTTCTTCCTAAACAACCATTCAAAGACTAAAAACAACTACAATAATGAAATGCCAGACTTGGTGGCACAGGCCTCAAATTCCAACTGCTTAGGAGATGAAGCAGGAGGATGGCAAGTGAAGGCCAGCCTGGGCAACTCAGACCTGACTTAAAAAAAAAAAGAAGATATGAGGCTGGATATGTAGAGTACCTATCTAACATAAACAAGGTCCTACATTTAGTCCCTATAAAAGTAAGGAAGTGAACCAAGTAAAAACCACCGTTAGGTCACTAACTATAAATAAAGCAAGGCTGACAGGTAGCTTTAGTCTGTGGATTATAGCTTGTCAACCTTGACCTAAGAGAACAGGTAGACAGAGCCCAGTAAGTGTTTTCTCTCAGAGTACTGCCATGCAGTGATTTTCTTTAATCTGCAGTGGGGTATTCTGCATCCTGAAAGCAGCTGAGGACCGAGTTTAAGACCAGTTGTGCAGCCAGGTGTAGTAGCACACACTTTTGATCCCATCACTTGGGAAGCAAAGGTGGGCGGATTTCTGAGTTCAAGGCCAGCCTGATCTATAGCACAGTGAGTTCCAGTACAGCCAAGACTACACAGGTAAGTCCTGTTGGAGGGTGGGGGGAGGGAAGGAGGAAAAAGAACTCCATGTGGGTATTCGCTAGCCTGGAAACTGAGAGTGAACTGAGTCTATTATATTGAGGAAAACTGAGTAGATCCTGACACAAATAGAAATAATCATCATACTTACCTGGCCAAAGACTGATCCACCAGTACTGGATGCTTGACCAAACACAGAACCAGTATTACTAGACCCAAAACCTATAAGACATAAAGCCAAAGGTTCAACTTGGACAAAACGTTTTTAACATCAAAATTAAAACCCAAACCAAACACCCATAGCCTTCAGATGTTTATGGATGCTGCTGGGGGTAAAAAGTCATCATTGGTCTTATCCAGCGGTGGGTGCTCTTATCCTGCATGCTACAATACTGACCCACCATAAAAAATGTGCCTATTTATGCAACAGCGGCATGAATGTTATAGGAGTAACTAACAGCTTTTCTGCTTAGATTTGAGGACTATTCCATATGAGGGAATTCATTCCTGGTGCTGTGGACAACCTGGTCAAAAGCCCAGGCTGAGAAGGTCACAGGCACAAGGCAGGAAAACTATTACTGTTGCCCTGTTAATCAGACAATTAAATTTTCCTTCTAAATATTTGTACTTTTGATCTTGGTGAGAGAAGCTTTGTGCAACAGGCAAAAGTTAATGAAGAGAAACACAACTTTGCTGAGGCTAAGTGACGGCTGAGTGCTTGACCCTAAACTGGAGTAAAGGCTGAGAACACCGTGGAAAAAGATCAAGGGAGTGGAAAAATTTAAGAGCAGGACTACAGGAATGAGTGCAGTGAAACTAGCAGCGATGATTATCCGCCTGCTAACATACCAGGATGAAGGGGAGAGCACATAAGGCCCTACCCTTAGCTGAGAAGCTATTGGTTGATAATGGCTACTGGAGGAGGGGAGTCATCTTCCTTTAGAAGGGTAGCTATGGGTAAGTTGTCCACAATCCAGTAAACAATCCCATACCCATGATCATGAAAGTATCCTAGTCAAACTGTCAAACTCAAGTCAGTCATTAAAAAAAAAAAAAAAAGGAAAGGAAAGGAAGGGAAAGGAAGCAGGAGAGGGTGTATTGAGAAGTGGTCCAGAGGGAACAGAAGCAGACAGAATAGGGGGCGGGTGCGTGTGCGATCCTGATCAAAATGCATTACACACACTCATGAAAATGTCAATGAGTATATAACAACTATTTTAAAAGTTGTTTCCCCAGTGAGGAAATGGAGAAAATTCTATGTAAACACAGTTGTTAATTGGTATTCGTATGGAATCAGTTCTAGACTCTTGAGTCTACCCTCATACAAAAACCTGAGCTGCACCAGTCTCTTTCACCACATGGTGTGGCTAACCTAACACTAGGAATCTTTCTCCCTGATCGCCTACACTCAAGTACTGGATCCCATCAGGATGGATAGTCTTCCTGCCAGGTATAACCACAAATGAGGCAAGTGAACCGGGCCTACAACTAAGGAGAAGGGGAGGGGAGAAGAGTGTGGGGTTGGGTCTCACACTCATTCAGGAGCTGATTAGATGGCGAAATGCAGACACATGTCAATTTCTCCATTAGGCCTGGAGGTGACAGCCCCAGGAGCTTCCCATGTAAACCCTCTATGTTTAAACAAGACCCCTCTGGAGGCTTCAATCTGGTGAGCTGACTTGCTGGAACTTGAACAGACTTAAAGTCCTGTCCTCATGCTCAGGACGGGCAGTGTAAAGATTGTGTTCTCCTTTAAGTCACAGGCCTTCTACCTGCACATTCTTGGGACTAAGCCATCACGAGTCCATCATCCATAGGTTACTTGTTTTGCATAGCCTCAAGGTACTTGGGGCTCAGAGCTGTGATTTTCTTTCCACTGACGACTTTATAGTTGTTTTTTTGTAAACATTTTAACATTCATTGAAAGAAAAAAAATTCCTTTTAACAAATTACAAGCCATTTCAAATAAACTATTGCAGAAGAAATAAATCAGAAATGATTTGCAATCTTGCCTACCAAGAAATCATTGATCTTTTGTGTCCCCTCCCTCCCCAGAGTGATTGCTAAAGAATTACCTTTTCCCCCCTCAAACTCACAGAGATCCTCCTGCCTCTGCCTCTTCCTCTGCCACGAAAGGCATGTGCCACTACTGCCCATCAAGAATTAGCTTTCATAAGAGAACCACCACAAAGCCAAACTTGGAACAGATCTCCACATTTCAATGTCTACTGGCAACAGCAGCGTGAAGCATTCAGTTTTCTCTTCAAAAATAGCGAAATGTGTGTCTGTGTGTTTAATTGCTACTCAAGTGGCAGTATGCCCAATTCCCACAAGAAGACTGCATCAGAAGAGACAATTCTCCCAGAGCAAGGACTACACCAGGAGGCCCAGGCCCTCCCTCCTCTCCAGCACCATCACCTGTGAGGTCAGGCTGCCAGTTTTAGGCTTCTAAGGCGCCTTCCACATTTAAATTACTTGCTGTGGCCTTATACAAAGAGGTGTACTTTTTAACCTGTGCACTTGGCAGTCTTGTGGCCAGCAAAGTAGAGAGCTTGCTGAGGAAAGGAGCAGAGTGGCACTGAGCCACAGGGGGGCAGCCAATCAGGACAAAACAAGTTCCTACCCTGCCGGCACTAAGTGCCCTCCTTTATATTGGATATTAGTTTTTGTTTCTTTGCTCTTTCTTTCTTTCTTTTACATTTTCTACTTGCTTTTGTATTTCTGAGACAGGAGTTCATGCAGACTGAGATGGTTCTGAATTTACTATGTAGCCAAGGCTGACCTTGAACTCCTGACCCTCCTGCTTTTGCCCTCTAAGAGTTGGGATTACAGGCCTGCACCACAACACTTAGCTCCTCTCAATTTAATTACAAAAGTAGTAGAGGCTTGTTATGAATGTTTTAAATAGCGCAGAAGAGAAAAAAGTCAAAATTTTCTGCAAATTCTTACCGGAGGCTTGAGAAAAGCTAAACCCTGAAGGTGCTGCTGTAGAGGTAGTGGCCGAGGTGCCACCAAACACAGAGCCTCCCTGCCCAAAGCCAGGGCTTTGACCAAAAGCAGGAGGGTTGTTTTGGCCAAACAGTGTCCCTCCTGTGTTGGTGGAGGCCTGTCCAAAGGAGAAGGAGCCAGGGCTGCTGGCACTCGAGGCGGCTCCAAAGACATTGGCACTTGTGGATGTTGGGGTAGAGGAAACAGACTGGCCAAAAACAGGCCCGGAGCTGAACCCGGGCTGGCTGAAAGAGAAGCCACTTGCAGGGCTGCTTGGTGCTTGCCCAAAGGCTGGGGCCTGCCCAAACGCGCTCTGTCCAAAGACTGCTGGAGCTGAAGCACCAAACGCAGGGCTGCCAAATCCTGAGCTGCTGGCCTGTGGTGTGGCAGCGGCTGTGCTGCTGGCTGCCACCTGCCCAAACATGGGGGTGGCAGAGGATGTAGTGGCCGTGTTACTGGAGAGTTGGCTGAACGCTGAGCTAGAACTGGCAGCAGGTGGCTGTGTGAAGACTGAGGAGCCAGAAGTAGCAGTCCCAAACACGGCTGTCTCTGGGGCAGAAGCTGGGGCACTGCTGGAGACTGTGCTGGAGGTGCTAGGGGTCCCTGATGCTTCAATGGCTGCTGAGCCTGCCCCTGGGAGAACAGCTGCTGCAACAGCAGCCTGCCGAGGCCCCACAAAGGTGGAAGCAGGAGCTGCAGCCTCTGTCTTGCTGTCAGGGCCCCCTGGGGCTACTGGAGTGGCCTCTGTAGATGCCACAAGACTGGCTGCAGATGCTGGCGGGCTGGGGCTACTGTCTGTGGCCTGCACAAGAACGGGTTCTGTTTTGACAGGGTCAGCAGTTTGTAGAGAAGCCTGGGGAGGCGGCTGGGTTGACTGTGGCTGTACAGGAAGGGAGGGTGCTGATGCTGAGACTTCACTGTGGCCTGACTTCTCAGGCACAGCAGCTGGTGTGGCCTCCTCTGTGCTCTTAGCAGAGGACACAGGCAGGGAAGAAGTGGATGTTGAACTCAGGAGGCCACCAAATGATAAGGTGGGGAAAGATGCCGGAAGGGAAGGGGCAACTGAGGTTGATGTTGGGGCAACTGATGACACTGTACTACTAGTCTGTTGGCTTCCAAATGAGAAACTAGCTTTGCCACCAGCCAGAGATGCCCCACCAAAACTGATGAGCCCGGAGGGTCCGGCACTGGTAAGGGGCAGACTGCCAAAGACTGCTGCAGAGGAAATGCTAGTGCTCACACTCAGAGATGAGACTGGTGCCGCTGGGGCAGAGGCCACAGAGGATGTCACAGTGGGCTCCACAGGCTTCCCTAACACTGAAGTGCTAGGGAAGCTAAATCCCGAGGGCTTGGCTGGCTGGGCTCCGGCTAGGCTCGTGGATGAGGCCTTACTGACTGGCTTTGCAGAGTCCTCAGCTTGGCCAACACGAAGTCCTGAAAAACTCCCTAGTGTTTCTCCAGTTAGGGAGCCCGGGAACAGGAACTCTCCCAGCTTGGTCGTTGGAGTTTCCAATTTGCTGGAGGCAGTGGACACATTGATTCCAGAAGAAGCTGCAGGTCTGCTGCTGGGCGGGACAGAGTCTCCCGGAGGGGCAGTCGTTACAGAAGTGCTGGGTGCCGATATGACTCCTGTGGGAGGGGAGCTTCCAGGAATGGTCTCACAGAAAGGTTTGCCTCCCCCGCCAAATGAGAATGCCTCGAGCTGGTTTGACTCTTTAGTGGGGGGTACTGACCCTAGCAAGAAAAAGAAACCAGGAAAAGAGTTGGATTTAGCAAAACATGCATCACACTGGTGCCATTCTAAGGCACTCCCTCTCCTCTCTTCAGTCAGGCTAGCTGGTTCTAGGGCAGAGAAAAAAACGCAATGACTACTCTCCATAGGAACATTAGTTCTGCCGGAGTCAGCTCTCAGGTAGGAAGGAATGAAGAGTCTTTTCTGACCATTACATCACAGTGAACATATGGCATCCAGGATACACAAAATGAACAAGTTATCCCCAGAGAAGTAGAAAAGCACCTATCTATACTTTCTCAACTGCTATCAACAGTGCATTGGGTAATGGATTCCTTCCCGCCCTGAGTATCAGCTAATTGATGGATAATCCTGATAGGCTAATTGGACCCAGGCTGGAAGTTTTTCATTGTTTAAGGACACAGAATGTCAATCCACAGATGATAATTTTTATTACAGTTAATTATTTCCTGGGGTTCTGAGTATGGCACTTTACTACTGGAGATGTTGTTCATGGCTTTTGCATTATCTACCATTGTACTGATTCAGAGTTGATACAGGATTATTATGACATCTTATCCCTACTTTTATTTCCTATGAATTGGACAATGGCTTTGCTCTCCAAGCTTACACCCTTGTGAGTTGATTTTTACTCTAGCAAGTGAGAGTGGGCGGGACAGGAGAGAAGGCTGGGTGGGCAAAGCTTGAGTCTCAATGTGAGGACCCAAGTCAGAACTCCCAATACTCTCATAAAACCAGAAACAGTAGTATGCACTCAGGGTTCTTAAAATAAGAGAAACTGAAGAGAGAATAATTCTTGGAACATAGGTCAACCAGCATGTTGTATGTAACAGCAAACAAAAAACCTCACCTCAACCAAGGTGGGAGGCAGGACTGAGACCCCAGGTCATCATCTGACCTCTACACACGCACCATGGCACAAGCATGCTTGCATTTACACAGATGAACAACACGAGTACTCGCGTGCACGCACACGTGTGCACATATACACACACACAGAGACAAAGTTGGGAGGTAAGCTACACGGAAGCAAGCAAAGGTTGAAAATGTTAGAGCCACACCCAGACCAGAATTAGAGTGTCTGCTAGTTTTCAATGCCCCAGCCCCATCTGGACATTAGGAGAGATCCCTCTGACCAGGAAACTCTAGTATTTGAGTGCCACATAGGAAGCACCAGGCAATCTGTTGCTGGGCACAGCGACATACGACTGTGTTCCCAGGTACTGAAAGGAGGCTAAGATAAGAAAGTTTGAGACCAGACTAAGCAACAGTGACACCAAAGTATTAGGTTCTATTCCCAACACAAAGGAGGGGGAGATGTTGAGTGAAAGACTAAAACTGATGGATGTGTTATTTATCACACACATAGCCCAGGGCTGAAGCTCTAGCACTGTGCTCCATCCCCCAGTCCTCTTTCACTTAGAGACAGGCTAGTGCAAAGTTGCCCAGGCTGGGCTTGACTAACTCTATAGCCTAGATAGGTTTTAAATTTGTGATCTTCCTACCTCAGACTCCCAAGAAGCTGTGATTATAACCCTGTGTTTCCAGACACTGAAAAGGTGACAGAAGACACTGGGCTAAATAAAAATAAGACAAAACTCTGCAAAGGAAATATAACTGAACTATGTGGCTGCTATGTTCATACGTGACTCTGAACCCCATCATGCAGCTAACCTTTATATTTTCCTAACAGAAACACTTCATTTCATGATAAAGGCTTCCTTTTAAATAAAATAAAAATATATTTAACTATTCAGAGTTTGGAGGAACTTGACAAAAATGTTCTCTTTTGGGTGGGTCTAGAGTTACAACTTGAGGTTATAGACTCCTAGCACACACAGACCAGTGTTCGAGAAGGACCAGGTTGGGTCTTTTACTTCCATAGTACCATGTCTACCTTATTCTGGGTCCACATTTGAATGTAACATCAAATAAGACTTCCTTCCCCTGAACAGGCCAATCTCCCTCACAACAGGTTATTTTCTAAACTATCGTATTATCAGCACTTAGGAGGCAGAAGCAGGTGGATTTCTGAGTTCTAGGCCAGCCTGGTCTACAGTGTGAGTTCCAAGACAGCTAGGGGTACACAAAGAAAAAAGCAAAACAAACAAATCAAACCAAAACAACAAAAAACCCTCAACAACATCTCCCTCCACACCCCCCCCAAAAAAACCCCTACACTAAAAACTGTGTGTGTGCATGTGTGACAGAGCATGTGGCAGGCAGGGGACACCTTTCAGGAGTCACTTCTCTTCTTCTACCACGTGCTCAGCCTGGCAGCAGGTGCTCAGCCCCATATCAGGTTCCAGATCAAGCATTCTGCTCTCGCTCTGGTTCTCCAAATTAAACCCAGGGCCTTCTGTGTGCCGAGAAGATGCTCTGTGACTGAGCCACCCCCAGCCCTGTAACACGTCTCTAATGTCATCACTATCAACCTGACTGCAGAACTGTGCAGGAAACCCACAAAGAGTCACAGTGTCAACACACGTGCACATACGACCTTTCCTTAAGGAAACACAAAAGAGCACTATGCAACATGGGGACTGTACCTGGTGTGGCAGTGAAACTAGAAGGTGGTGTTGATGTGATTGTCCCAAAAGTAAAGGCAGTCCTGAGGAGTGGAAAAAGAGAAGTTAAAAAGGGACAAACCTAAGACACAACATCACACTTTCAATATTCCTCCTCATAAATCATTCACATAATCTGCCCTTGGAGAATTGACAACTGGTGATAAGCAACAGCGGGGTGAAAATCCACATCCCAGAGGCAGGGAGGCCACTCCAGCATATCCAAGCAGAGAGGGAGGAGCAGCAGGAAGGCTCTGGTTGAGCTTTCCACAGGAGGCCTGGGCAGAGACTTATTTTAAGAAAATTTAAGTTGCAGCAGTGAAAAGAGAGTAAGAATGAGCACGGGAAGACGCTGGAGCAGATGCCTGCCTAGAGAGTGGCTGGGAAGTCTGGCAAGGTAGCAGGGGGACAGCAGGGAGTATCTGGGCTCACCTCCAGTCAAGAGCATCCCAGAAGACCTGCTGTGCAGGGAATGTGGCCGCAGTGTAAGGCAACAGCAAAGGCATATTTTCAATGGAATACACAGGGCACCAAGCCCATTAAATATAATAAACAGGCCAGGATTCAGATTTTCTCATCTATTGTTGCCATCTTCAAATGGACAAACACCTTCTAACGATGTGCTACATTTTTTTTTATCATGTTAAAAAAGCAAAAGCCTTAAAAAAAAAAAAAAAAAAAAATCTGGCCTCAACCTTGGCAAGAAAAGTTTATGAAATAGATAGGCCACTGTGGCTCACTGACCCAAATCTTTCCAGCTTTCTTTATAAACTGGAAGAGTATTTTCATTTCAGAGACATGTAAAGGACATGGTAACCCTTGGCCTTGAACTACTCTTTAAAGTCTTCTTCAATTACCCCTGAGAGGTATGGATGTAATGATTTACAACAATGGAAAACAAGCACAACTTCTCCCAATTGAATGTCAGTGCCCTTTCCTCTGCGCTGGAGGATGCTCGAGAGCACATTACTCAGGGGAAATGGGTGAAGTTAGTGGAGCCCAGGTACAGAAGCAGACAGTGAAAGTATCAGGGGTGTTACCAACAGAAATGAATACACAGCTTTTCAGTGGCAACAAGTCAGAGTCTCAGTCCTGAAAACCTTCAGCATCTTACCTGGCTTATACCATGGCACACACACACAGACAGTCTTCATTGAATTATTTCGTCAGCCTAACGGCTGCCACTGTTTCTTGAAAACAGATGTCCTTGCTGAACATAGCAGGTTATCCTACAATTCCAGTGCTTGGGAGATGGAGGCAGGAGGTTCAGGAGCTTATGGCTATCCTTGCCTACACAGCAAATTTGAGACCAGCCTAAACTATGAGTCTCTCTGTTGAGCATCCCCCCATTCCCTATCATCTACTTACAGATCAGAATTTCAGGATGGCTAAGAGATCCAGATCAGCACAGTGTCCCACAGTCATGCTGACTAACTACTAAACAATGTAAGAATAAAAACACCAGATACACTGGATGACCTGCAGAAGTGAACACTCTCTGCCAGAAAAAAAATGAGGTTTAGGTTTAAAAAAGAGCAAATATAATAACCCTGAACTGCAAAGGGAAAACAGATCCACATTAAAACATGAACTGCTGCCACTGTTTGTAGATGCACTGCCACAGATATAAGAGCTCAGGGTTTGTGTGCAGGTGGTTGATAGTGACTTAGCACTAAGTTCACCACTGACCCTGATGGAGCAAATGAGAAAGGTTTGTTGAGCTGCCCCACAGAAGATGGAGTCGAGGTCACAGTTGATTCTGTCTTGGCTGTCCCTGGACCTGAAACAGACAAAATAACAACAACCGAAAGTCAGTTAGAGGTACTGTTCTGATCTGTAATTCCCTACAGCTCAGACTGTGTGCTATAGCCTGCCTTGTGCTTAAGGTCTCTTAGTTTTGCTCTTTGGTTCTTTTCTTTTCTTTCTTTCTTTTTTTAAAAATTCAGCAAATACCAGTTTTCTTTTTTCCTAGCTATAGAGGTAAGGGACACTTGCTCTATATATGATCACTCTAGAAAACAGAAGTGTTGAAACTAAGGGAAGTAGCCATCAGCCCACGTTAAGCTTGACTCAATACTAAATTCAATGTGGGCTGTAGAAACATGCTCAGAGCCGCCTTGTCCATAACTGTCCATAGAGGCATCTGGATTGTCAGCAGAGTGCTGCTAAGATGATAAGGCCATTAAAATGACTAAGGTGAATGTGCCAGGAACAGAACAGGATGTTCACTGTAATGGGGCTTGAGAGTGGGTAAACAGTTACAGAAGCACACCCAGGCAATGTCTGTTCATGTTTCAAACAATAAAGTGGGCTGGTGAGATGGCCCAGCAGGTAAAGGCCCTTGCTGTCAATACTGAAGACTGAGCTCAGTCCCTGTAACCCACATGCAGGAATGAGAGTGACTTCTACAAGTCTTCTGACACTAACATGAACACTATGGCATGCACACCCCCTTCTACTACATAAATGCAACAATACTAAAAACTAACAAACAAAAAGAATGTAGTAACCTCAAGAGGTACACATAAAATTCTTAAGGGTACCTATGAAAAAGATCCCTAGGGCAGCTGCCACTTTCTATTGTTATATTTTGACACTGACTTTTTGTTGATATGTGACCATGTTATGATCAGCAAATCAAGGAAGTATTTCTATTACTGATGAGTAGGAGGAATTATTCTACAGGTTTCAGAAATATACATACAAGGAGGGAGGGAGGGAGAGGAAGACGGTGGGGAAAGAAGAAGAGCCAATGAGAGAGAGAGAGTAAGAGAGAGAGTGAGAGCGCAAGAGCGGGCTAGGTATAGTGGCTCATGCCTACAACCCTAGCACTTGGGAAGTTGAGGCAGGAAGATTGCTATAAGCTCAAGGACAAGGCTAGCCTGAGTTATAAGTATAGTGGGCTAATAGTGAGTTATAGGGAATCTATTTCAAGTAAACAAGAAAATGTTTCTGCAAAGACATGCAGTGTTTTCAGCCTAAAAGAGAAAAGTTCTTCTCTAAGCCTAGATAAGCTCCCAAGGGAAGACAGCAACAGACAGCGAGTGGTTGAGCATTGATGCGAACCACACTGCTGCAGACAACTCCGATTCAGAGGCCGTTGGTCTCCGAGTCTTAACCTTAAATGGAACAAAAGGCTCTGCAAGGATGTCCTTTAGACAACTAAGACACACGCTCTTCTGAACCGTTTTCAGAAATATTAACTAGCAAGAGCCAAACTTATTTTAATCCTAAATGAATCAAGCTTTTGCTTAACCCACTAAGTTGTTGTGGTCTATATAATAGTAGTTTTCATGTGTGTGAGGGACACCGAGTTTCAGATCAAGGCTCTGGATGACAGAAAGTGGCCATTATGAGAAGTGGGCAGCGGCTGTGTGATGTTCAGTCTCTCACAGAACCTGTTTGAGAACGGGAATGAAAATAAAAGCTAGGCTGTAGAGGCAATATGTAGAAGGATGCCAGCACAGGCTATTCAAATGGAAGCTGTGGATGCTCACCAGAAGGAGATCAGAGAAAGTTGATCATGAAGATCAGAGTATGGAGCCAGGCACTTGTTAGCCATAGAGGCCAGGCAGTGGTGGCTCGCCTTTAATTTCGGCACTTGAGAGATAGAGGCAAATAGATCTCTGTGAGTTCAAGGCCACCCTGGGTTACAGGAGACTGAAACAGTTTAAAAGAGAAACAGTGCTCACACCTTTGATTCCAGCATGTGGGTTCACATGCTTTTAATATCAGCCCTAGGGAGGTGGAGACAGGAGTGAAATGGCTGGGAGGAGACAGGTGCTCAGAGTATTCAGTTTGAGGATGCATAGGGACACCATTGGTATGAAGATTCAGTAGAGGTAAGACCTAGTAGCTGGCTGTTCTGCTTCTCTCGACTTTCAGTATTTACCCCTCTGACTCCTGGGTTTTTATTATTAAGACCAATTAGAATTCGAGCTACAAGTCATTGTAAAGGAGCTGGGAATGTAGCTCCGTTGGAAGAGTGCTCTCCTAGCACGCAGAAAGCTCTGCACTGTATAAAACCAGGGACAGTGGCACGGGCACAGAAGGCCAGCACTGGGGAGGCAGACACAAGCTCATCATCTTAGGCTACATATTAAGTTTGATGTGTCATGCCTGAGCTACACGAGATCCCCTGGGGGTGAGAAAGAAGTGAAAAGAGGGAGGAGAAGGCAAGGGAAAGGGGAAAGGAAAGGAGGGGAATGAGGGAGAATGGAAAGGAACGAAAGAGTAATTTATAACCTGTAAGGGTATTACGAAGTATGCCAATCTTTTCCCTTTGAGAAGAGAGGACAGCAATCAACTGTCTAACAATCTTCTCTCTAAACAATTATCATGCTATTGCTTCTTTTAGAAAAAGAACATCAAAAGTTTTCTAAGTGTTTAGTGTAAAGGCTTTCAAATTCAACTCCAAATTTCAGAAACTGTTAAAAGAGCTTAACAATCCCTCATAGCCAAGGCCTTTGAAATACAGCATCTCTTCTTGCCTCCTGCATGCTGGCTCTGTGATCTGCACAAGGAACTATCAGGAACATCGTTCAGCTTCATTCTCATAAAACAAACATGCAGTCTCACCTGCAGCTTTATCTCCAGAGGACAACTGACAGGATGCAGGTGTGGGCCCTGATGGCTTGAAGGAATTTATCAGAGACCCCTGTACAGAATACAAAAAAGGAAAAAGAAAAAAGTAAAAGTTTATGTTAAACTGTTAACCATCTTGGAATAAATGCCATGTAAAATGGAAATGCAAAAACATAAACTAAGTAAGCACAAATACTGGAATTCAACTTAATTACCCAAAAGAGGAGGAAAGGAAAAATAATAACCGTTTTAAGTCAATCACCTATACCATCATACTGGAGACAAGTGTGTGGCTCAAAGATGACATCTCAGTGCCGAGCAGTGTTTGCACATAAATGGCACTTGAATACTCAGTAGAAGAATGAGTGGGCAAATGAGGAAAGCAGTCTCGGCAATTAGTAAGCGTAGAGTGAGCAGAAAAACCACCTGGGCTTTCCATCTGCAGCACCTCTGTCCTCACCTGCCAAGGTGTATGAGTTAACTATACACTCTCCATGAAGAACAAAGGAACAAGATGGTGTTGGGAGCTCACACTGGACAGCTGTGAAGGCACAGTCTCAAACTCTGGTTTCAAGTGCAACCTGAAGCAGCTCATCCAAGGCAGAGCTGAGAGAAACTAAGACTACAGGGAATGTTCCAGAGACAGTCTGGTTTCCCTTCTACTAACCTCCTCCCGCCTTCCCCCCTACACACAACCAGGCTCTCTATTATTCTCTTTTGCACTGTTTGCAAACTCTGAAAAGCAGAATCAGATAATCCATACCCAACACTGACTCTAGACAGTACAGTGGGAGAAGTAAAGGGCAGAGACTGGTCAGCTTGGGGACCCAGCTGTTCCTACCAGTTACTGACTGGTTGAGCCCACATGACTCACCTGACCTCAGCTGCCTCAAAAGGGGCACATCTAAATGCCTACCGTTGAGTTGCATGAACTGAGATAATGTTATATAAACAAACAAATAAACCGACAACAGGAAAAAAAAATCCCTGCAAATTAGAACACCTCATTCAAAAGCATTCTATTAGCATGTAAATGGTTTGTGAAGACAGTGGTCAACTATGGCAAGACTGGCATCAATTATGGAAAAGAAGTAACAATCTTTTTAAGAATCACATTCATTTAAATAAAGTCAAGCCATAAAGTGACCTTCGGTTTTAAGAGACAGAACGCACAACTGCTAAAGAACACATCAATAAGATACCTGCTTAGCTTGGTTGGCAGCCACCGGGGCTAACACTGCATTTGGTGTTTTGGCTGTTGAGTGCGGCACCGAAGAACTGAAAAACACACAAAGCATTTGCTCAGATACAGGACTGGAGGACAAACATGCTCGTCCTCAAGCTGGCTCCCTGTTCAATAGAAAACACTTTGGGGCAGAACATAGATGTCTGAGACCCCAAGCAAACGCACTAGATATTTTGTTGATGAACTGGTTATTAAATAAAATCTGGGTTTTCAAACATAAAATCCAAAACAATGACCTTGTTAGCTTTTTCCTTTCTACAATTCCATGAAACAATTTGTAATCATTTCCAAATAGATGCTATTCTTATTGGGACAATTGGCATTCTTCCTTCCTGCCTCCCTAGTTTCAGACCAGGTAAGGAAGTTCCAATTCTTTTTTAAGACTGAAAAAAGGTGTTCAGTGGGATCTGTGGGGCATAAATGATCAGCTGCACATACAACAAAGGTGTTCTGAGACTGGATGCTTGCAGGGCAGCTGTGGGGGCTCCACAGCTCTGCTGCTCTATGGCCAGCCTGCACCTGTGTTGGCTACTCTATGAAGGCACACCCAATCCCAACCCTAAACACTGTACCCAGGGGACCATTGCTTCACTCCCTAGCTAGTGATAGCATATGAAGGAAATCCAACTATCAGTACAATCACAGACACAAGTCCTTAGCAGTTAGGGAAAGCTATTCAATTTTTTTTGTCCTCTGCCTAAAGCTACTTTATTGAAATGGATAGTAGCATTTGTAGTTATGGGATCTGTTTTTCAGAACTTCAGATTTGAGGGAGGAATAGTAATCACTTTCCACCAAAAATTAATTTGATGCCAGGCGTTGGTGGTGCACGCCTTTAGTCCCAATGCTTGGGAGGCAGAAGCAGAAGGTTCTCTGAGTTCAAGGCCAGCCTGGTCTACAGAGCGAATTCCAGGACACAGAGAAACCCTGTCTCGGAAAAAAAAAAAAAAAAAAAAAAAAAAGAAAAAAAAGAAAAGAAAAGAATTTAAAGAGGGAAGGTAAGCTCACAGCTCATTGAGAAACATCAATAAACAGCTTAGTTCTTATAGTCCGTGAGGGTCCTCTGTGGGAATAACAGAGACCCTTCCCTGACTTGATTAGACTGGAAAAGAAAAACATACTCATTTTCAATGAAACAAAACCCCCATGATGATTCTGCCAGAACAAAAGCTGCAAAAGTGCCCCTGAGACATTCCACTACACAGGTCCTTAGGTACCACACCTACCCTCAGCTCTGCTCATTTCCAACAGAGAGAAGGAATGTGCTGGCCAGACTGCTGGGACCTGAGAACCCAGGGTGGATTCAGTCAATTTGCTGACAGATACAGTTTGAGCTCAGGGACCCACAAGGGAAATAAGCCTCTTTTATGTAAAACTAGAAATGAAGATTAAAAACAGCAATTTATCTACATCTAGGAAAATATTTATACCTAAAATTTAATGACAACATGATGGTACATTAAATCCCAACAGCTCAGTTGCATTCAGTTATTGTTCTATTTACTTGTTCTATTGACATACTACATGTCTCCTGGGCATCCCAAATCCCCAAACACAAAACCAGGAGGCACAGGACTAGCCATGTGACACCTCTGTAGAGAAATGCTGTTTGGCACAAGCAGCCAATAAACCAACCCATAAGCCAGCTCCAAGAAATCTCTACCACAACTCAAAGGGGCCAACAGCAAAGAACAGCACACCCCCAAATGAACAGGCTCAGAAACAAACACAGCTGTGCCAGAAGAAGGAGCACAGCAGCTAGAAATGGTCATGAGAATATATGGGAAAACCAGGTTCAGAATTGCCATATTTTGGGTAACTTTATTCTGCTTTCCAGCAAGATCTGACGTCACTTGTGCACTCTGTCCTCAAGAGAAACAACTGGGCTGGGGGTCGGCTCAGTGGCTGAGAGCACTTGTTGAGGACCTAGGTTCAATTCCCAGTATACACACAACAGTTCACCATTACCTGTAACTAACTCCAGGGAATATAATAGCTTCTGGTCTATATTGGCATCTGTCACACACATGATGTACACACACACATGCTTGGAAAACACACACGATCTAAAAGAGGAAGCAACTATCACAGGACCAGAGCAAAAAAGGACACAATGAGACCCAGAGCTGCTGTGAAGCACTCCAGTGTTTTGAAGTATTCTGCACACTGTTGGAAAAAGGGTCAGAAATGACTCATTCTTTCATCCGTTTCAACAGCTTAAATGGCCTAAAGCATGAGGCACATGCCTTCTTTTAGAAAATTTTAATTATTAGCATATCTTTTAATAAACATGAGGAGGCAGAACCAAACTACATCTACTGGGTTATGTAATGAATAATGAAATTTTTGAAAAGTGGGGCAAGTAAATCCCCCCCCCCAAAACAGGGTTTCTCTGTATAGCTTTGGAACTCACCTTATAAACCAGGCTGGCCTCAAATTCACAGAGATCCACCTGCCTCTGCCTCCCGAGTGCTGGGATTAAACGCATGTGCCACCAACCCCAGCCTCTCTTTTTGTTTTTGTTTTTTTTTTTTTTTTCAAAAGTGGGGCAAGTAAGTAAAGATGAGAGTTTATCAAGAAAATAAGAAACAATAAACACAGAGGAAAAAAAGAGAAATTAATGAAAATGTTATTTTATGTATTCTTGTATTTTTTTTTTTTTTAAAGAGGCAGGGGTTCTCTGACCTAGAACTCATTCTATAAACCAGGCTGTCCTTAAACTGAGATTGGCCCACCTCTGCCTCCCAAGGGCTGGGATGATTAAAGTATGGACCACCATGCCAAGTGAATGCTACTTTTATTTAATACAGCTGCCCTTAACCTGTGGGTCATGGTGTTGCAGGTTGAATGACACTTTCACAGGACTCACCTAAGACAGTCAAAAAATATTTATATTATGATTCATAACAGTAGCAAAATTACAGTCATGAAGTAGAAATGAAAATCATTTTATGATTGGGGGTCACCCCAACATGAGGAACTGTATTAAAGGGTCACAGCATTAGGGAGGTTGGGAACCACTGATTTCATAGAATCCAAACCTACCGAGACATTCCTGAACCCTGCCCATGGCTAAATACTTATCAGCTATTGTCCCCTCTGCTGACCCTCATGTTTCTGAAGACAAAGCACTTTCCAAAAGTCTCCTCAATGGATTTGCAGTTTCTCTTGAGACAGAGGCAAAGTAGATTTCTGAGTTCAAGACCAGTTAGGGCCACAGTGAGACAGCCTCAAAACACAAAAAAAAAAGTACATAAGAAATCCATTTACAAGACAGCTAGATGTTTATAACAATGCACCACAAGGTGTGAGACAGGCAGAAATAAAATGTATAGTAACAACACACAGGAGGGAGAAACAGCCCTGGGCTGAGGTAGACTATATACTTTATAGCCTAATGGAGTTATCATCAATGAGCCAAACAAAAAGACTAAACACTATACAAATACTCAAGTACAGCATGTGAGAGGCTAATAGGAGCTGCCACAAACAAGTCTCTCCTTGCCATGAATTTAGAAAAAGAAATATATACTAAGGCCTCAAATCCAGTAACCACAAATCAGTCAGAAAACCAAAAGAAGAAATGTAAGCTGGAACTTACACACAGTGCACACAGGGGCAGCACCATAGGTTCAAGCTAAGCCGACACCACCCAAGATGTTAGCTAAGAAGCATGCCTTCAGAGTAGTTTAGAATCCAGGTTTAAATGATGACACCTTTAACCATTAACTTGGGAGAAGCAGGACTTCTTTTCCTGACAGCATCCAAATAAAACCCAAACAGCTTTGTGAGTATATGCTGCTTCCATGCATTGGACTTTCTGCTCAGTGGCTGAAACAGTGACTTTTTCTAACTGCTAAAGAACTTTTTAATCAATAAAGAAAATTTGAATTTAAAAGTAGCATGCTATGCTATCAGTGAACAAAGAAAGACAGAGCAGAACACTTGGGAGGTAGAAGCAGTAGTGTCAGGAATTCAGGGTTATTCTCAGCAACATACTGAGCTCAAGGTCAGCCCGGGCTATGAGACTTAAGAGTGATTTGAGAGGGAGGGAAGGGGAGGGGGAGGGGGAGAGAAAGAGAGGGAAAGAGATTATTTTGACACATTAAAAAAAGGCAAACTGTAGATTGTAGATTAATATTCTTTAAAAAACAAAACAAAACAAAAAAAAAAACAAAACAAAACAAAAAACCCTCCAGAAGATAGCTTTTCTCTTTTTTTGTTTTTTTTTTTTGAGATAGGGTTTCTCTGTGTAGCCATGGCTGTCCTGGAACTTGCTCTGTAGACAAGGAAAGAGATTATCTTGACACATTATTTAAAAAAAAAAAAAAAAGGAAATTATATATTAATATGCTTAAAAAACAAAAACAAATAAACAAACCCCAAAATAACTCTAGAAGATAGCTGTTTTTGTTTTTTTGAGACAGGGTTTCTGTCATGGCTGTCCTGAAACTTATTCTGTAGACCAGGCTGGCCTCCACCTCACAGAGATCCATCCTGCCTGCCTCTGCCTCTTGAGTGCTGGGATCAAAGGCATGCACCACCACTGCCTGGTGATTATTTTTATTTATATGTATGTATCTGTGCAGGTACCTCAAGAAGTCAGAAGAAATGGTCAGATCACGAGTAGCTATGAGCCATCCAACATGGATGTGAACTATCTCTACAGGCTATCAATTAATATTTAGATAGATGGAGGAATTTCTAAAATGTTAGCAAACCAATTAGAATCACATACTTAAAGGGCAATTGATCAAACATTCAAAGACTAACCAATGCTTTGGGAATAAACAGAGTGAAGTGGGCCACATCTCATACCGTTTACAGGAGTAAACTCAAGGCAGGCTCTAAAACACATATAGTAACCCTTAAGACCCTTAAAGGATTGGATGTGGATGATATGGAGTGGCAGTGAGGTGGGCTGGGCAATGGGACACAGTCATGTCCAGAGCAGGGGTAGTAGTAGTATTGACCATTGATTGCTGCTGCAGGATTTTCAGGTCATTATGTTTTACAAGCTATATGAAGTATATGGAACCTCAAATAAAAACATTTTCCTGAAGTCTACCAAAATCTGTCTTCAGTGGTGAGTAATAGAGAGAGGTAGTTGACTCCAAACTGGCAAAACAGGAGGCAGTATTGAAACAAGGTGTGAGCCCTACTGCCAGTAAAGGAAAGATGTTCATTTCTGAATTACACTCTTAAACCACCCAGACAAGGGAAGATGGGTCTCCTTATACAGCAGCCCAAATTAGTGATGGGAAGACTTGTAGAAGATCAAGCTAAAAGCAAAGTAAGTGTATGTGAATCTCAAGTCCATTTGTTTATGTATGAGAACTAATTTTTCTAATAAAATGACTTAAAGAGCTACAGAACAAACAGAAATGTCCATTTTATTTATGATCCGTAATTAGGTATCCCATCTCAAAGGAGGTGGATGACATCTTGAGAATGACATCTGAAGTTGCCCTCTGGCCTCCAAATATACCACTATAAGCATGTTAAAAAATAGCAATCCAGATATTGTCTACCAGTGTAACTCCTTGAGCTGATCTCCCAGTGGCCCCTTTTCCTCTCTGCCTTCCTTTATTCCGGCTACCAGAGACCTCCAGGTGCCACAGGAACATGCCAGACACACTCCTACAATACATGCCCATGACTGGAACTCACAAAGTCTTGGTTTGTTTTGTCTTTTCTGACCTCAAAAACAAAACAAACAACAAAAAGAATTTGTGGAAAGAATTTAAAACAAGTATGTGTCTGGTGTGTTTTGGCTAATAATAACAACAAATAAATAAGTCAAAAGCCTACCACTTGCTGGGTGGTAGAAGTGTATACCTTTAATCCCAGCACTCAGGAAGCAGTGGCAGGAGGACCTCTGTGAGTTCCAGAACAGCTTAGTCTGTAGATGGAGGCCAGGGTGGCACAGAGGAAACCCTGTCTAGGAAAGGAAAAAAAAAAAAAAAAAAAAAAAAACCAAAAAAACCAAAAAACCCTGCCTGCCCCGCCCCCAAATCCGACCACTTGTTGGTACCCATTTCGTTCCACTTCCTACTAGGATTCTAGCTATTCTGGCCTTTCGACAATGCCAAATGTGCTCTGCCCTTTCCTAGGTTTGATTTCTGCACACTGCATCATTACTCTGTTTACTCTACCTAGCACCTTCTGATCATTCTTCCAAATTCAGCTAAAGTATCTTCTTAACTCTTCCCCAAGCCCAGATCTGCCTGAGTGCCTTATTCTGTTTTTCTAGCACCTGGAATCTCTTCTGCACCCACATGACACTGAAATGAAACTATGCAACTGGTTGGTTGGTGGTCTTCTTGTTGAGATCTCTGTACGGCAGCAGAGATGAATATCTTCTTTACTACTTCCTGTCCCTAACCTCAGGCAGGGCAGTACCACTCACACAACTGATGCTCTGCAGGAAGCTGCAGAAGCAAGTGACCCAAGCACTACTGAGTGTGAACAGCTATGGAGCTGTCCAGCTAAATATGGAAGGAAAGAAAGAACAGCCTCACAACTATACAATACAGTGGGGTAGATCCCCAAAGAGCAGTTAAGTGCAACATTAATATACTTCAGAGATGGCTGCTTGCAAGACCCTCAAAACCAGTCATTTCACAATCACTATGCCCCATGGGAATGACTATTTAAAAGGGCTAGCGAGTTCCTGGGGACATAGTTGTGAGAGGTGCTCAATGTCTGTAACTCTGTATGTTCCACACTGTGGAAGGAGAACCAACTCCCCACAAGTTGTCTTCTCATCTCCACACATGTGCCTTTGGCACATATGCGCACATGAACAAAACATATCTGAAAACAAATTTAAAGCTAAAATGAAAATAAAATATGGTTTAGGCACTGGATGCACAAGTTAAATAACTGTATCAGAGTCCAACTCTGATGGCTTAGCAGAGGACCTGGGTTCAGTTGCCAGCACCCATGCAGGGGGGCTCACCAAAAACACCTGTAAGTCCAAGTTTCAAGAGGCTCTGACACTCTCTCTGGTCTCCATAGGCTCCTGCATGCACACAGTGCACATCAACTCATACAGGCGCGCGCGCATGCGCACGCACACACAAACACACACACACACACACACACACACACACACACACAGAGAGAGAGAGAAAATGAAGAAGAGATTTTTAAAACCCTCCTCCAACACTTGTGGTATTTTTGTTGGAGAAGAGCTAGAAGGCCTGCTGTCAAAGTGGGAGCATGAGATGTGAGGAGGTGAGCTGAACACAGACGGGCAAAGGTGCTTCTCTTCCTTGGTGAGTGGTCAATGTCACACTGTGCCCGCATGCCTTGTCTTACACAGCATTCTGCCTGTCAGTGGCTTTCTGCCTTCTCTGTGATGGTAATCTGCTGTAGTTCCCAAACTCTGGTGCTCAGTTCTCTGGGGAATTCACAGCAAACACAAATACCAGCCTTTAGTCATTCCAAGACAGCAAAGAGGGCAAATTTGGTTTTTTGGCTATTAGTATGACATTGAGTTAATTATACATTTTTGTAGCAGGCAGTGTTGGTAAATAGACCAACATGTAAACAACTGAAGTCCGTCCAGCAGACAGTGTGGCAAGGCCACTCAAAATGAAAATGGAGTCTTGGGTAGGCAGGTCTGCTCACAGTAGCAATAGAGAACTGGAGTGCAATATAAAACACAGGGGCCTATAGCTGCTCCCCTTGCCACTGACTATATATGGGCACCAGACACTGGGTCCCCTAAAGACACTGGTCCTTGACAATCCCCCATACAAGCCAAAGGAATGTCCCCCAACACTTCCAGACAGCAAAGGGAAGCTAGTTGCTCTAGAGGAAATGTGGCTTCAAAATTGTGTAGTGAGGAGGGCATAAGTGGCATTCATAACACACGCACGTACATGGAGGATGGGGCTGGCTGGCCCCAAGCACCTTGAGCCCTGGAGAAGACCAAAGTCAAGTGAGCGCTGGCAAGTATCTTGTCTAAAACAACATGGAGGAAAAGCAGAAGTTCTGCGAGTGCAGCTGCTTGCTCTTAAATACTGTTCTTTCTTGAAGAAGACAAGTTAAATTAAAAGGAAGCAAATTCTGGGAGAGAAGAAAGTCACTGGCAAACTCATTGCTCAGTAGTCACTAGACTTGAAATGTCAATATCGGAACCCTGGGAATACTAAGAAAAAAAAGGGGGAAGATATATCAAACTTCACACTTGACTGATAGCTTAGTGGGTGCCCATGCAACTTTGCAGCCAGCAAAGTATTCACAGACTACAGGCTGTGAATTGCAGCCAATTCTTGGCAAGATGAAACGTCCACCTTCCAAAAAAACTTAGTTGTGGCTGCCCATTCCTTCACAGGGAGAAAAAAAAAAAAAAAAAAAAAAACCCGACATGACAACAGTGCTCCCTCAAGACAAAGTGCCTCCACACAGCAAACGGTGGGGTGAACATACAAAAGAGCTGTGACGTACCCCATGGCCAGAGAAGGGGCGGCAGGGTTACTCTTCAGTTCCTGTACGTTCACCACTTGAGGAACATTCTTCAAAGTTGATTCAGTTAGCGTGCTCACAGCTATGTAAACAAGGAAGACAGAGAACACATTAATTCCTGAAAAGGACTAAAAAGCCTATCTTTGTAGAAATGAATTATCAAGGATATAACCTTGAGCAGCCAGCAACCTTATATAACGGAAATATACTCAGCAATGCAGTCAACAGAGCACCTGGCTGACTCGTATTAAATGGACTTGATGCCATCTAATAAAACACATTGGTACTGAGGAACAATTCCCTGGCCAGCTTTCTGCAGCAGAACCCAGGTACCTGCCACATTGTTGGCTCATCTATCCAGAGGATTAACAGCCTTCAGTTCAGGGCTGCTGCCATTCATTCATCTATCCGTCTTTCCCCACAGGCTTGTGATGTGACAGGCTCTGTGTAAGTGTGCAAATACAAAAGCTTCCTAAAGTACAGCTTCTTTATTGTCACCGGGGCTTAAACAGACAGATGACACAGTGAGCAAAGTGGAAAACAGAGCTTGGAAAATAACGCCAGAAGAGGCCAAGAGGCCTGAAGTACATACATCTGACATGGACCTATTTATTTCTTACCTCATCAGCTTTATTATGTTTTTTTTTTTTCTCTCTCTCTCTTTTTTTTTTTTTCCTCATTTGAGACAAGGTCTCATTATGTAGCCCTGGCTGTCTTAGAACTCCCTATGTAGACCAGGCTGACCTCAAACTCATATCTTCCTGCCTCTGCCTGCCAAGTGCTGGGATTAAAGTTATACACCACCATCTCCAGCTTTTTACTTTTTTGTCTTAATTTTCCACCATATTTTATAACCCTTAATGACATTCTGTTATTAACAACTGGAAAGGCTTAAGCAAAGCTCTCTGGTCTCCTGGGCAAACCTGGCATCCTGGGGAAGAGCTGGGGAATGCTGCCTACACTGTACACAATTCACCTCAACAATTGAAGATGTCTCCATCTTACAGGCTTGCTCTAAGAGACAGTGAAGCTCAGAGCATTTCCTGCTGAACACACCATCCTAAACCCTGACAGATCTTAACATCATAAATCATCTGCTGGACTTGGAACCTCATCAGTGTAACGCCAGATCCCATCTGCACATATGCACTATGTGTTCTGAAAGTTTAAATGTACCTTAAAGAGTTAGCCTGTCTTTACTTTTTATTATTTATTGTATGTATCTTAAGGTTATATTTAAATGACTTATTGCTATTTGCCTTTTTAAGAAATAATTTATTTTTATTTTATATTCATTAGTGTTTTGCCTGTGTGTATCTCTGTGTGAGGGTGTCAGATCTTGGAAATACAGACAGTTGTGAGCTGCCATGTGGGTGCTGGAAATTGAACTCAGCTTCTCTGAAAGAGCAGTCAGTGCTCCTAAACCATTGAGCCATCTCTCCAGCCCCCACTTTATTTTGTTTTGAGACAGGGTTTCACTCTGTAGGCCACACAGATCCCAAGTTCACCATATAGGCCAGATTGGCTGTGAACTTGGAACAATCTGCCTACTTAAGCCTCTGAGTGTGGATTACAGGTATGAGCCACTGTCTGGCTCACAATTCTTTTTTCCCTATATGAAACAACCATGTCTCTTTGAGTCTACTTAAGTGAAAATATATGGCACTAACAGTTTTCAACTGTGGTACTTCACATTGGGAACAGGTAATCCTTCCTTAGTGTGTGTGTGTGTGTGTGTGTGGGGGGGGTGTCTTTGTGTTTTAAGATTCTACCTTAACTTCCCCAGGCAGCACTCCTGCCAATTGTCTGGGCCAGGTGGAAGGAGGAACAGCCTCTGACTGAGAACCACTGGCTTGCCAAGCTGACAAGTATTGATAACCAGCCCTGAGTCCAAGCCCTAGACGGTCATTAAGTCTTAACTAGAGACCAGTGACAACATCAGCACAAAACGGTGCATCTGTGAAGGCTGAGCTCTAGTATGTACAGCTTGGGTAACTTTCTCTTCTGACTCTCTCACTACTGGAACACAAGTAGGTACACTACAGCCACCCTCCCAGTGGCTGGGAACCTTAAAATATTGTTGTAATGATATTAGATGGTCTAATTTCCAAGATCAAATTAGGACCAAAGCAGAGATCACCAATCAAAAGTGGGAATTATCAGCATCAAAACCCTTCAATTCCCAGAAACTAAACGTGTCACATCTAATACCTACCCTTCAGAGCAAAACACTTGAGACCTACTCTCTGGCTCCTGGGAGATCTACTCACAGGGGTGAAGGCCATAGAGTTAGCCTTCTATTCTGAGAAGCAGCAAAAGAGACAGATGTCTTCCACCCCAAAGCCCACGCCTCTGACCTGGACAGATCATAGTCACTCTCCTAGGAATGGGGCTACAGCCTTTACCTGGTGCCTGATTGGCCATCTGCCGTCTCAGGGCTGCAGCAGCTGCTGCCTGGGGAGCTGCGACGGTGTGGGAAGGACCTGGGGCACCATGCTTAACTGTTTTGGTTGCCAGCATTGTGCTGTCGGCTCCCTGAGGAATAACTTTGCTGGCTGATGTAGAGACTGAGGGGAAAAGAAAATTTACCAGAAAAATGGGGTCAGTGAAGGGAACACAGAAAAGTTAAAATGGTAAATTCTATTAGGCTATGGGAAAAATGCTAAAATTAAAAATTCTAAGCACTACAAGAGAACATTTAGAGCAGTACAGAGCTTGATTTCTTGTAAAATGGAACTGTTTTAGTACTGTGTCTCTGCTAGAAGTCACCATGACACAAAGGCAGTGAACACACAATGGAGACAGCACAGTGAAAGACTGCCACAGTGGCTCACCAGCCACAGTGGCCCATGGTCAGTTTTAGTTGCTGACTTACCTGAAGAGTTCATCACAGCAGGTGAAGAATTATGAATCAGGTGAGGCTTAGCAAAAGGCATTGCCTGGGGCAGGAGACTGGGTTGGATAGAAGGTGTGCGAACCACAGGAGCATGCCGATGGACCTGGACCACGGCTTCCTCCTCTTTGCAGGGTGACCGTGCATCTTCTGCCTCCAGAGTCTGAGAGATGGAGGATGTGGAGCTGGCTTCATCTAAGTCTTCATAGTATCTCTGAGACAGGAAGGCCGACCGAGACAGGCTGGCTACAGAAGCCCCACAAGAATACAACAGACAGAGCAAATGCAAAGGCGATGTCATTTCACTGCTAAGAGACTCATCCAACTTGTAAAGCATTTCATTATTTTATACTTTAGGTGAAAACAGCTACTGATGAATGTGAATGATGATGGTTTGGGGTCTTCAGAAGCTAAGCTTCGAGGTCAGGGATGGATAACTATCAGACAAAAGACTGAAAGAGACAGAATCAATCCTAGTACAAAAGCAGTGTGGGAGATAACAGGCAAGCTCATAGGGCAGGGATAAGGATCACATATCACCACTGCTTTCCAACAGTGACCTACACCTACAATAGCCTATCAGAGTGGGAATGACCTCAGTCTGAGTGTCTCAAACACTTCTATATGAGCCCAGTGATTCTCAACATGGAACTTAACTCTGGCCTTCTCTGCTCTTCCTTCTTTATTTTTATTTATGCCAACGTCTACCTCAAACTTCAGAACAGGTATTTTTACTGTACACTGGAAAAACAAAATGCCTGCCCCCCTTTCCTTCTGCTATTGCTTGTCTGTCCTGTAGGCAGATCATGCTACATGTCCTAGCATAAGTGTGACACAACAAATGCAACTACAAACCAGTGCTACATGCCAGGGTCCTGCTGCCCGCTAGACACTACAGCTATTTAAAGTAGTTAACTACAGCTGTATGGTGGCACTTGCCTTTAATTCCAGCACTCAGGAGGTAGAGGCTGGTTGATCTCTGTTGAAATCAAGGCCAATCTGGTCTACATACTTCTAGGTAAGCAAGAACTACAAAGGGAGACCCAGCCTCAAAATAAACAAACAAACAAACAAATAAGAATAAATTAAGTGGGGGCTGGGGAGATGGCTCAGTGGTTAAGAGCACTGACTGCTCTTCCAGACGACCTGGGTTCAATTCCCAGCACCCACATGGCAGCTCCTTGCTGTGTTGAACTCCAGTTCCAGGAGACTCAACACTCTCATACAGACATACACACATGCAGGCAAAACAACAACGCACATAAAGTAATTAAAAAAAAAAAAGTAAATTAAGTGTAAAGAAATAGAAAGTTCTATTTTTCGGATGCGCATTTCAAGTACTCAATGGGCAGCAGACTTTACAATCTGGACCATACTGTTTCCAAGTATTTTGAGGCAAACAACTATGTGGTAGATCACTTAGAAATTCCATTTAAGTATATGATGTCAGAATTTGAAATGTTAAAGTTTATTTTCTGCAAACAACTTGATATTTTTATGGTTCAACATCAAGAATGTAGATTCCCCATGTCTTACATTTCTGACCCAAAGTTGTTCAGCGGGGCCCTGGGGAAGTTAACTGAATTAATTTATCTATGTTATACAGCAGAGCTATTATTTTTATAGTCTTTGTACATTTAACAATGTTACCTTGTCAAGACATACAGTGAAAAAAATTAAAGCTGCATTCCTAAATTCTAAGGAACACCAACAAAGGGGACAAAAGTGCTCGGAAGTGCACCTTTACCATAACTCCAACAGAGCAGCTCAGCCAACACCTTTGAGTCCAGCTTCTGCCCTAGCAGAGGACCTAGCTGAGCCTGAACTGACTGTACAAGCTGCAGCAGCAGATGCTATTATGAACCACTAAGTCTGTGGTGATCTGTTGCAGCACATAAAGGAAACTAACACAAAAGCCCCCATGAAGCCCTATTACCTGTCTTCTCACTAAATAGTCAGGAAAAACAAAAAGGAACAGGGCAGGTATGGGTTCAGTCATAGAACACTTGACTAATGTGTGCAGCCTGGGTTTGATCCTCAGTACCAAAACAGTCCTAACACCAAGTATGCTATAGTGTACTGGGGACGGGAGAGTAATGCAACTGTGATAATATTAACTATTAAATAGAGATGGATGCTCCTTTAGCTACAACAGGGTCACGATGGATAACCTGCTATAAGATCAGAAACAAGTCATAAGGGCAGCCAATACATGGAGGCTGCCAAACACCACAGCTTTGTCTGATCTATACTATATGTGCTCAGAAACTCATAGTAACCTACTGTTAGGCAAAATCACCCAACAGAAAGCTTAATTTATAAGCAAGTATCAAGTACCTTGTATAAAGTTCTGAACACTGCCTTGGAACTGGAAGACAGGAGCACATTTTTCCCCACAGTAAAGTAGAAGAGTCAAATCCATGCTAATGTTATGGATCATTCCACACAGGTGAAGGGTAATAGGTGCTCCGTGACTAGATTATTTTCTTCTTTCTTCCTTCCCCTCCCTCCCTCCCTCCCTCCTTTCCTTCCTTCCTTCCAAGACAGAGTTTATCTGTGTAGCTTTAGAGCCTGTTCTGGAACTTGATTTGTAGACCTAGACCAGACTGGCCTCTAACTCACAGAGATCTGCCTGCCTCCCAAGAGCTGGGATTAAAGGCATGTACCACCACCGCCCAGCTGTGACTAGATTCTTAGAGGCATCACTCTTTTCTCAAAATAATAAATTAAAAATGACACACAAACATAAAATTAAAAAATACATGCAAAGATATAACTTCCACATATCCACATAACATTCTTTAAGAAGAGCAAATGTTATCCTGGAATCAGATGGAAGCAGATGCAGAAATCCATAACTAACTAATGGGCCAAGCTCCTGGAGTACAATCAAAGTGAGGAACAAACGACAGTATGAACAGAGGAGTCAAGACCATGATGGGGAAACTCACAGAAATTACCTAAGCTAGTGAGAGATCACTGACTCAGGTCTGACAAACGGGAAACCTTCGTAAGACCCAACTAGACTCCCTTAATATAGGTGACAATGGTGTGACTGGGACAATATGTGAGGCCACTGGCAGTGGGTCCAAGATCTAACTCTAATGCACAAACTGACTTGGTGGAACCCATTCTATATGGAGAGATATCTTGCCCAGTCTAGACGGAGGGGTTCAGGAGTAGAGAGGTGCCTTGGTCCTGCCTCAACTAGATAATTGATGGGACAGACTTAGCAGACTTCCTATGGGAGGCCTTACCCTTTCCATGGAGCAGATGGGAGGGGATAAGAAAAGTGGGAGGAGAGAGGGGGAACTAGGATTGGAATGTATTAAAAAACAAAACAAAACAAAACAAAAAAAAAAAAAAAAAAAAAAACAAATGTGGTGGGTAGAAGTGAGATTTGTGTGTGCACCTGTGCACGAGCATGCATGAAGAAGCTGGAACAGGACATTACTCAGAGGCATTTTCTCACTGAGTCACAATAGCTACCTTGGATAGGCTTGTTAATCAGAGACATCTAGTGATTAGCCTGTCTCCCCCATGTAATGCTGGGATTATGGGCACAGGCAAACATTCCCGTCTTTTTAATCTGTGCTGGGGATGTGAACTCAGGGCGGCACACAAGAAGAGCAGGCGTTTTTAGTTTTTAGCCCCAAGACAGGGGTTTCTAAGAAGCGGGCATGTTCTCTCTTTTTGTTTTACAAATGTGTAAGATTTATTTAAGTGCATTGGTGTTTTGGCTGCATGAATGTCTGTGTGGGGGTGTCAGATCCCCTGGAATTGGAGTAACAACTGTGAACTGCCATGTAGATGCTGGGAATTGAACCCAGGTCCTCTAGAAGACCAGTCAATGCTCTTAACTGCTGAGACATCTCTCGGCCTCCATGGTTTGTTTAACTTCAGTAGAGGTTACACATTTAGTTTTATTTCCTGTACCTTTTTTGTGTATTACATTATAATTTTAAAGTTTTAAGAAAGATTATATGTAGCCGGGAGGTGGTGGTGCATACCTTTAATCTCAGCAATCAGAGACAGGGGCAGGTGGATCTTTGAGTTTGAGGCCAGCCTGGTCTACAGAGCTGGTTGTAGAACAGCCAGGCATACAGAGAAACTCTGTCTCAAAAAACAAAACAAAACAAGTATATGTAAACTGTGGGTGGTGGCAATGCCTGAAGTCCTAGCATTCCAGGAGGTAGAGATAGAGTTCACTCTTCATAATGAGCACTGTTCAGAGTTCATAAGTTCATTGCTATCCTCCACTACACAGAGTTGAAAGCCACTCTGGGTTACATGAGACCCTAGCTCCAAAACAAACAAAGCTTCCATATCTCGAGTTATCCTTCCTAGTGCATGTGCTATTATTAAACAAGTATACTGTGCGGCCTCAGCATAGTTTATCTTCTTTGTTCACATTTTGAGTGGTCAGACCTTGTTATCTTATTTGTCACTATCTGGAACCAAAATAGGCAATCACATTTGCTGAATAAACAATTACATAAACCTCATGTCTAAGGACTCAATCATAAAGATATAATCAGATTTACGAATAAGGATGTTTCATATAACCTCCTGGCAACAAACAGGATTAACAAGATTGGGCAAATGTGTGGCAGCTTTCTAATACAAGGATGTGTCCTACAATCAGCATCAGGCACATGTTCAAAGAGCACAAACAGAAACTAGAAAAAAGTTTCTGAGAAGTCTGATCACAGTGGTGTTAGCTCCAGATAATAGGCATCAGTGTCTGTCCTGGTGTTTTTTGTTTGTTTGCTCATTTGTTTTCTGTGAACTTGACATAAGCTGGAGCTATAAGTGAAGAGGTAATCTCACTTGAGAAAATGCCTCCACAGGATTGGCCTGTAGGCAAGCCTGCGGGACATTTTCTTGGTGGATGATTGATGTGGGAGGGCCCAGCTGACTGTGGGCATTGCCACCCACCGGCTAATGGTACGGGTGCTGCAAGAAAGCAGGCTGAGCAAGGTACAAGAGGAAGCTAGGAAGCACCAATCTTCCATGGCCTCTGCATCAATTTCTGCCTCTAGAGTCTTGAGTCCCCTTCCCTGACTTCCCCAGATATAGATGACAAGTTGTAAGATGAAATAAACCCTTTCTTTTCCAAGCTGATTTTGGCCAAGGTATTTTTTTCCCACAGACCCAGAAGGTGCAAGTTTGGCGAAGCCTTAGAATGTGAGGAACGACAACAGAAATGGTGGCCTAATGGAGTAGGGAGATAGATGGTTCAGTGGCCAACAGTGCATGCTGTGTAAACATGAGGACCTAGAGTAAAATCCCCAGAGAAGTGGAGATGGAAGGATCGATGGAGTTGCCTAGCTCCAGTTCAGAGACCTTGTCTCAAGGGAGTAAGATAGAGTGACAGACAAGACCAGCATCCTCTGGCTGTGTGTTCAGCATGCTCAATAGTGCACGAATGAATGCTTACATTTTCCTTCCCCCAAAAAATGGTGGCCTGAGAAGAGGAAGCCAAGGAAAAGCATCTGGTGAAATCTGTAGGCAGAAGACTTAAGAAGCAATTCCATGCTGGATGTGGTGGTGCATGCCTTTGATTCCAGTACCAGAGAGCAGAGGCAGGAGGATTTCTGTGAGTTTGAGGCCAGCCTCGTCTACAGAGCTAGTTCCGGGACAGCCAGGGCTACACAGAGAAACCTTGTGTGTGTGCTTGGGGGGTTGGGGGAGGCAGCAGCTTCTAGAGAAAAGGACTAAAATGACAGAGACTAAAAAACATACTGTGCTGGAGGTCACCAGAGAAATGACACAATGTAATCTTAGCTTTGAAAAATGAAACACACAACATGAGTGTCAGGCTATCCTGAGCTACATGAGACCCTACCTTTAAAAAAAAAGAAAAAAACAGAAAAAAAAATTAGGGGCTAGGACATAGCTCAGTGCTCAGTGATATTGGTAGAGACCTCTGGCATGTGCTAGGTTCTGGGTATTATCCCCAGCACCGAAAGAAAAAAAAAAAAATTAAGGAATTTTAGATAAAAATTTAAACAACCTTTCACTTTTTACACAGTTGCTTTTCAGCAAGTTTATATATTACATTTATTAACTGTGGTGTGCAGCATATGTACATGAAACACAATGAACCTGTAGAGGTCAAAGACTATAAAAGTCAGTTCTTTCCTCTCACAATTGAGTCCTAGAGACTAAACTCAGGTCTTCAGGCTCGACAGATATCATATGCCTTTATTCACCAGGCCACTCATCAGTCCCTTAGCAAGTATTTAAATCATCGCTGTCTGGCCTATAGTTTTTCCTTAAAAAAACTTTTCTGAAGTATAACATTGCTTTAAAAAAAAAAAAAAAAAAAAAAAAAAAACCAAACATGTAAGGCTTGAGGCTAGGCTCCAACTCAGCCAACCCCACACCATTCCGAATCATTATCATATAACCTAGGGAATGCATGATATCCAAGCCCAAAGAATCACCTTGAGTTGTTTCATCCAAAATATATGAACTGCTCCTTACTCTAATACTCAGACTGACAATATATTCTGGGAACATTTTCTTGGGTCTTCTAGTCAAGCCAAAAGCAGCCAGCCCACCCACACTATGCCCTAGTACTACACAACTAATACTGAAAACTTCAGGACAAGTTCTCTTTACCTGGAGCAGTAGACCTCACTGGTGGGGTCTTCCTTTTGGCCAAAAAGTTCCTCAGTTGGGCCTGTTTTGCAGGGGACAGTTTAGCTTTGGGGGGGGGGGGGAGAAAAAAAAACACCAATCCATAAATGCTAAGATTTAGCCAGGTTAGATCACAAACTATGCTGGGAGGTTGGGTGGGAGCATTTACCTTGTACTCTGGAAGAGGGCTTGGTGTGAGATTCAATGGTAGTTTTTAGCAGGCTTTCAAGGTCACTGTCAAAACTGAAACAGGGCAGTGTTACAGCCACACCAACCACAAGAAGGCTGAGGCTATGTGGTATACACTCTTCTCAATATCTAAGCCCAAAAGATTAGAGAGCATTCACTACGGGAAGAGCTGCCCAACAACACACAGGCAGAAAGCTAACAACCTCAGTACAACGCACTAAGCCTTAGCAGAAAGGACAACAAAATTACACATGCCTAAAGCAGACACTGTCAGGGTAAGTTGGGGTGAACTAGATAATGGCAAGTGTCTACCACTGCTCCACACTAGAACAGAATGGCAAATCTAGGCTTCTAAGGGAAGTTAGACAATGTAACCCTATTAGTGTTACTATGGAAACTGTGGTGGCCTGCTGAGCACCAGGCACAGCACTACATGCAATATAGATTTAAGCCTACACACATGCTGAAGGCAGGCACTGGCACCCATACTTTCAAGCAAAGGAACCAAAGGTCAGAGATCTTACAGAACCTGACCAGAACAGCACATGAGACCGACTGCAACACTGTTTTCAAGTGCATGCCGCACATGCTCACATGCTCTCTCCCCACCCACCAGCAGTCTCTGGCACACCTGTGAGTGCTGCTCTGAGTTGAAAGCGTTGAGGGCATATTCCATGGGGGCGTCTGGTTATAGAGACGGAGCTGCTGCAGACTATCCACCAGGTGATTCAACCTCTTCCTCTGCTGGTTGATGATTTCCCGGTTGTTGGCTAGTGTGTTGAAAAGTGTCTCTCGTTCTGGCACAAGCAGGCGCCTGCTGGCAATAAGGAAAAGAATTAGATACAAATGGCTCCCTTCTAAACCACAACACACAAGGCTGCAATTCTAACAAGGAAAATAATAAAATGGAGAACCACCAGTTGACAAGAAAATACGAAGACCAGGGACCTGAGAATCTCATGAGGGTAGGAGGGAATGAAGAGGGGAGCCTGTAGTAGACCACAGTACAAATTGGGCAATGGTAGAAGACAAGAACCAACAACATAGGCAAACCTCTGTAGCTATCCATTGGAACTCATGTATTTCTGTATGTAAATTAGACTCAATAAGGAAATAAACCAGGATCCCGGGAAGTGCGTGTGAGCCAGTCATTGGTTAGACTGCTGGTGGAGATATTACAGGTGCTGGCAGCTGGGAGACCGCTTCCCCCAAAGAATGAAACAGATGAGTGGTTGCTGCTGGATGGCAGCTCTAAGGTCAGAGACACCAGTCTAGATTCTTTAGTTTTTTCATCATAAGCCTTTAAGTATTGCTATAATGTTTCTATCAACTTGAGGAAAAAATACACAAATAAAACAAAAATGGGTGGTCCTATGAGGTACAAGCCACCTGGTTCCCTTTTCTGTCTGTCCATCTGTCTATCACCACACAACTGATCACAGAATGAAAACTGCTGATGCACAACAGAAACTTCCAGTTTTATTTCCTTTTCTCAGAACCACTGAGAAGAACAAGGCAGCCAAGTGAGTATTTTCCAGGACTTTCTAGTTGGTATAAGTTAAGATTAGAGAAAGGCGGAAAATAGAGAAGTGCCAAGAAATAGAAACCATGCCCAGTACTTGAACTCTGCAGAAAGGGAACCGAACAGTGAGTGCAGTGAGTTGGCAGTGCATAGGACTGTCACAGTAAAGAAAGCTGGCTTCTGCTAGTGTGTGCAGTTTTGGAAAGTCTACTTTTTTTGTTGTTATGAGACAGGGTTTCTCTGTGTAACCCTAGCTGTCCTGGAATTAGTTCTGTAGATCAGGCTGGCCTCAAACTCACAGAGATCTACCTGCCTCTGCCTTCCCAAGTGCTGGGATTAATGATATGTGCCACCACTGCTTGTCAAAAAGTCTTCTTATTGAACAAAGAGAAACGCAGCTAGAAAGGACAGCAGACACCCGTCTCATGGGAAAGTGGAGTGAGCTATGACCTCTCTAATGAGTCCAAATGCCCCTAGGGGCAAGGACTCCAGTCCTCAAAAGCCTCCTTGGGCAGAGTCAGGGAGAGCTCTAAGTTGAGAGTCCTCTGCTCTAAGTTGAGAGTCCTTTTCAGCTTGCTCCACACAGCATGGAGACATTGACTTACTTCTGCTTACTAAACTATACTAGTCCTGTCCCTGACAAGACACCAGCTGTCAAAAGAAAAAGCTCCACGATCCCATAGCTTTATAAACAAAACACACCAGTTTTTGTTTCCATACTGGGCTAATTACTAATTAAGTATATCAAAAAGCCACCATTTCTAAGGGCTGACATACTCAAATTTCTGTAAGTACTTCCTTGTTCTCAGGTTTATGAAGTCCATTCTCTCCACAAAACATAAGCACAAACCAGACAGGGATAGGCAACGAGGCTGCAACCCCTTCCTCTCTTTTCACCATCACTTGTTAAATCCTTTTATTTTTTTTAAATAAAACTTTATTTATTTATTGTGCATAGTGTTCTGCCTGCATGTATGCCTACATGACAGAAGAGGGCACCAGATGGCTGTGAGCCACCCTGTGGTTGCTGGGAACTGAACTCAGGACCTCTGGAAGAGCAGGCAGTGCTCTAAACCTGAGTCATCTCTCCAGCCCCCTTGTCAAATCCTTTCAATTGGCTACAATAAATGGTGAGACCTCACCCTTCCTGGAGATTGGATGGGGGGTGGGGGACAAGGGAGGATGGAAAGGAGAGGGAACTGGGTTTGATATATAAAATAAGACTTTTCTAATTTGAATAAAAATTTATAAAGAGAAAGAGAATCTCCTTGGGGCTAATGAGGCTGGATGGCTCAGTGATTAAGAGTGCTGGCTGCTCTTCTGGAGGACCTGAGTTCAGTTTCTAGCACCCACATTGGGTACCTTGTAGCAGCCTGTAAGTCCAGTGTAGCCACTGAATAGCATGTTCTCAGAAATTACATTAAATGCTTTTAATCTTGTATAAAATGGATAAAGTAACTGAAAAACATTTCAGATGACTTCAGTGGAAAGACACAAATGTAGGAAGAGGGAGCCGAACTGTGATAGATTCACACTAATGGTTACACAGTATTTTTGTTTGTTTTTCGAGACAGGATTTGTTTTCATAGTACTGGCTGCCCTTGTAGACTCATGCTGTAGACCAGGCTGGCCTTGAACTCAGAGATTGCTTGCCTCTGCCTCCCAAGTGCTGGGATTAAAGGTGTGGGAACCCCTTCCCTCCAATGACTACATGGTATTTCATGCACTTTTCTAAAATAAATGTATGTATGTATGTATGTATGTATATGAACACTCTATCTTCATGTATGCCTGCCTGCATGACAGAAGAGGGCATCAGATTCCATCCAGTATAGATGGCTGTGAACCAGCATGTATTTACTGGGAACTGAACTCCAATACTCTTAACCACTGAGCCATCTCTCCAGTCTTTATATACTTTCTTGATGCTTGCTTGCGTTTTTCTGCTATGCTAGGGATTGAACATATGGTATACACACCTAGCAGTCAACTGCTTTATCACTGAGCTACATCCTCAGCCCTAATGAAATTCATATTCTTATCATTCTGAAATGATGTGATATGAATTGGTTTCTATGACCATCATTTAGTGCTTTTGTAAATAACTTTTAAAAATGAAAACTAAGCAGGAGAAAGCGCCCCCGTAAGGTTTTTACCTGTACTCCTACAAAAGGCAATGGCAACAACACATCTCACTCACCTCTGTCTTTTCTTCTGTTCCAGATGCCGATCCCACTCTAGGTCTAGAACATCATTTACATCCTGAACAGCAAATTTCACATACTGATGAAGACGACGAATTTCCTACAAGAAAAAAATTAAAACAAAAATGGCTCTTTTCTGGCAGCTAGGGAGGAAGATGCATTAAAGTAGTAAAAAAATAATTTTGAAATATTTCTATATTGAGAACTGTATGAACAAGGAAAACATCAGGTTCTACTAAAACCATTAAATATAAAATGAAAAATGAAATACCATTTCTACAGTAGTATAACAAGAGAAAGGGAAAGAGAATGGGTGTGGTAGCCTTGGGCCTGGGGAACCGATTCACCCACTTCCCTCTTGGTGCCTCCCTTAGGAAGGGTGGGGCAGGGAGAGATGCCTGGCTGCACTCGTTCATTGTGCACACATTTAGTTCTTTCCCATCATGAAATGAACTGTATGTAGACAGATGATGTGACAATTGGTGCTGGAAATAACTCTGACCCTCGATATTCACAACACAGACCTCCCATACTTGAGCAGCATGTCTCCACAACCACAATTCTTACCAGGTTTTAAGCCTATAGTAGCATTCTTTCAGCTGGGGGCATAGTTAACCTACATGGCTAAGTAATCTGACTCTCAAAAATTAAAACACAGATGAAGCATCCAGTCAAGTAAGTGTACAGACACTGAGCAGCCCCTGGAGAAGTAAGTGCAACACACATGGCACAGACCTGACTGTGCTGAAATGCATTTCACAAATATTCTTGGATAAGCATTAAAGAGAAAATGTCACTTAAAAAGAGCCAAACTGAGTCCAGGGAGCAGCAGTAGCCTCAAAGGCATTTGATAACTACAGGAGGCTTTCCTTCACCCACTTCAGTGCTGGCCTTGGGTCCACACTAGCTGATGTCCTTTCTTCCAAATGCCTCCCAATTGGGTGGAGCTACAAAAATCAGCACACTTCAAAGGCCTGCTGCAAACAGTTCTCAGTGGCTTCCTTGCTCTCATCCCATGGAAACACATACCACAGGATAATTCTACATCCATCTTCCTGACTGTCCCTTACCCAGCTTCAGGGTGACAGCACAGTGGCTAAGAGCATGGGCGTAAGCTTTACTATTTATGAACCCTGGCAGGCATAGCAAAGCTGCTTTGTATGTAGTTAAGTGTCCATGACATTTCCTGCAGTTCGGTATCTATTCAGTGGGATGAAAAGCGTAATTTTTCTTTTCTCAGAGTGGAAGCTGAATGCTTTCCTCTTGGCCAGGCAACTGGGGCAGAGGTGATGGCTTGTGAGGATTGGAAAAGGAGTTGTCTACAGTGGGGACTGCAGTCCGAGAGCAGCCCTGCAATAAGTACCACAGGGAAAGGAAGAGCTGCCCGTGATTCCAGGGAATCACCTCCAGAAGAGGTCATTCTCTCACCTTCCATGCACTAGAATGTCTCGGGGCATGGGACAGAAAACTAGGAACAGAGACCTGAGGCTTAAGTCCTTTGTAGCAAGAGGAACTCAGCATATCCACAGATCCATCTGGGGTGAGGAGAATCGGGGCTGCCTGTACACTGCCACTCTGTATTCTCAATGAATGGAAGGGAAAGATGATCCAAGCACACTGACGCAAATAAAATCCAACTAGCTAAAGCAGGAATGAAGACTAAAGTGAACAAGAATTGTAACTCTGCTATAGCGCAGAAGGTGGCAGAGCCCCACAGAGCTAGTCGTAGCCAGCAGGAGCTCAGGCCACAGGCCTTCTTAGCTTAGGAAGTGTAACCGATTTGTAGAACCAACAGTTCTACACTCAGAGAACAACTGCATTGTTTCTATTCCGGTTTTTGAGAAGGTCTTTGTTTATTAGCCCAGGTTATCCTCAAACTCACCAGCCTCCTTCCTCTGTCTCATGAGTGTGAGCTATGCCACCACACAGTTACTAGCTGTTACATAGACCAGACCACCTGACAGGCTGTCACTGTACTAATATTCATGATTTGATTTATAAATTCCCATGTTAAAAGAGAACTTTACCAAGTTCAAGGCTTAAAGAATTCTATCTTAGGCGGTAGTGGCACACATCTTTGATCCCAGCACTCAGGAGGCAGAGGCAGGTGTATCTCTGTGATTTTCAGACCAGCCTGGTCTACAGAATGGGTTCCAGGACAGGCTCCAAAGCTACAGAAAAACCTTGTCTTGAAAACAAAACAAAACAAACAAAAAAGTCTACCTTTAAAGCAAAATTTTAAAAATTAAGTCTATCTCCTCCCCAGCCATCTTGGCAGCTGGTCTTGGTTGGGAGCCGTCCTGCACCTAAGGCAGGAAGATTGTACTGCAAAGAAGATCAACAAGTCCCTGGAGTCAATCAACTCTAGGCTCCAGCTTGTTATGAAAAGTGGAAAGTACATGCTGGGATACAAACAGACTCTGAAGATGAGCAGACAGGACAGAGTGAAATTGGTTATCCTTGCCAACAACTGCCCAGACTTTGAGGAAATCTGAAATAGAATATTACACCATATTGGCTAGAACCGGTGTCCATCACTACTACAGTGGCAATAACATTGGATTGGGCATGGCATGTGGAAATCCTACAGAGCATGCACACTGGCTATCATTGACCCAGGTGAGTCTCACATTATTGGAACCACGCCAGAACAGACTGGTGAAAAGTAAACCAGGAAAGCTTTCCTTTAATAAAACTACCAGAGCTGTGTAACAAAAAAACTAAATTAAAAAAAGAGCATACTATTTACTTTGCTACAAGTAAGTTTATGGCTGGGTGGCACATGCCTTTAATCTAAGCATTGGCGAGGCAGTGGCATTTGATGTCTGTGAGTTCAAGGACAGCCTAAAGTTCCATAAGAGCCAAGGCTATTAAACAGAGAAATACTGTCTCAAGAATCCCCCACCCACACCCCCCAAAAACAGCAAACTACTAATAACTGTATGGAAAAGCACAGCAACTTATTAGCAGAAAATCAGCAGCTTGGTAAGGGGACATCACCCAAGCCCACACCTCAGACCCACAGCTACTGTGGAAAAGTCATCACCTCTGAACTCTTTATCAACAGTGAAAGGGTCTCGCCTACCTGGAGCTGAGCTTCACTCTTGGGATCCAGTGGTCTTTTATAAAGTAGGTGCAGATACCCAGAATCATGGTTTCTTCCATTCTGTTCTCTGGCTTCTTCAACACCAGCAAAGCCCTCCAGCAAAGTTGTTTTCAGGGTACTTATGTCTCCATGAAGAGACTAGAAAAGGCAGAGATAGATGCACCAATTCAATTACTGTTGCCAAAACCAAACGTGTGTGGACCCAGGAGGGTGGAGAGTCTCAACTATTTTAGTTACCTTAAAAATTTCACTGTTCCCATGCACAAAGCCTTTTTCCCCCTATAAATGGTTTCTTTTTGTTTGTTCTGTGTTGGGGGGTTGTAAAAAATGTTCTATCATGTTTCTTGTTTCAGTGACTATAGAACAAACTAAAATTCCTAAATTCTGAAAAAAATTCATTGCTTAGAAAGTCATTAAAAAATTTTTTTTCTTTTTTTAATTTTTAAACTTTGTATGTGTAAGTGTCTGCCTTATTGCACCACAGTGAGTGCCTGGTGCTCGAAGAGGTCAGAAGATGGTGTCAGATGCTCTAGGATTGGAGTTACAGACAGCTGGGGGTTACCATGTGGGTGCTGGGAATAGAACCCAGGTCCTCTGAGGGAAGAGCAGCCAGGGCTCTTAACTACTTCGTTTTTTTTTTTTTTTTTTTTTTTTTTTTTTAATCACCCTTTCTGTTTTTAGCAGTACACTTCTGATGGCTGGCCGTGTGGAAAACTAAGAAGAGCAAAGACAGGACTCACGACCCAGCTGCGTGAAGACATCACTAACACCCCAGGGATTTTCTCTCTCCAAGCTGTTGTTTAAGACTGGAAGACTAGAGACAAACAAAATGGAGGCACAAGGAAATGTGTCTGGCAATACCATTTACTAAACAGGGACTTTCAAAAACTCACTTGCTTTTTAAAGCCTCCCTTCCTAAGGTGCAAAATGGAGAGGGTCACAATATGACCAAGGCAGGAAGCTGTGAGGACACTGTGAGATGATCTTGGTAAATCACAGTGCCTGATGGAGTATGCAGTGACCAGAGTGACAGGAACTAATACTGTGAGCAGCAAATATTTGACCTTTTGTACTGTACATGCTCCAAAAAAAAAAAAAAAAAAAATCTTATCTCAACGCTGTAAAAGAAACATTTGAGAGTAAACAACTATAAGCAATTTGTATGGAGTGCCTAGTATGTGTTAAAGACATAGAAACTATGATCTCACTTCACACAGGAGGAAACTGACACAGATAGCTAGGATAGCTTTGTTAAGGCTCAATTCTGACAGTCCTGAATTCAGGTTTTTGCAGGTAAAACACCCCCAGCAGCGCTGATGGTCCTCAGAGAACACAGTGGTTCTTGCCAGTGTTCTGGACTAATGAAACAACTTCTAATATCTCCCTTCTACTCGGGAGAGACATTCACGGTTACAAACCTCTGTGGCCTCTCTAATCTCAAAGAGGAAGGTGTGCAAGTCATCGGATTCTGTCCGCAGCATCTTCATCTCCTCTGAGGTGCCAACCTGGAAACAAGCTTTGGAGGTCCGAGCCTTTAATTCCTCTAGCTCTTTCTGGAAGTGTGCAATCTGTGAGGACCATGAATGAAGCAAGAGACAACAGGTTCTGAGTGCCAGCAGTAACAACACTGTTTCCACAATTTCAGAACAAACCTGTACAAGGGCCAGACCAAGTCCTGAGGTTACAATAATGGCAATGCAGATGACTGCACTTAGGCCACTCCAGTCCCACTGTCAGAGTTACTCTCAGAAAAATAATGCTCAAGCAACAAATTCACCTCTTCTCCAATGCCAGCCATCACAGGGTCTGAATCTTTCCACTGATGTCCCTGTTTCTCTGTGACAGGAGGTTGAAGTGGCTTGGCCTGAAATGGAAGGCAAAAGGCTTCAAGATAGGTTCCACACCACAAGCTCTATTTTCTAGCACCAGTCCTATCTAGCTACCGTGGTGACCACACCATGTGTCATCATTCTTTTGAACCGAGTGTACTAGTTCTCCATTTTGTCTAGAAGTCACCCGAGAGGAAAGCACCGACCGAAGAACTACCTACATCAGAATGACTATGAATGTGTTTGTGGGGACTGTCTGATGTAGGACAGCCCAGCCTACTATAGGCAGTAGTAACCATAGGTAAGTAGTTATGAACTATGTAAGAAAACTGAGTACAAGCCAGGTTGAGAGCCAGCCAGCAAGCAAGCAGTATCCTCCATGTTTCCTGAGTACTGTCTGTGAAGTGAATTTCTCATGTGGAACAGTAAGTGAACCTACTTGATCCCCTCAACAATAGACTGGTTTTAAGTGGGAGGCCAGCTAGGGCTACCATAGTGGGATCATGTCTAAAATAAAATAAAACAAGAAAGTAAAAAGAAAAGTAAATAGATTATTGCTTTTGTGAATAAATATTGCAAACTTCAAGCACATACTTTGGTGTCTCCTGTACAGTCCTAATTATTGTTCCCATGTGTGAATTCTAAAGCACAAAGGCCAACTTTACTAACATGCAAGTGTATTAAGAGACTTTAATCATACCTGAGGAGATCCTGACTTTACCACTGGAGGGTTTATCCTGGGTGATTTCTGTACCATGGATGGCACTGAACTTGGAACACTTGGAGTAGATCGGCCTGCCAGCATAAATGACCAAAGAAGTCAGTTATTACAGACACCTATTCCTGTTACTTCTGACACTACAGACCTCTTTCCCCAAACCTAAGAAAAGGAGTTGCACACTGTCCCTGGCTCCACTTTTATAATCTGTATTACAGAACGGTGACCAAATTGGGCCTGCTGGTGCACACCTGTAATCCCAGCACTCAGGAGGCTCAGGGAAGTTTCTGAGTTCAAGGTCACTTAAGGCTACATATCAAGTACAGGCAAGGTGAGGTCACACGTGAGACCTCACAACACTAGGATGGGTTAGTAAGGTGACTTTGATAAACTTCAAAGGAAAAAAACACCCCTTTCTCAAAGATTTCAGAAATTTCTTCATTCATTATCTGTTATAAAATTATTCCAGGCATTCAAATCTAACTGGCTACCCAAGGCCTGGTGGTAATTCCAGCCTTTAATCCCAAAACTCAGGAGGCAGAGGCAGGCCAATCAAGTGTTGGGAGTAATTAAGAGTGAATACTGCTCTTGCAGAGAACACAACTTTGGCTCCCAGCCCACACATGAGGTGGTTTACAACTTCCTGAAACTCCAACTCTATGATAGCAGACACCTGTGGCCTCCCAGTAACTGTACTCACATGCACATACATACGTATAGCAAACACTCCTCCCAAGCCCAAAGTCAAACATGCTTTGCGGTCAGACTGAATACAAGCATGCATGGTGATGCACATAACCTATGCTCTCCAAATCTTTAACCTGAATCGTATCAAACAATCAAGTCCAAACAGGGATGGTTCCCAAACCACTGAACTGGCTTTCTCATAAATGATAAAGAAATGAACTAATAAGACTACACAAAACCAAAACCAAACCAAACCAAACAAACAAAAAACCAGAACTCAGTGAATGAACTTGACATGGGAAATATGACATGCATTCTAGATTTGACCATTGTTAAGTTCTTGAGTGTAATAGCCTTAGTGTTTAGGAGATGGCAACTCATACATCTAGAGGTCAACTGTTTCACAATGTCTGCAATTAACTCTCACATGTTTTAAAATTTCTAAAAGAAAGAGATAAGCAAACACAAAAAATGTTAAGAAGATAGACAGTGGTGGCACACACCTTTAATCCCAGTACTTGGGAGGCAGAGGCAGGCAGATCTATGTGAGTTCGAAGCCAGCCTGGTCTACAGAGCGAGTGCCAGGGCAGGCTAAAGAGCTACAGAGAAACCCCGTCTCCTCCCACCCACAAACACACTTCCCCACAAAAAAAGAAAAGAAGAAGAAAGTTAAGAAGCACTGAATCTTGGTGATGACCAAAGTATTTACAGTTTTTGCAACCAATCTGTACACATGACAGGAAGGGGGAAAGACAGGGTAGGTGTCTTGTTTGTAATTATTCACATTTCATCACTTGCTTAGAGTGGGTTGATGGTGAGGTTATACTTAAGAGTCTCAGGAGCAGTAAACACAAGAGTCAACGAAGGCTGTCCCTGTCAAGCTGAAGGGCACCTCAGTCACTATCCTTCCATTAGAGCAGGCCGAGTGTGAGGATGAGCACTCAGCCAAAGGAGGAGGTCTTTGGACATCCAGAGCTGCTAAGTAAAGGCTAAATAAAGAACTGAACCCTGTGAAACTCTCAATTCAGACTCAACAATCATAGCACCTAAAACATTAAAGCAAGTAAAACACAACAAACATATAAATGGTGGTGCACTGCTTTAATCCCAGCACTGAGAGGCAGAGGCATCTGGATCTCTGTGAGTTTGAGACCTGCCTGGTCTTCAGAGTGAGTTCCAGCACAGCCAGGGCTGCAACACTGAGAAACCCTGTCTTGAAAAACAAAATAGGAGCTAGAGAGATGGCTCAGTGGTCAAGAGCACTGGTTGCTCTTCCAGAAGTTATGAGTTCAATTCCCAGCAACCATATGGGGTGGCTCACAACTATCTGTAATGATCTGGTGCCCTCTCCTGGAATGCAGTTGTACATGTACAGCACTCATACATAAAATATAAATAACAAAAGAAAAACAAAACTCTCCTTGATACATTAGCAAGTATTCTTAACATGTTGAACCCCATTCATCTGAAATGAGAGCTGAGGACAGAAGCCATTGGCTTCAGAGAATACCTGATGGCGAGGGAGAGACAGAGGACTTCAAAGGCATGGAGCTGGATGATGCCGGCAGAGGCGTGGGATGGCTGAGTTGTCCAGAAGCGGCTGGCTTGGGGGAGGAAGAGAATGGCAACACGGAGGGTGTACTGGTAGAGCTATGAACAGGTGCAGAGGCCACTGCTGTGAACCTGGGAGCGGAAATGCAGCTCTATCACAACAGCCTGCTGGAGGATTCTTTCACACTAGTCATTAGCAGTGATACCAAGAATAAGTGAGTCAGAACAAACTATGCATTTGCTGCTTACTCATGGGAGGGCAGTCACCACCTGCTCACTTAGGAACATGGTATTGACTACAGCACCACCAAAGCACTTAGTGTAAGCAAAAGGCCAAATTCCCCATGAAAAATTTATTTTCTAGTCTATCAAGCTGAGTGCTTGTTTTGTGTTTAAGGGAGTGGTGCAACCAACTGTGAGAACTTGTTTTGAGAACGATCATCTCTGAGGTGTGAAAGACACCAGGGCCCAGTAAGAATGTGAAGTCAACTCCACATGTCAAAACGGAACTCTGAGTAGTGGCTAGAGAGAAGCGGCCACATGCTGACTGAGTCAGAGCAATGACAGTGTGAGTGCAGAGGCACATCCCAGCAAGCAGAACCAAAAACACAGCCACTGTGACTGGAAAAAGCTTTACAAAACAAGGGAGCATTCCTTTCAGATGCTCAGTTTAGTGGGGAGACAGAAAAAAAGAACATAAAGAGGTAAATAAATAAGGTATGAGCAAGCTGGCTGGAATTAGATCTGAAGGAAACCAGATACCATGCTAAAAGGTTTGAATTGTAAAGGAAATGCAACAAGAAACCTTTGGGGGAATGTCAACCAGGAGGCACCTCATGTATTCCTAACTGCATAAGTCACCTTGGTGGCTGCACAGAGAACAGTTGAGAGTCAGGTGAATAAGAGGAGGGAAAACTACAACAGACCCGTTTCATTTCCAGGATGTATGTTATAGGCTTTTCACCTTTTTTAAAATAAAGGATACCTCCTATCTTTATAGTCTGAAAAAGCAAAACAACTACTTAAGTGTAAATTCTTAACAGTCAGAAATAAAACACCCTTTAAGAGACACTTCTGAACTGGCCTACGGATGAGATGCAAACCTTTACACTGTCTGAATTCCCACTGCTAAGCATGACTTTAGAAAGAATCTGTTCAGTACTCCTTTCAGAGTGACCCTAGCTCAGTGACAACCATGCAATATTTCTACCCATCCTACCAAAGAATATGACTTTCAAGGTAACTTACTTTTCATTCAGGTTGACTTTCACAGAAGAGGCTGAGGGTGGGAACGAAGGTTTCATCGCTGTGTTTGGAGCACTGGACATTGGTGTACTTTCCAAGGTGGGCTTAAAACCTGATGATCCAAAAGTGAAGGGAGCAGCAGGTGTGGCCATGGAGGATGCTGCAGAGTTATGGGCCAGGGAGCCTTTGGAAGGAGGAGCAAAAGAGAAGGTCGAGGTGCCAGGGCCCAGAGCTGCTCTGGAACTGTCAGAGCCAGTGGGAAATGGAGGAGGCTCCCCAGCGACAGAAGCAGATGACTTTAAGGTTGAAGGGCCAAAGGAGAACACAGAAGGGGCTCCACCAGCAGAGGGCAAAGGGAAGGTGGTGGTAGGAACAGCAGAGGTCACAGGTGCAAGGGACAAAGAGGCTTCTGCTGGGACATCAAGGTTCTCCGGGGCTTGAAGGGAGGTTGGGGTGGTAGGAAAACTTCCTGCAAAGAAAACCAAAGAGAAACAAAAGAACAAAGTTAAAATGTAACACTAGTGGTCACACGACAGAGGTAAGGGACATGGGTCTAAGCTCTGAGGAAGCTGGAAATGGTGCCTGTTAAGATAACAGAAGGTGTAGGTGGGCATGGTAGCATACACCTTTACTTCCAGTACCTGGGAGGAAGAGGCAGGCAGATCCCTGTGAGTTCAAGGCCAGCCTGGTCTAGCCAGTTCTAGGACAGCCAGGGTAGAAACTGTCTCAAAAATCAAAACAAACAAACAAACAAACAAAACAAAACCAGAAGGGACAGTTGGTCTCTCTATGGCAGGGATTCCACAGGATCAAGATGTGTGAAACTTTGCTGGGAGCTGGTGGTGCACGCCTTTAATCCCAGCACTCTGGAGGAAGAGGCAAGCAGATCTCTGAGTTCGAGGCAAGCCTGTCTACAGAGTGAGTTCCAGAACAGGAGAGCTACACAGAAAACAAAAATAAAACATAAAAAACCTGGTGAAATTTTGAAGAAGTGGGAGAAAGGACTTCATGGCTAGAAAACAATGCTGCAAATGGAACAGTGAGAAGTCAACCTCACTCTATGCTACTTCATTAACCAGGAAATAACCCTAGTTCAAGTCTCTGCCTCAAAACCCTACTTAAAAGCAATTCCAAATATATTAAAGATGGCGTTCTATCTGAAAGAGGCAAACAGTGAACTGGCACAGTAGGAAACAGATAAAGTCAGACAAAGTATTTTAACAATAAATAGATATGATAATATAACTGAGGTAAACCAACTAACTTTTAACTTCTAAAAAAGCTGTAAGTCATATTTAAGGTTTTCCCCCCTTTTTTAAAATTTAAATTTGAAACAAGCTTGTTTTACATTCATGCACAGTCTAATTCACAAAAAAGAAACAAATATCCAGTCTCTTTAATCAAAGCCATGTAAATTTAGCCAGGTGAGGTTAGCCAGGGTCTTAAATCCCAGTACTCCCTGGAAGCAGACAGATCACTTCGTTGAGGCTACCCTGGTCTGCAGAATTCCAGGCAACCAGGGTATACTGAGACCCTGACTCAAAAAAACAAAACAATACAAATAACAAAACAGAAACAAAACCAAAGAGGACATGTAAATTTAAAGCGAAGTTTTGATTTCCCTCTAAAACATGTAGCTCTTGAGAACAGGTAAAGCCTTTGCCTAGTGGCAGGGATCACTCATACTAAGGACTCTTAGAAAACATTTCACAACATTCCTCAAAAACCATAAAAAATGGCCTCAGTGATCCCCCATCTAAGAATAAACCCTATAAAAATATAGAATGGGAATACAATTATTTATTTATTGTTTTTTTTTTTGGGGGGGGGGTTCCTCTGGGTAGCTCTGGCTGTCCTGGAACTAACTCTGTAGACCAAGCTGGCTTTGAACTCACACAGATTCCACCTGCCTCTGCTTTCAGACTGGTGGGATTAAAAGCATGTAACCAGTCCCCACCCCCAGCAAGTAAATACAATTTCAATGGTTTAAAAAAAAAAAAAAAAGCCAATGATACAATAGACAATTATTCTTTTGAATAAACCATGAAAATTAGCTAAGAACCTAAAAAAAAGTTTATAGCTTATATTTAAAATCAGTAAGCCAGGTTGGGGAAAGCAGTGTACACCTCGATCCCAGCACTGAGCAAGGAGAGGCAGCTGATCTTTGTGAGTCTCAGACCAGACAGGACTACACAGAAAGATCTTGTTATAAATAAGAAAGCAATATCAAAACACATAAATAAATAAAGATGAAGCCAGCCTTCCACTGATGTCCACATTTTGTCTGTAACTATGAGAGTGTTCATGCAGAAACACTGGAAAACAGCTCCCCCAATAAGGCAGGTTTAGAATTTGTTCTACTTCCCCAATTTTCTATAAGGCAAATTGTCAATTCAACTACATAATAAATATTTTGAAAAATAAATACATTTCCAATTTACATTAGTTGGCCTTGGCTGTTAGGTTAAGATGGTGATTTGTCTTCATGAGAGATACTAAGTATATCAAGAAGATACAAGAGTGAAAACACCACCTTTTGATATAAATTGTCACTTCCAGATGAGTATCTAACTCAAATACCTCTTTTATACAATAGCTATGGAACCAGCAAGAAACATCTTCAAAGGAGCATGCAGACATAAATCACTTCCATGCCCATTAGGAACAGACCGGAACGGAAAATAGAGGCCACATCCTAAAGAAACTGTACACACTTGTCCCAGAGCAATAAATAACAACTGAGTATTTGAAGACCATCACCCTGTTATTTATTACTTCTGGCCACGCAACACCACATCCTTGGAGGTGCTATGTGGAAACAGAGTTATCAATGTCTTCTAAATCTAGACTCACACCTTAGCCATATGGGTATCAGAACAGGCTATCTCCTACTTTCATTACTCTATTTTCACTCATCAAGACATAGCTGTTCCCTCTGCACCACATGTGAAGCAAGGAGACAGGTCTTTAGAAAAAGCTGATGGCCACTACCCCATGGTTGTGCTCAAGCATTCAAAGATGCAGAACAGTACTCAGAAACAACTACCCCACAGCTATCAATTAGACAGGCTGCCCTGGTCATTGCAGGCAGACTTGTGAAGCTAGGTAAAGGTGCTCATAAAAATCGTGAGGGGAGAACATTAATTCAATACAGCACTGGAAGTCTATGCCTGCAATCTGTTGGATCACTTAGGGACATACAGCAGTTGGCAGGAACCAAAGTATGTGAGTGCTCTGTGACGTATGAATCACTTGGGCTTACAGAACAGTCTGAAAACATCACCAAGCATGATCAATTGTATCCCATCCTAATGGTCACAGTCTTTAGGCAGAACTAGTGACATTATGGGCATCTTAGCCACACAAGAAAAAGTATCAGTTACATTCTCAAGAAACTACAGAGTAAATAACAAAATTCCAATATATTGGGGAAAAATACTTCTAACAAGTTTGACACTTTTTTTCCCCAAATGAAATAATGCTGCTAAAACAACAAACAAACAAACAAAAACTTGACAATACAGATTGGCATCTCCATGTGTTCACAAAGTTTCCATCCCAAAATACTGACTATGCTCCTCCTTGACTGTCTATAGAATCTGTTCTTGGATACAGATTTCCTGCAATTCAGATATTATTAGCTGACAATGTTCTCAAAGAGGAGGAAAAAACAAATCAAATGATGATGAAATAGAAATCAGAGACATGAAAGTCTCCATATTCCTCTTAGCCAGAAATAGCTACTAGAGTTTAATAGCACATTCCAGTTTTAGCATAACACAGCACACAGTGGTTCTTCATGACACATCTATCTACCTCTTCACTTTCAATAAACATTTTTCAGTTACATTTTTCACTGTCTGTGAACAATTGCCCGTTTGACCAACCTTCATAATTAAACAGGTCTATAAAACATAAGCCACACAACATAGCTAGGATCAACATGGCTGACCTTTCTCTCTCAAGTGTAGTAAGGGTTGGAGAAAGAACCAAGGGATAAAAGGAGGCAAAAATGTACACACATGTTCCAGGACAAAATCAGTCCAAGCCTTTTTAAGGTAGACTGACCATGTATAAATCAGATACCTTCATCCTTGGAGATACTCATAGACTGCCAAAGCAGGCAGAGGCACACACCTGATGACTTGGGCTGTCGCTCTCCTTCTATTGAGACCAGCTCCAAGGTCTTGATTAGGGACCTAACCCCAGGATTTTGATTGATCATATAAAATGGACAAAGCACACCATCTGTTGAAAGTAACAGGAGAACCGGAGCAGCAGGAAGAGTCTTTTCATCATCTGTCAAAAAAAAAAAAAAAAAAAAAAAAAAAAAAGGAAAACAAACGCGTTAAAAGAACCACATCACCAGGCAGTGGACCTTTAATCCCACCACTTGGGAGGCAGAGGCAAGTGGATCTCAGTGAGTTTGAAGCCAGCCTGGTCTACAGAGCAAGTTCTAGGGCAGCCAGAGTTGTTACACAGAAAAGCCCTGTCTTGAAAAAAAATGAAACAAAACTACCAAAAGAGCCATGTCAACTTTCAGGCCTGGGCCTAGAAAGGCAGGCTGCCCTGCTTAAGAGGTCTTGAGGGGCTCTTTCAACAGCAGCTGATTCAGATGTGAATAGCCTTTCATACAGCAGCTACAGCAGGAGCTCCTGTCACTATCAGATCACCATACCCTGCTGGGCCCTGGAGGATGCTCCATAGCCCTGTACTGCCCCCAGGCTCCCTCCACTCACAAGGGAAGTTCAGCACTACCACAACAAGACAGGAGTCTCTGGTAGATGCTAGGTTTGGGACAGAACTGACAAGTATGTGTTTTCTGTCTCTCTCTCTCAGACATGCACACACAGAGAACTGACAAGATGGCGTTCTCTCTCTCTCTCTCTCTCTCTCTCACGCACGCACGCACACACACACACACACACACATGCACACACACACACACAGTGAGTTAAGCTATTTTATACTCCTTTACAGTTGAATTTTGAGTACACAAGAGTATCAGAGTGCAACCTCATCAGACCAAATGTGCCTACTAAACCAAGGAAAGGACAAGGAGCTCAAGGTGCCTAAGCCGGATAGCTTTGTATGGTGATGTTCAAGCAGGCAAATATTCTTAAGCTGCCTCATCACATCTCAGTCACTGCAGTCACTCTGCTGACCTCCACAAGGGAAAAGGAATATTCAGAGAACACCCATAAGCCCTATGTGGAAAACATAAGCTTGGGGCTCTACTCCCTCATTCTTCCCTTAACTGAGTGTTGGGTGCACTGTCAATTGACGATGACACTCCCTTGTGACATCACTAGGGAACCAAATGTTACATACTCAATCTAACACAGACACATGAACCATATCTGGCTGCGGTTTCATTAGTGAGTAGTCATCTTTGGATAGCTTCACACTGTCATGATGGACCCTCCACCACTCTGCACGTAGAAATATGCTAATGGCTTCTAAGTATCAAGCATTATGAATAGCTATTTCTGTAGACCAGGCTGGCCTTGAACTCACAGAGATCTACCTGCCTCTGCCTCACAAGTGCTGGGATTAAAGGTGTGAGCCACCAACGCCCAGCTAGAACAGCTATTTCTAGAGCAAACAGTAGGCAACACTCACTAATGACGACTTCTACTTCATTGGTATAATCTATGGCAACTCCCATGGGCAAGGAGTCATCATTCTTGTCTGTCACAGGCAGTTCAGCTCGACTAGAGTCCTCTAGGAGCCAAGATTCCCAATTCGTCTGAAAAAAAAAAAAAAAAAAAAAAAAAGGACACAGTAGAAAAATTCGTGTTGTTTAGCATTTTGCACTGCTTCATCTCAGCACTGCAATCAACAGAGAATATGTGGCATGGTTCAGTGTCCTGTGCTGATAGGGACTCTGACACTTGGAACAACATCTAAAAGCCAGGGGTATCCCAGCATGTGAGTGGTCTGGTGTAGCCACACCCTGCCTTGTAAGTTCCAGGTTGCCTGGCACAATTTGGCAGTTCCTAAAGATGCAGATGCCTATGTCACTAGTCGCTGAGACAGAAGGCAACTTCAAGGCTTTTTTCCTGTCTCACACTGGCTAGACCTGCTGCTTACACCCCTCCAGAAGCTTCTACATTTTTCCAGTGACATCCCTCACACTCCTGATTTCCTGGCCGGGCTCCATTCTATTCAACAAATGACTTCTGAGTCTTATGATTCATTACCATTCTGTCTTGGCCAACTGGGCAGCATGAGTCAGGGGAACAGGAAATAAGTAATGAAGTTGGAAACACAGCAGCAGCACACACTCACACTACATGGCTGTGCTGAAGAGTATTCAAGGTACAGTAACAATGCTGCAAACCAAGCTGACTCTAACTATTAAATAAGCCCACAAACAAAACAAAAGGGATCTGGTAACTATTACAAGCCAGCATGCAGGCAGTCGCAGTATGGGGACTACAAACAGAAAGATGGAGAGAACAGCTGAAAAGGCACTATGAAAATGAGGTGAGTATAACAAGAAGAGATACCAAGGTTGGGATGTGTATCAGTCAGCAGAGTGCTTGCTGCACGTGCACAAAGCTCTGGGTTCAATCCCCAACACTGTAAAACCGTGTATATGAAAGGGAAGGGGGAGGGAGAATGCTATTGTTGTCTGTAACATTTTATCATTTAGTCTTTACACTAAAAGCTCATTGAAAGGGACAAGCATTACAGGTTTTTTGGGTTTTTTTTGTTTTGTTTTGTTTTTTTATTTTTTCCAGATAGGGTTTCTCTGTGTAGCTTTGGAGCATATCCTGGAACTTGTTCTGTAGACCAGGATGGCCTCGAACTCAGAGATCCTCCTGCCTCTGCTGCCCGAATGCTGGGATTAAAGGTGTGTGCCACCATCGCCCAGCTACATGCTTATAGTCTTAACCAGTCACTTTCACTTGACCTTTCTCAAAAAAAAAAAAAAAAAAAAAAAAGCATCATTCAATATAAAAGTGACCAAAAAGGAGAAATTTACCTGATCGCTTTGTCGAGCAAGGATGCTAACTTCTGTTGACGCTGCAGATGCTGCCAGCACTAAATCCCTTAAGAACAAAATCGAAAGGCTATTACATTCAAGCCCAGCAATAGCATGAACCTGACTGGATCTACAGCACAACACAGAGTATGGTTTCCTAGAAGGCTGAGGAGAGGATGGAAGGTGCTTGATATAGTGCTGAGCTTTTTCTAAAAAGCACTGGAAAACTTGCCTACTACTATTCCTGTAAAGACAAGGGGACATACAGAACCAAGTCAAGGCTCACAGAACCCCACAGCATGAAATCCAGCTCAAGAAGCTCCAAAGGGTTCTCAAAGATAAGCTGTTCTTGGAGAAACCCTGAATGAGTTCCTTAGCTATCAGTATTTTTAATCCAGGTGTGATAGATGATCCCTGCAGTCCCAGCACTCAGAAGGCTGAGGCAGGAGGATCACTGCAAAGTTAAGAATAGTCTGAGCTACAAATGACTCTTCTTCAAAACAAACAAAATCAGTATTTTCATTAGTCACTCACTGTTATTGAGAAAATTGGACTTTACGGTGCTGAGTGTGGTGGCACACGCCTTTAATTCTAGACACAACTCTGGATGCAGAGGCAGGCAGACATCTTGGAAGTAGGCATTGTTACCCAACAACTGAAAATACACTGAGGCTTCTCAGCCTGTACTCTCCTCTCCTACTGAACAGTTCGCTGTTGGGATTCAGTGACTGAGGTGTGTGGCTTGACAGTGGCACCAGGAACAAACACTCTGCTCACCACTCCTCGATGTAACTGAGGAAGTAATGGTGCTGTCGCTCTGTGCAGCTGCTATAGCAGGGCTCCATGAAGTTCACAAATATCTCTGGGTGCTTTTCTTCTTTTTTCTAGAAACGAGGAAGGGGAGAGAAATTTTATGTACATTTTATGTGCTCGCAATCTCAAGACAAAAATCACTTAAGCTTAATCAGAAATTTGATGCAAAATCTGTGCACAAACATAGGGATGAACTCAGGTCACTCCTAAGGAAGAGAGACCCCATCACCAGGCAAGCTCAACAAGAACTGCACTATGTCACAGCCTGCCGCAGGACACACAAGAGCGACCCACCGCAGCCTTTTGCTACCTGGTTTTCTCAGCTGTACAACAGACCCACAAGTTTCCTAAGAATCCCTGAGGACTCAGCCCACCATGGGAAACATCAGCCAGTACTCACATCATCACTACTCCCAAGAAAGAGGAGTTACTGAGATTGTCAAAGAAGACATCACAATAAATGTAATTTTAAACGGAATTTCAGCAGACTCCCAAGAAGTTACTACAACAGCATGGTATGATGGCTCATCTTTATAATATTAGCACTTGAATAGCTAAAGCAGGAGGACTGTTGAAAATTTACGGCCATCCTGGGCTACATAGTGAGTCCCAGTTCAGCCTGGGCTACAGAATAAGATGATCCTGTCTCAAAAAAAAAAAAAAGATGAAGACACCCTTTCACATACTGCCAAGGATTAAGTGTGGAACTGCCACATACTAACCCCTAACATTCCTAAGAGAGACAGGCATGCTTTCTAAAGCTCATCAAAGGCACACATCAAATAGTGGAACAGACATATAATCCCAGCAGTTGGGAGGCAGAGGCAAAAGAATTATGAATTCATGGCCAAACTGAACTCTTTAGCAAGATCCTCTCTCAGGCAACCAACAGCTAGTGCATAATTCAGTGACAGAATGCTTGCTTGTGTATATGTGGCACAGATTAAATCCTTAGCATTAAAATACAAACAATAAAACACCCACACAACAAAAAAGGCAGATATCCTGACCTAGAGACTTCATTTGTCAATATGTATACTAAAATTAATATACATAATTGCCACCCAACATAGACAGAACAGGATCTCTCTTTAAAACCAAGGAAAACTGAACAGCACAGGAAGAGCCAAATCTATCTTTTATAGAACAAGTTGCTTTACGCGCTGACACAAGAGGTTCCCAGTAAACAAGTAAAAAGGCCCCTTCTATTTTATTCTGTTATTTCCTGACCCAGCACTTAGAAGCAGAGGCAGGAAGGAGGATTAAGAGTTTGAGGACCAACTGGGCTATGCTGTGAGCACCCCATTTCCAAGACAGAAAATGGAAGGGGAGAGTTGGAAATTTTGAATACTAAAATATCAAGTTGTTTCTGAATGGTAGGATTAAAAATTCTTTCTCAAGCAGAGCAAACAGATTAAGGGAGAACTGGGAGAAACTCATTATAGGAGAAGTTCTAAAGGAGGAATACTAAATGTTCTGTTTTTAAGATGGCCTTTTTAGGATTCTTTTCTATGATAAATTATTTCTAAGTGTTTTGGTGGATTCTGCTTTTTTTTCTCCATCCCCACTCCTCCATGATTCTGACTACAGATTATCCACTACCCCAAACATCAGCATGTGGACTCCTGACCTGGCCACTTCTGTATGGGAACAAACTACCCATATCTCACAAATATCTGATAAATAAATGAATGTCAAAAGCCAAGACAAAGGTAGGGCAGTGGTGGTGCATGCCTTTAATCCCAACAATCAGGAGGCAGAGGCAAGCAGATCTCTGGGTTCAGGACTAGACTGGTCTACAGAGCGAGTTCCAGGATACTCAGGGCTACAGAGAGAAATCCTGCCTTGAAAAACCTAAATAAATATATAAATAAATAAAATAAAATCAAGATAGAGGCCAGAGAGATAGCTCAGTAGTTAAGAGTACTTATTGCCTTTACAGAGGACCTAGGTTTAGTTCATAGCACCTACATGATGGCTCACAATCACATTCTAGTTCCAGGGGATCTGATGGTTTCTTCTGACCTCTGTAGGCAACAGGCACACATGTAATACACATACATACATGCAAATACACATAAAATACTGTTTAAAAATCAAGAAATCGCTTTCTTTTCTAAATTACGGCATAAGTAAACACACATCTTAACCTTTTTTTGTTTGGTTTTGTTTTTTGAGGCAGGGTTTCTCTGTGTAGCTTTGTAGACCAGACTGGCCTTGAAATCAGAGATCCACCTGCCTCTGCCTCCCGAGTACTGGGATTAAAGGTGTGTGCCACCACTACCCGGAAGCCTTGTTTGTTTGTTTGTTTGTTTGTTTTTAGACTACATAATTAAACCATGCTTGTGGTGGTCTGAATGAGATTAGTTCCCAAAGGTACATATTCTTGAATGCTTGATCCCTTTGGGAAGGATTAAGAGGTGTGGCTTTGTTGGAGGAGGTGTGTCTCTGGGGAACAAGCTTTGAGGTTTCAAAAGTTCATACTAGGCCATGTTCATACATGGCTACTGCTCTAGTGCCATGCCTATCTGTCATGATGATCATGGACTAAGCCTATAAAACTATAAGCAAGAACCCAAATAAATATTTTCTTTTGTAACAGTTGCCTTGGTCATGGTGCCTCTTCACAGCAATAGAACAATGACTAAGACAATGCTCTAAATGACCACCATAATTTTGGTCCCAGGCCCACCTGACTCTATCATCACAGCAAATAAGGAAAGGAAATTTAATTCTAAGTTAGCTTACTAGAAGGCTTCTGTGACTCTCAGAAAACAAAGATGTCCTTTTCACATGCTTACCGGGAGTAAAGCCATCACCACATCTGGACAGGTGTCCAAGGTCCCATCTGCACCAGTATAGACTATCATGAAGACATAGGTACCAATCCACAGCACATCCAGAACTGAAAAACACACATCTCTAATTCCTAGGTCACCAATCTCAGCAAGAAGATATAACAAAATGAATCATATATTTGTAATAGTAACCATGTTCTGCAAGAGATAATGAACAACGACAAAAAAGTACTATGGCTTTACATTGAATAAGGATAATTCACGGACACAAAGGCATCAATTAGCCCAGTTTCTTAAAAGTAGTGGGTTTTTTACAGGCTTCTTCTTCTTATTATTATTATTAGGGAAAATGAAGAATTCTTATAAAAATGCAAGATCCATTTCAAGGTATTACACTGAATAACTCATGACATTAAGTGAGAAACTGGTTCCTACACTGAGCAGAGAGATAGAGGATCTCATGTGGCTAGAATGGCTACAGTAGAGGTCAGAAAATGAATAAAGCAGTTGTTACCTCTTACAGGATGATCTGACTCATAAAATGGAGGACACGGAATGACCTTTTTTTCCTGCAAAGTCTGAAAGAGATTTAACAAATGTCAAGTGAAACAGTACTTAAATCAATGTAATTCAAATCTAATCAGATCCCCTAGAAACTGGTGTTCTATCTCCCCTCTACCACCACCCAAACAAAGACAGCACCACCTACTCCTAGCACACCCTATCCAGGGAAATGCTCACATGAACACTTTCAGATGCAGCTCATAAGAGTGCTCAATGCAGCAGCATTCGCAGTGCCACAGCTACTAGTACTGATCCACATGACCATCAATAAGATCACATGGTGTCAACACAGTGGACAACTATGGAGCCATTGAAGAGAGAGTAGCTCCCTGCATACAACTGGAAAGAAGACCTCAGTATATTGAGATATTAAAAGTATAAAAAGCAGGTCTGGGTGTGGTGGCACATACCTTTAATCCCAGCCCCATCCCCAGAGACAGAGGCAGACAGATCTCTGTGAGTTTGAGGCCAGCCTGGTCTACATGGCAGAGTTCCAGGACAATCAGAGTTACATAGAGAAACCTTGTCTCAAAAGCAAGCAAGCAAACAGCCAAGCAATTAAAGTCTATAAAGTGCATTATCATTTTAGAGGCTAATGCCTCCCAAAAGACTATGCAGCCAATTTCACATAATGCTTGACAACAAGCAAAGGTGACTGCTTGTACTCCCAGTTCCTAAGGAGGCTCAGTGGTTAAGAGCACTTGCTGCTCTTACAGAGAACATGAATTTGATTGCCAGCACCCACATGCCAAGTCACTACTGTATTAACTCTGGTTCCAGGAGTTCTGACACCTTCACATGGACATACATGCAGGCAAAACACCAATGCACATAAAAATAATAATCCAACAAAACAACAAAACAAAACAAAAAGGCCCCCTAAGGAGAAGATGAGAAAATGCAACAACAAGAGCATTTGCTTTGTTTGTTGCCCACAACTGGAGAAACGAAACCTTTAAGATGGTTCAAAGATAACAAGTGTCCTTTAACTGGAGTGAATCTGTTATGGTAATAGCTTTTCATCAACTCCTTTTCCTTATAAGCTGTTTGCACAGAATTGCCCCTCTATGCAGATTGCTAAACAGACATCATTCATAGACATGAAAGGTTTCCAACGAAGCCAAGTAACAAAGAATGGTTGTGAGCAGAAATGCCTCCTTCTGCTTTACTCCAACATTTCCTGATATATTTTAAGAAACCATGACACATGCCAGTGACCCAGAACTTAGGAAGCAGAAGCAGGAGGAGGAATAGTTTGAAGATCAACTGAACTACATACTGAGATCATGTCTCAAAATGACAGAAAGGGGAAGGAAGGAAAAGGGATTTGGAAAAATCTTTCTACTAAAATATCATTGTTTCTGAATGGCATGATTAAAAATTATTTCTTTTTAAGCTAAGCAAAAAGACTGAGCAAGAAAAATTGGAACTATAAAGTTAGGGAAATAGTGCATAACATAGGACCACATTTAAAGGAAAAACAAAAACAGCAAATGTCCATACCAGCAATTTGTATGAGCACCCATAAAAGGAAGGAGGCCTGACTACACAGAACAGTGGATTCTCTGGAAGGACTGGGTGACAGAGCAGAAAGGGTAACTCTTTTTTCATTCATGGATTTATTACCATGAATTTAAATTCCTTTTTGTTTATTTTGTAGTGCTAAGGATTGAACCCAAGGTCTCATACATTCTAACACTAAGATATTCCCAATCAAGAATAGCTTATTGATAGCAAAAAAAAAAAAAAAAAAAAAAAAAAAAAAAAAGCCAACAGTCAAAAAGTTACAAAGATGTCCCCAAACCATCCCCAACAGTGGTGAGTTAATCAGGAAAACAGGAACTTACAGGAAGATACTGGACCACAGTTCCATTCTGCTTTCCTACTGCCAGCTGCTTTCCTTTGGGACTCCAGCACACTGAGAAGACAATGCTACCAATTAAAAACCCAGTGAAAAGAAAGCATACCCCAAGATCTAGACAGCTACACAATCATCCCAAGAGAGATCATCCCCAAGTAGTGGAGAAAGTGCAACCATTTTAACAATACAGTCAATTATAACTTACCACCAGGCCATTAACTGAAAGCTAAGAGTGCTTTTCCAGTAGAATTACAAGACAAGGAGAATGAAGGTGTTTAAATGATCAAGCAATCACTCTGTTGTTTCTATTTGTTACTTCTAGTGCTTTTCATAGAGGTACAAATAACTTTCAGATGGCACTCTTTTAGACTCAGAAACACTTATTGTCAAAACTCCAGTTTTAAATGAGCTATGCTGTTTGGTTTCAATACCATTAACTATAGAAATAAATTATTATTCTCAATTTCTATCTCCTCCCCATCCCCAGCAATCTACACAAAACAGGAAAGCCATCCACCTTTACTTCTAGAGATTATTATTTTTTGTTTAGTTTTGTTTTTTTGATCTCTGTGTAACAGTCTTTGCTGCCCTGGAACTCACTCTGTAAAACAGGCTGGCCTCAAACTCACAGAGATCCACCTGCCTCTGATACCAAGTGCAGGTATCAAAGGCATGCGCCACCACTGCCTGGCTAGAAATTAAGTTTTAAACAGCTGGCCATTACAGCACTTTATAGGTAGGGAACATTTATTACCCACCACATGTAACTGCTGCTGAGGGAGGAAGAGTGGCACACACTTTCACAACTTCTGTAACTTGCAGGACAGCAATACTGCCATCGGCCAGACAAACTGCCACCATGGAAGGGACAGTGGGGTTCCACTTCATATCAATCACCATACCATCTACATCCTTTGAAAGCTTGTGATAGGTAAATGGACGTTTCAGTGGTTTGGCCTGTTCAAGTAAGGGCACAAATAAACAAACACAAAGGAACTTAGGATTCAGAGGAAATGATTGAACATGCATTCTTTCTTAAATCAAACTGCATTTCTTCATAGCCAGGGGGTCAAAAAAGAAGTGGCTCTGCATAGCAATCTATTTGTTACAAACAATTCAACAGAATTTAGAAACGGCCATTAATTATTTTACTATACTTAAGAGACTGCTGATAGGGATATGTAAAAGTAGGAGTCTTGGATCTGCTTAATGCCCTTGGCTAGGCTTTTTGATTTCTTTCTCAGCTTTTGGTGGGAGTTTTATTTGTTCTGTTTTTTTTTTTTTGAGTCAAGTTCTTTAGCCTGGCCTGGTCTCAAACTCACTATCTGCCCACTTTAGTCTAGGGACTACAGGTGTGTGCTAGCATGCTTGGCCAGTGTTAAACTCTTTGAAATTTGTCTTTCCATCTGTAAAATGAACTGTACCTACTATAGGAAGCATATAGAAAAGACAAGTTATACAAAAAAATCTAATGCCAAATATATAGCCAGTGTACTATACAACTACTTAAAACTGGCTGGGAAGAACCCTACATCAACATAGCCTAGATCAAACCTTCTTGGTTAGCTCCATGGTCTGCCACAGAGCCAATATAAGTCTCCTCAAGTGGTAGTCTTGTGGGTAAAAGAGAAATGTTAACTTGGTACAGGACATATTATAAAATAATTTGCTAAAATATTTTCTGTCTCAAAGATTTATGAGTGTATATTTAAGGAGTATTTTTTTTAATCTATATTTTAATCTAGAAAGATTTCACATGTCAACCTGAGATGCATCTGTTAGGTTCAAAGGAAACGACTCCAATTCCCCAAACTCCAAAAAGCAGACCAGATATCCAGAAATGTGCTCAACCAGGACTATAGGAGTATTTCTGATGGTTAGATGAAAGTCAGCACTCCTCATGAAATTGAGAAACTGGTTCCCACCTAAAGGAATCATTTCCCTTACCTCTAGCATATTAGCATATCAGAGCTCATGCTAGCCCCGGGTTTCTTCAGTATCATAATTACCTGTTATACATTTCAGAGTCCATGCTAGCATCTAACCTCTTTCCCTATTCTAAACTCTTTACAGCTCACGGATTTCCCTCCCCTACAGCCCCAAGCTACCCATTCTCCTTATAACCCTGCTCTTCTGAATATGCTCTACCCACACTCCCCTTACTATGTTTTCTTTATTTTTTAGCCCCCAGTATTATCCCCCTCTCAGAAGCCCTGGCTACATCCCATCTGCAGGCCAGGTTCAGTCTACTTCTTTCTCTCTCTGCTCTGGACTCTTCCAAATGCCTCTGGCTCTTCACTTTTATCTGTAATAAAAACCTTCCCCTTAACCATACCATGGAGCAGCCCTGTCATCTGTTTACACAGCTTCCAAGTAAGAATGTGTATGAGGAAATGTTTTCGTTCCCATGTTGAAATACAGTTTACAGTAGCTTACCTGATTTGAAAATGTGCGAACATCAAAAAAAGCTATAATGGAGCCATATTCACTGGACACCATGCACGCAGAGAGTGTGAGGTTGTCACAGCTCAGTGCCAGGTGATGTACTGGGAATTTCAGAGCGACATTCAAGCCATCGACTGGCTCAACTACGGACACAGAAAAGACAAAACAAAAAAGAATGTTCTAGGCATACAGCCATAATCCTTTATCCAAGTCAATTTGAAACATTTTCTCATCTATATAAACATATAAGGATGCCCTTGGATCCTTAGTTTTAGGAACTAATTATAATTTTCTTCCTAACTGGTTTTCTTTTCCTTTCTTTCTTCTTTCTTTCTTTCTTTCTTTCTTTCTTTCTTTCTTTCTTTCTTTCTTTCTTTCTTTCTTTCCAGGCAGGGTTTCTTTGTATACCCCTGGCTATACTGGAACTCACTCTCTAGACCAGGCTGGCCTCAAACTCACAGAGATCCACCTGCCTTCGTCTCCAGAGATGGGGCTGGGATTGAAAGCATGTGCTACTACCTACCGGCTTAACTTTCCTATATGGAGGTAATGTAGCATTAAATATCCCAAGACTTCCTATTGCCCTTACTAAAGAAGCTTTTGCTACAATGCCCCAAATACACATTCCCATTTGTTGGGTTGGTTCTGGCATGCCTTCTCTTAGACAGCCAGAGTCCAACTTCAACTGAGCAAAAGAAAAGCATGGCACAACAGTAACTTCTTTCCCCTGAATTTAGAGAAACAACTCACAAAAACAGAAGCATGGAGGAATGAAGAGAAAACTAGGCTTTGGCACCCTACCTGAACTTTAGCACCCTATTCTGCAAGGCAATCTTAAACCCAAAACCAATTTTAATTTTCATATTAAAATTGTGTCTTAGGCTGGGCAGAAGTGGCCCACACCTTCAATCGCAGCACTCAGGAGGTAGAGATAGGCAGATCTCTGAGAGCCTGAGGCCAGTCTGGTCTACAAAGTGAGTTCTAGGATAGGCTCCAAGGATACAGAGAAAACCTTGTCTTGAAAAACCAAGAAAAAAAAGTGTCTCAGGAAGGAAAGACATTGATTAGCATGCCACCACAGCCCCATTTCTGCTATGTCAAATAAATTAAAGCGCTTACCAATTTTATTGGGATCATCTCCAGGTTTGTTTTGGATAAGAAGGCTTTTAGTAGGAAAAACATGCAAGCCATTGGCGCCACCAGCAAAGAGCATACCATACTTATTGGATATGGCAAGCACACTCGAGCGCTCCTTGGGCAACTCTTCAGGAGAATTAAAGATCCTCACTTTCTTCAATGCTCTAAACTGAAAGTCCTGTTTTGGAGGATGAAACAAGATCAATTTTCAGGAAGGAAGAAATTAAATCATGTTTACTGTTATAGTCCATAAACACAATTTCAATATACCAAAAATACAGTTATTACCCTGAGGCCAACAAATTCCTGTTTTTAGACTCTAAATTCACTAAGATTTGTTGAATGAAATACAGAGAGCTGGAGAGAGCTCAGTGATTAAGAGCAATAGTTGCTCTTCAAAAATATCTGGGTTCAATTCCCAGAACCCACATAGAAGCTCATAAATGTCTGTAACTCCAGTTCCTGGGGATCAGACAGCCTCACACTTTGTTAATCTCTCATCACTTTGTTAAGCTGCATCTGTCTCTCCCCAGCTCCCCCAACTCCCCAAACCTATCTTAAAGTCAGAGTTTTCTTGAAAAGAATGTGACAGATACAAGAGGAAACTTATTTTCATAGAGCCTTATGGTTTCATAAAGGATATCTAGCACACATACTAATTTCCTTGTAGCCCATGTTTAATGCATATTTACTCAAAGGCAGACTGAAACATTCTTAATCCTCGTTGAATATAGTGGGCAAAGGTTCACACAACTTTCCCTGTGGGACCACACTATGGGGTCATAAAGGAATAAATCATTTATCTTTTTGTGATTATCATCCTAACAGTCATGACTATACTACTAGGTCTTGATGAACTTTGTGTGGAGAGCCAGTATGATGAGGCAGTAACAAAAAAAAAGCTCTCTTTTCTGGTACCGAGAGTAACTCAAACACCACTAGTTTCCCTGTGGTTCTAAGGCTTCTCTATCAAAGCATATCTGAAGAGCATGACCCATGCCCATTACCGGGTTCAGCACAGGCACTGATGCTCAAGAGCCACTATTTCTAAGCACAAATATGAACCATTCTCCCATATATTCATTTTAGTGATTCACTGTTCACATAAATGCCCTTCCTGTAATTCATTCATTTCCAGCTGTTTACCATTCTGTGTTTTCATTCAGCCAGATTATATACGTCAACTATTAACAGCATATCCAGAAGGAGGGAGGGGGTGTCTACCTTATCATTAGAGCCACTTGCCTTCCCTTTTGTTTCCTGACTTCAAGCTGATTTCCTGTGTCTATTCCAATTAACTAAGGGTTTTGGAAGGCAGAAAGTGTATCTTGGTCCCATCTTGCGTAGTCTGGACCACCTTCAAGTATCAGTATACAGACAACTAAGAAGTGAGGGGTCACGCCAAGTGAGGTGATGCAAACCAATAATCCCAGTTACGTGAGAGTTGGAGGCAGGGGGATCAAGAATCCAAGACCAGCCTGGAGAAGACAGAGTTAGAAGCCAGCTTGAACTACAAGAGACTCTGCCTAAAAAAAATAAGACATAAGGCTCTGGTCACATGGCTATGGAGAATTTACTTTCAGAACTTCAATTTGCTCTCTTATGAATTAGTTGTAGAAGCTATAGTAACGACAGTCACAGTGCCTTGCACACAATAAGCAAACATCGTTGTTACTCCTATGGCGGCCAGCACATGAGAGTAACTGGGGTAACTTAAGAGGTGTGGCCAAGCCCACCCAAGGACAGGCGAGCTGCACTTGGTGAGAATTCATGCCCGCGACACGCACAGCACTGAAGACGCTGTGTGAGGCGAGCGCTCTGCACCCGGCAAACTGTTGGAGCAGCCGGCGGAGGCGGGGGAGGCTCCAGGGCAACTCAAGACTACCGCCGGCAGGGAGGCCCCGGCCAATCTCTAACCTTCATCTCCCGCTCAGGGACTATGGCATCCATATCGTCTCCCATCGTGCCGCCTTCAAGGTGACCAAGTAGCTACCGCTGCCGCCTGCGATCTTTCCAATACAGCCCAGGCCGCTCGGGCCCTAACTTCCTTCCCTTAGCGCCAGCGGCGCGCGGGAGATGCGTATTTCCGGCGCGCATGGATGACATCAACCACGCCTGTTTGTAGTGTGGTCGGACAGAGTCGTCCCTGGTTTCATCAGAAGTCGCGCGCTTGCCAGTCTACCAGGCCCCATTGGCCAGTTCGGGTAGGGGGTGTGGCTATGAGGCGCGCGCAGGCGTCCTTCCTACTCTTAAGGCAGCATGCACATGCCCGTTTTGTGTGCGTTTCTTTCATTGGGTGGCGCAAGACTCTGGAAAATTCCCCACAGCGCTTATCTGACGGGCTGTTAGTAGCTTCCGACCTAGAGAAGTTAGGATCTTGAAACTGTTTCCAGGGGACAGTTTTGACAGGTTTTGGAAATCAAAGTTATCCTCGGCTACATGGCAATCTATAGCTATCCTGGGTTACAAGAGACCCTGTTTGAATAAAAACAAATTGGTTAATTAATGAAATAAGGGAATTCCACACAAAGCAGTTACCAAATTACCCAGTGGCTCTCAGCCAGGAAGCGTCAAGATCTGGATGTACAAACGAAGTTGAAGAAATTTCTGGAATGATAGTGAAGAGGTGGTGTGTCAGCTCCAGAAGACACACATGGAGCTGGTGTGTCAGCTCCAGAAGACACAATCTCTCATGCGCTGTTTGTCAGCAAGTTGTTTATGTGCTCCAGGCCTCTTCCCATTGTACCATAACGATAAAAGTAGAAGTGGAGCCGGGTGTGGTCTTCAGTTCCAGCACAGGCAGAACTCTGCTTGAGGGCAGCCTGGTCCACAAAGCAAGGCTGGCACAGCGAGGGCTGCTAGACAGAGAAATCCTCTCAAACCGACAACCCCCCACCCCCACCCCCCATAAAATAGAGGTAGGAATTAGGCTTAATCAGATGGAGTCAACTGTCTGGCCGAACGGGACCCATGCATTCAACCAGTACTTGTGTCACTTAGCTCTTCTGAATTTACTGCGCCCTGAGAAACACAAAGACAATGGTAAATTGGTCTAGTTTATTTCAATCTGCAGGAGACGATATCCCACCCATACATTCACTCGAACACATAACGTCATTCACCCATGTCTACCTGACAAACATCTTTTGAGCACAGGAACATAGCCATACTTGGCGGTCCCCATGTGATTGGTTACACCAGTTAAATTTGGTCTTCAGGAATAATGACAGCTGACATCCCAAGAAAACTAAGCCCTGGATACAGTTTGAAATATATGCAAACTCCTCCCCTCTAAGGGTTATTCTTAAGATTCTTTCCAGGGACTCATAGGGTCCCCTCCCAGTTAGAGAACCTCTTCCTGTACCTTGCAGAGGTCACAGGCACACTCCTTTGTGGAAGTGGTGTGTAATCTCATGAGTTGTAGACCCACTGAGCCTGCCTGGCTTTGCCTTCCTGTCACAGAGAATTGGGCACATTGAATAGAGTCCAAGGTCCCAATCCAGCTGGAGAACTATGCAGAAGGAATGGGGAGAGATGTTAATCTTTTTTTTTTTTTTTTAAGTCAATAGATGGGGTGAGGGTAGACAGGATTTTATATTTACAGGGAGGAATGCTGGGGTTTAAACATCAACTAGACTACTTTTGAAGCAGCTCCTTAGGCTGAAAATCAGCCAGTCATAGCGAAAGGATCTTTCCTGCGCCGGACTGGTTGAAACCAGAGGATTGACCAGAGCTAGCCATTTCATGACCTTTGCTTCATCCTCAAGGTGGTGTGGGGACAGCACCCTGGATACTGGACTGTGGGACACTAAGGAGCCCCTGGAAAATCACACTAGCGTAACACTTCCCAGTCTTTTTCCACTTAGGGTTTACGCTCTTCTAACGCTCTTGCCAAGTCGTGAGCTCCCTGGAATCCCTGGGACTACAGGGTACTGTCTCCTTGCTGCCACTCCCAGCCCCCATTTCCTAACATCACACTGTCATTGACTGATGTGACTTCCCAGTAGATGTAAGTTTTATGTGTCAGTCCATTTCACTGCTGGGTTCAGGACTCAGGGCATACAGTGAGGTGCTTGATAAATATGTTTGATAAACGACTGTCTTGTCCTGAGTGCCCAGAGTAAAAGGTTTCAGAACACAGGCAGAGTCAAGGCTGGGGTCCCCACTCAAGTAAGATGGGTCAAGTTTGAGACTTCTCTGTAAGAATTCTTGGAAAGTGTCTCTGAGGATCAGTCAAGAAGCTGTGGGGAAGAAAACTGCAAAGGCAGGCTTGGCCCTTACCCAAACCCCACTGCCAACTTGGAGGCCCTCGGGAGGGTGAGGCCTGACATAAGGTCTTTAGAAGAGATACCATCTTCCTCAAGTATCAAGCTGGGAAATAGTCCTCTTCACCCTTCGCCAGAGCTTCTGGGCTCCAGTCCATACTCTGCCATCTTTAGATGCACCCCCTGACCTTTCAGCAAGGTACTTAACCCCTGTAGGTCAGCAAGTGAAACGAGAGGACTGGCCCAGCTAAAATCTGCCAAATTACCTCAGTCCAATCCCCAGAACTCAGGTCTTGAGTGACTTGAAAAGGCAGCTATGAGTTAGACATAGCACACACCAAAACAAAGCAGGAGGACTTAAGGCTTGTAATAGGCACTTGATAAGTAACTGCTGAGTGGGTGATTAAAGAAAGAACATGTTGGGTAGAAAGGTAAATAGCTGAATTGGGGGCATTTTATAACCAGACAATGTGTTACTCTGAGGTTCATCATGATCACTTGACTCCTCTTCTGCCTGGGCACCCTCAGCATCCTCCCCAAGCCACTATCTTCACCTCTGCCTCCAAGGGACAGTGGAGCTGCACTGTCCGTCTGAGTTGTCTGTAAAGGTGTAGTCAAGAGAGCGAAGCTAGAAGTTCCTTCTGCTCCTTTTGAAGGACTCTGCAATGGTGGCCCCTCCCTCCCCACCTTTGTCATGTCACTGAGGAAAGTGGCAGGAACCAAGGGGAAAAAGTTGAGTCTGCGAGGCACTCATGAACACTGCAAGCAGGAAGCCATGTTCCGGAGCTTTGTGCCTGCTCAGAATCTTCTGAGAGTCGGGGGAGGAGAGCGACCCACCAGGGTCAAGCGTGGACCCTGTATTTAGCATAGAAACCTAGAAAGAGGCTGGGTGGTAGTGGAAAATGCCTTTATCCTCAGCACTTGGGAGGCAGAGGCAGGTGGATCTCTGTGAGTTCAAGGCCAGCCACTCTACAGAGTGAGTTCCAGGACAGCCAGGGCTGTTAAAAAACCAGAAAACAAACAAACAAAAAGAGAAACCTAGAAAGATGAACTGATGGACAAGACCCTCTTCAAACATGGGGACTCAGATTTGCAGCCTCCATGCCCTCTCCAGTTTTTGGTTTGATGTCAGCCCTTCTGTATAGGGAGGGCAGGGCAGTAGGAAGCAGAGAGGAGGGGCCCTGAGGCCAGGATTCCCCAGTCTCATTAAGGCATGAAACAAATGTGCTAGGACAAAACACAGACGACAGATCACAGTAAGTCGGGTGGGTGGGGGAGGGGTGACATCCTGGAAGGTCCAGGTGGGTCCTCAGGGCAGGCTGGCAATGTCTCTCTCTGGAGGTGGGCCAGCTGGCTTTGGGCTGCTCTCATTGGCTTTTCCTTCAAACATCATGACCCTGGTTTAGAGATGAAGAAAAGAAAACAAAATCAAAGGGTTAGAACTCCTCCTCTCATATAGAGATCTCCCCAATCTTGATTCTGCAGGATACTCAACAAAATGCCCTCAAGGCTATTCTGGGAAGAACCTCACGAAAGGTCACGTGGGCAGCTGTGTGGAAGGCGCTGGTGATCCTATTTCACAGAGGGAAACAGTGGATCAGGAAGAGGCAATGGGACTCCTCAACTGCTCAGGCAGTCCCAAGTAGAAGAAGCGACAGCCTTTTAGGCCTCTGGCTTCCAAGCCTGTGCCTTTCTCTATCCTAGCTGTCTGGGGAAGAGTGGGTTGGGCCAGAATTCTGCTCAAGAATCCCATTAGGTCTTTAAAAAACTCCCATTGACTGGTCGGTGGTAGTGATGGCAAACAGATCTCTGTGAGTTCCAGGCCAGTCTGATCTCCAAAGCAAGTTCCAGGACAGCTAGAGCTACATAATAGAGAGGGCCCATCTTGAAGAAGGAAGGAAGACCTACCCTGTCTCAAGAAAACAAAACAAAAAACCCATCCCCACTGTGCTACAACTCCAGTCCACTCTGTGAAGGAGACAATGTAGGATTGATGGGGGATGTCCTTCTGTATATACGTTTCTCTTATTTGTTGATAAATAAAACACTGATTGGCTAGTAGTGAGGCAGGGCTTCGAGATGAGGAGAATTCTGGGGAGAGGAGAGAGAAAAAAGGTGGAGAGACACCATGCTGCTGAAGGAGTAACATGCCGATTACAGGTAAACCACAGCCTCATGGCAATACATAGATTAATAGAAATGGGTTAATAATTAAGACAGAGCTAGCCAATAAGATGCCTGATCATCAGCCAAATAGTTTATAATTAATATAATTAATATAAGTTTGTGTGTGCTTATTTGGGGCTAATCGGTTGGGGGGACCAGGCAGAACAGAAACCTCCATCTTCATAGGTTCAAAACGTAACCTTTCAGGGAGACTGCATTTTAGTGTTGGCCTACTGCTTCATGCTGAGTGACTCAAGACAAACACTCAACCTCTGAGTGTTTATTCAAAATGGGTTGGGGATCCAGTACTGTGACCTCCTTGGGCCTCAATGAATGTCTTGAATGAGTGTGTGCATGTGTGTAAAAGCCAGAAAAGTCTTTGGAATCACTCTTCAGTCACTGCCTCTTTTTCTTTCCTTTTCTTTTCTTTCCTTTTTCTTTTCTCTCCTTTCCTTTCCTTTTTTGTTTCCTTTTTCTTTAAGGCAGGGTCTCTTGATGGTCTGAGACTTATCAAATAGGCTGCCTGGAGACCAAACCCCAGGGTTCTACCTGTCTCTGTCCCTTTTTTGTTTGTTTGTTTGTTTGGTTTTTGTTGTTGTTGTTGTTTTGAGACAGGGTTTCTCTGTATTGCTTTGGTGCTGGGACTAAAGGCATGCACCATCAATGCCCGGCTATCCATTTTTTAAATGGCATTCTTGTCCATTTTTTAAATAGCATTTTGTTATACTTCTCTCTCCTTTTATTTATTATGTACACAATATCCTGTCTGCATGTATGCCTGCAGGCTAGAAGAGGGTACCAGATCTCATTACAGATAGTTGTGAGCCACCATGTGGTTGCTGGGAATTGAACTCAGGACCTCGGGAAGAGCATTTCTCCAGCCCCTGTCTCTGTCTTCAGGCACCAGGATACATGCCACTATACCAGTTTGGTTCTGGAACCAAACTCATGCATGCCATTCCATTTCCTGACTGAGCTGTCTCCCTAGCAACAAGCTCCTTCATTAATCGAGGAAAGTATAGTCCTAAAGAGGCTTAGATGTTTGCCATCGGCTGAACACTAGACAGAAATTACCATGCCACCTCACTAGCCCTCAGGACGATGCTTCATGTGCAACCATCACCACTTTCAACAGAAGACACAGAATCAGCCAGCAATCCTGGCTCCTGCAAGGTGGAGGCAGGATTCCAAAGCTGAAGCCAACCTGAGCTATACAGGAAAACACACACACACACACACACACACACACACACACTCACACACACTCACACACACACAAATATGGACATGGATAAACAGGCATACACATACAAGAAGAAAAGAAGCCAAAATTCAAGGACCAAAGATAACCTGTTCAGGGTCATTAGGGAACAAGTAACAGTGTCAGGATTAAAACTAGAGTTGACTTTTTTAGGGAGGGAATGATGAAGGGGGGTTAAGATAGATAGGTCTCAGGTAGCCCAGGCTGGCCTTAAAATTGCTATGTAGGTGAGGATAGCCTTGACATTCCTGTCCTTCCTGCATCTACTGCCTTAGTGCTAAGAATACAGAGGTGCCATACCATGCCCAGCTAGAGTTGATTACAGACTCTGTCAACTACCAAACACCAAAGGGAGTAGGAATATGCTTTACAAATGAGGAAACGGGTTCAGAACATGTTAACAGTAGGGGTTGGGTGTAACAAAATGGTTAGAGCATTTTCCTGCTATGTACAAGGCCCTGGATTTGATCCCAATCATCTCATACAAAAGGAAGGAAGGAAGGGAAAGAGAAGAGAAGAGGGAGGAAGAGAGGGAGGGAGGGGTAACCATAGTCAGGTCTAATATGGTATTGCCTATAACTTCAACACTTGGGAGGCTGAGGCAGGAGGATTGACACAACTTTTGAGGCAAGCCAGGGATCCATGGTAACTGACCAACCAGGGTTACTTGGCGGTACAGTTAAGACTCTGAAGACTCTATCTCAAAAAACTTTTTTAAAAAGCCAGGCAGAACACACCTCTGACCACAGCATTCAGGAGGTAGAGGTAGGTGGATTTCTATGAGTTTGAGGCCAGCCTGGTCTACAGAGTGAGTTCCAGAAACAGCCAAGGCTGCATAAAAAAACAAAACAAAACAAAACAAAAAAAATGACATCATTTTTGTCATTCGTGAAGCCTTCAATCTTGGGGTTTACCATGCACCCCAATGCAAGCTAATCTCTCCAAGTAAGGAAAACAGGCTCAGAAAACTCCAGCTCCTCATTCAGCAGGTAGCACAATGAATTGTCCACCCACTAAGAGATGGCAAAGGTGTCCTCCACCTGAGGTCTCTCCCCACAGGATGTCCTTGTCTCTGAGATCCCATGGGGTGAGGAGGTACTCACAGTTTAAGGACAGCTGACCGTTTGCCCAGCATCATATTCACAAAGTCTCGGTAGGAGATGGTGTCACTGATACCCCCTGTCACCTCCGAGATCATCTTCTTCATCTCTAGGTGGGTCTTGGGGACCCCCAGCTTCTCCATCATCCTCTTTAAAGACATAAGATCTGCAAGGAGGAAAAGCAGATCTGTTGAGTGGAGATAGGACACTGAGGCCCTGCAGAGAGCCAGAGATGACCCATTTCTATACAGCACAGTTAACAGTGACCTTTCCCTGTGGGACTGTAGCCAGTGATGAGTCCCCTGGGGAGACAGTAAAGGCTAGTACGTGGGGACCTGGGCTTCTAGAGTCAGACTGAGATCAAGCTTCACTCCTCTTGGCTGGGATGCCTAAGGAAGACTGCTTCATCTCTCTGGGATGAGAGATGACACATGTCTATTACCCCAGCAGCTGGAAGGCTGCGGCAGAAGGATGACTGCAAGTTTTAAGCTAACCTAGGCTACATAATGAGGAAGGTCTAGGGAGATGGCTCAATCAATAAGTTGTGCAAGCATGAGGAACTGAGTTCAAAGCCGCAGAGCCCAAATAAATACTCAGGCACACTGGCACAAGCCTGTGATCCCAGGGATGGGGAGACAGAGACAAGAGATCCAGCAGACTAACTGGCCTTCCAGCCTAGCCAAATCTATAAGCCTCAGGTCCAAAATAAACAAACAAATAAAGAGGAAAGCAATTTAAAAGACCCTGATGCCAACCTCTAGCTTCTATACACAACCACACAGGTGCACATGTATATGTGTGCCCACACACTTGAACACACATGCAGATGCATACACACAATCGGTTTGAAGGAAAAAGAAAAGGGAAGAAATGGTTATTAGGCTTATGCAGACATGATATATTCCATGGTCTCCCAGCAAGTCCTCTGCATTAGGGTGAGTCAAGGTGCCTGGGAGTTAGCCTGATCCTGGGCATTGAAAGTCAAACTTTCTCTGGCACAGCACAGCAGAAAACATTGCCATCTGCCACTTCCATTCTGCTGTTGTAGGACTCTCCCGAGGCTAGAAGGGACAGGGAGCCAAAAATACCCCTCAGAGCAGGAAAACAAAAGGACAAAATAGAAGGAAAATAAGGGAGGTACCAGAAAGTCATCCCACCCCAGGGCCTCCCAACATCTGAAGCTATTTCCTGGGAATTGTTCACAGTGAACAATGGATCACCAAACCAGGGGCAGATCCTGGGACTGTGAGCAGGGCTGAGGTTGGCAGCACTTGTGCAAGACCCATAGCTGCTAGGCTTTTCAGGCTTTTCTGTGGAAAAGAGCTCAGGACACACACACCGCCCACCAAACTTCAAACTGATAAGAGACACGTGGCATGAGGCTGCCAAATGCCCTTTCCCATTGTCTGTCTCTCAGTGAGACAGACAACCAGTGAGGGGACCAGATCCATCTAGAGAGGTGGTCGCTGTGAGCTGATCAATAGCAGTTAAATTAGAAAATAGTAGGTTGATAAGATAGCTCAGCAAGATGGGTGAAGGTGCCTGCTGCCAAGTCTGACACACTGAGTTTGATCCCTGGGACCCACACAGTAGAAATAGGGACTTGACTCCCTCAAGTTATCCTCTGGCCATCAAACACATGCCATAGTGAACCAGCCCCACCATAAAACAACCAAGCAATAAATGTAATTTAAATTTTTTAAAATTCAGAAAGAGTAACCCAAATGTGGCACTGCATGCCTGTAAGTGCACGCCTGTGCCCCAGAAAGGCTGAGGAAGGAGGATTGCTTGAGGCCAGCCTAAGCTACATAGTGCATTCTAGGTCAACGCTGGCCAGAAAAACCAAACAAAAACCCAAAAAACCCGCTGAAGACACAGCTTAGTTGGTAGAGTGCCTAGTATACATGCAACCCTAGGTTCCATCCCTTACCCCATCCATATAAAAGTGAGCAAGGTAGTGCATGCCTGTAATACCTACACTGGGACAGACAACAATCGGACAGTCCCAGACATCCTCAGCTACATACGAGTTACAGGCCAGCATGGACTACCAAGAGACCTGTCTAAAAACAAAAACATGAATTCATCTAAAGTCTGAAATTCTAAATGGTAGCTCTTCAGATGCTGGCTGAATGCCTTTGAGGCCATTCACACAATGGAATATCTTAAGTAGGGACAGAGCTACAGAGAACCTGTTTAGCAGCAAATGCTGGGGCTGAGCCCACGCCTCAACACTGGGGGCCCACCAAATTCTTTCACTTCTCTGAGTCTTGAATTTCCCAACTACAAACTGAGGGTGATTGAGCATCCAGGACGATGGCCCAGCCCTGCCAGTGAAGATCAAACTACAGTTTCCCACCAGGATGTGTGCCTGGGACTTTTGTGTTTCTATCAACCCAGCACCTTGGTGGTAGAAAGCAATGGGCTCTGCTGGAGGTGAGAGGCAGTTTCTCCACTCCTTGTCAACTGCAGGACAAGGGACAACAGCAAGCACAAAACAGATTTGGAGAGAATGAAGAAGCAGTCCAGGAGTCAAGGAGACTCCACAGGCCTGGTTGGGATGAAGCTCTAAGCCCTAGGGTGGACGCTGGAGGAATCCAGCACCATGAGGAGTCTCAGGTAGTGGAGCTAGGCCAAGAGATGGAAGGAATCAGGGTGGGCTTGGCTTGAGGCAGGATAGAAAGATAGAAGATGAAGGGGTTTGAGGAGGGAAAGGAATCCCTTGGCCCTGAGGATATGCCTTAAGTCAGATAGTGTCAGAGTCAATAGTTTCAACCCAAATGACAAAAAGAAAAAGAAAAAGAAAAAAAAAATACTCTGTGAAGATTGTCTGCATAGAAGCAGCATTCTGTTCCCTGAGAGATTCCTATCAGACACACAGAACAGCCAGCCAGCCATGCTCACCATCAGAATGTGTGTGAACCCTGAGGTTAACTTTAGCAGCATACTCTGTTGTTTGTTCTGAGAAAACTCTCCCAGACAAGATCACAAGCCTTGTTCACAGTCAGAACATGTCTTGACCGCCTAGTAACCTGTGTATAGTAAGAATTCCATTGACCTCTGTGACCTACAAATTTATCTTTTTAGCCCACTAAGTCTGTATAGTACACTCATATAACTTGTAAAATCACTTAGGAAAAGACCAATTCTTCATGTAGGAAGTATGCAAAAATATTTTTTACTTAATCCTTTAAACTTAGATATTGATTATACCATTTAAATAAAGCAATCTTAAAGGTCACCAAAATCATATAGACAGCTATTGTTAAGCTACTCCTCTCTTGGAAGCTTCTGTTTTGTTATGTGTTTGTGTGTGTGTTTATGCACACGAGTGCAGTGCCCACAGAGGCCACTAGTAGGCGCAAGATCCCCAGGAGCTGCAATAACAGTTGTCTGTAAGCCGCCTTATATGGGTGCTGGGAACCAAACTTGGTTCCTCTGCAACTGCTGAGACATCATTCCAGCCATGTTTATTTTTATGTGTGTGAGTGTTTTGTATGTGCTCTGTGCGTGCTGTGCCCTCAGAGGCCAGAAGAGGGTGATAGATCCTTTGGAACTAGAGTTATGGTGAGACACCACGGGACTGCCAGAAAATGAACCCTAGTTGTGAGCAAGGGCAGCCAGTGCCTTTAATCACTAAGTCATCTCTCCAGCACCCCACTCCCCCTTATTTTTTTTTAATTAAGTGAATTTGGAATTTACTAAAAGGTTTTTAACATGGATTCAAACGTGATCATCAAGAGGAGGTGATATCAGGTACAGTGGGAAACCCTTCTACAGACAGGTGGATCTCTATGATTGCAGGCCAGCCATGACTACACAGCAAAACCATGTGGAAACTTAAAAAACAAAACAAACAAACAAACAAAAAAAAAAAACAACAAAAAAAAAAAAAAAAAAAAAAAAAAAAAAGGAAGGAGGGGAGAGAAAGGAAGGAAAGAAAGGGCCTATAGCTGGCATAATGGCTGAGTAGGCGAAAGCACCTGCCACCAAGCCTGACAACCTGTCTGATCCCCAATCCCCAGAACCTATGTGGTAGAAGAGAACAGACTCCTGTAAGTTGTGAGTTGTGTGTCCCCACACTTACAACAATTCATTCTGAATTTTTTTTTTTTTTTTTTGGCTGTGTTAACCAAGCTCCCAGTGCCCCCCTCAGTGGAAGTCTCTGAAAAGAATTCAGTATTGCCTTGTGTCCCCTGCAGCTAGTGACAGGGTAGCTGGGCCATTGGTCCCATTAGGGAAATATTAGGGTGTTCTTCAGTGCCCCTCACCAGACCAGCAAGACTCTCTAGGTCTCAAACCTTGATACCAAGGTTTCACTCACCAATCTCGCCTTCATTGTTCAGGTCAAACTCCATGTATTTCTCTGGAAATCACAAACAAAAGCTGCTGTTAGTTTGGAAGCCACGGTTCCCCCTGCACAGTCCAGTGACTCCCTAGAAAGCGCTGACTAAATCCTTGGGGAGCCCTTGACACCCTCCCCAGCCCAGAGGTCCAGTCATCTTAGCTCTTGTCTTTGGGAGAACCAAAAACTTTTCCTAATACCAGGCAGACAAGAATCATCTATGAGGCAACTATAGTACATGTTGGTAGTCATGTCTCCTAATGATCACAGGGTTCCTTTGTGGCTAAATATGCTAGAGGCTCCAGTTCAGTTGTTCCTAATGTACAATGGCACCCACAGACCACCCCCTCCCACATAAACACAGGGTCTGCATCCTCAAAAGATCAAACGTCATTACATTATATTATATTACTTATATACATTATATTATCCATATACATAATACATACTATTACTGCATTGTGGTGTTGATACTAGCCTCCCTTGTGGGATTTTCAATTGACTCATGGGAAGAAATGTCCTAAAATGCAGATTTGATCTGCAATGATTTGGATTTCCTCTCCCCATAAATATGCCACCCACCTCATGAATATTCATAAACTTCTTTGTATTCTACAAAGCAAAAGCCCACTCCAATCTCTCTTTGGAATGTTTGCTTTGCTTCGCCTTGATAAATCAAGTTCTGTTTAAACTGTCTACATCTCTTGGTTGAAGTGTGTGTGTGTGATGTGTGTGTCTGGGCATGCATGTGTGTGGAGACCAGAGAACCACTTTGAGATGTCAGGTCTCTTCCCTGTTTCCATGGGTTCAAGGCATTGAACTCGGGTTGAGGGGGAGAGGGTTGTGGCCAGTGCTTTTGTCTGCTGAGCCATCTTGTCATTACAGGATGGAATTCTTTCAAAAAGAAGCAGAATATATGATATTCCTGCTTGCACCACTGACTTGCAGGCACCCCGAGGGAAAGGCAGCAACGGGCTATGCTGACCCTGAGGAAGAAGGCAGCTTCCTCAGAGTAGGCTGCAAAGGGAAACAATTATGCCCTTGGAGACTTGGACCTAGGGGTGTAGGGAGGGTGGTGGGGCAAGCCTTGGGGTGCCTCCAAGAATCCCAGGACCTGCTGATGAGCAGGTACTACAGAAAACCTGGCTCTGAAACTGAGAGATGGATCCAGGGCCCACCCTAGTTCAGAGATGCACATGCACATGTGGGACCTTCCCCAAAGCCTGCTGACTTTCCCATAGCAACTCCACAGCAAGCAAAGGTGGTGGGAGCCAGCTTGATATCTTCTGACCAGGGGAGTGTGTCAGCAAGCTCTTATGTAGCTTTTGACATGTCACCCCTACCTCAACAGAGCAGGCCCTCGTGCCCCCCACCCCCAAGCTGGTCCCTCAGCCTGGAGTGTCCTTCCAGGTATGCTCGGGCCCCTCCTCAGAACTTCACCTTCCACTGTAATGGGCCTGGTACCCAGTGAGCACCCATCTGGGTACAAAAGGATAAATGAATGGCTTGAGGACCTTTGGGTCTCTCCTCTTCCAACTAAACTATACTTCCCTAGGACTCCCTGTTCAACACACCCAGCTTCACGTCCCAATGAAGATGCGACTTCACACCTGAAGAACCTGTTTTCCTTTCTAGATGCTCCCACAATGTGGGATGGGCCCCTGTGTCCTTTGCATACCTCTCCTGCAGGCCTGCCATGCTCCCAACTCCATGACTTATCAGTTGAGACTTGGGGCTCTAGAGACAGGCTGACAAGAGTTTAAATCTCAACTTGGCCCTAAGTGAGCTATGTGGCCCTCTGCCAATAACCGTACCTCCCCAACCCTGAGTTTACTGGTCTGTAAATCAAGTTTCACCATCTGCCCCCTAATGGATGGGGAAGAGAGGTCAGCTGGGCACATTGGCTGTTGTTGAACAGGGCTGACACGCAGCACCTGCCGGCCATTATTAATTTTACTGTCATCTAAGTCCTGGCCAAGATAACTATGTTGTGAGCCAAACGAGGCAGGCAAGGCACATTGGCAGGTACTTGGCCTTGGAATGGGAAGGATGCCCAAACAGCAAGCTTGGGAGAAGGATGGGACCTCCTGGATACCCTCTGTAGAGCTCAGGGTTCCCATCCCCCAAGTGCACCCCCAGAGGCAGGAAAGGTGGGTCTGCCCACTCCTTGCATGCCCAGGCTCCTCTCCTTTCGAGCCACTGGCAGAGGACCAAGCACCAGAGCCCCGAACAGAGGAACCTTTATACTGCCCCTCTTCCCGCGCGGGCTCCTGAGCCCTGTTTTCTTTTCATCCTGCGCTGCTGGGATTCAATGGGCAGAAACTTTGCCCCCCCCCCTGCCTCACTGTAGCCACACAAATGTCTATTCTCCACAGGGGCTCCTGAGAGGCTCCACCAGGGAGGGGGAGATGCAAGGACAGCTCACAAAGGGCAGATTGTGTGCTGGGCTCTGGGAGTGCACAGGGCCTGGATGGGAGGAGAGGAGACAACCTGAGCCACACTGGGCAGCCACGGAGCAGAGGGCACAGTCAGATCAGGCCTGCTCCTGCCTCTTGGGGGACCCATCTCAAAGCCTGATGGGAAGTGCAGCATTCTGGATGAATCAGAACTTCAGCCCAGTCCTGTGTGCCATGGACTGAGGGAGCAGCCAGTTCTAGGGGCAGTTGGGCAGACAGCCCTGGCTCACCTTTGAAAGCTGCGAGCTTTTCTGGCAGGTTCTCTTCATCGCTGTACTTCTGGTCACAGAGGAACTCCTACAGAGGTGAGACCACAGTACTGAGCCAGGGCTGGGGGCAAAGGTCACCTATAAGCAACCCATGCAGGGTTCATCCCAGCCTCCTGTGACTTGTCAAGGCAGATCCACAGTCACCCTGGTGGTAGGAAGTGCTCTCTGCAGCTTGCGGGCAGGGCTTACCAGGGGCTCTACTCTAGGGGACTGAACATCTTTAAGGATGTGCCCTGTGCTATCCCCAGGACACCAAACTCCCAGGATCCGGGAAGCTGTGCACTCCTGAGACAGTTACCAAATGACCTCTGTGTATTCACCGGACCATTAACTTCCCCCCCACCCTCAGGTGAGCATCAAGGCTGATCTAGTCCTTGAGTCTGCAGGGTAACATGAGAGCAATGAGTGGAGTTCAGTGACTAAGGTTACCCTTACGAGACCCTTACCTCCACCCTCCCTGTAAAATGAGGGTTAATCCCTGGTGTGCTTTGCTTCCCTTCAGAAGCTACAAAAGACAAACATTCCTTTCAGAGCCAAATGGGTACTGTGGGCAGTTACAGGGAGGACCCAAGGGTAACAGCAGCCTTCAGGGGTGCTCAGGTACACTTGTTTCTCTTCAGACCTCCCAGCAGCCTCAGGAGGTCTGTTGTAAACTGGGGAAACTGATGAGCATACAGTAAGAAAAACTGCCGAGGGCAACCATTTGAGCTACCTTAAGCCACAGCACTGAGAGATTCGGAGTGCAGGCATTCTTCACATCTCTTTTTTTTTTTTTTAATAATTTAATTTTATTTTCTGTGCATTGGTATGAAGGTGTCAGATACCCTGGTACCAGAGTTACAGACAGTTTATAATTGTCATGTGGGTGCTAGGATTTGAACCCAGGTCCTCTAGGAAGAGCAGTCAGTGCTCTTAACCACTGAGCCATCTCTCCAGCCCTCAGGAACCCCCCATCTTAAAACAAAAAGCTATCCCAGCTCTTGGGAGACTGAGGCAAGAGAATAGCAAGTTCAAGGCTAACCTGGGCTATGTATCAAGAGTCTGACTTAAAACAACAATACAGGGCTGGAGAGATGGTTCAGCATCTGAGTGTGCTGGCTGCCCTTGCAGAGGACCCAGGGTTCAGTTACCAGCACCCACATGGCAGCTCACTACCACGTGTAACTCCAGTTCTAGTCCATCTGACTAGCCTCCATGAGTACTGCATGCACATGGTGCACAGACATACACATGGGCAAATATTCACACACACACACACACACACTTTTTAAAAAAAAAAAAAACAACACCCAAAACTATTCTATCTATAAGTGCTTTCACCTGACAGGACAGGGGCAGTATCAAGCTAGGCATCTGGATAGAGCAGGCATGTTCCCATCCAACTGTTTAGACTCTGTTATGCACTGTTTCCTGTGGACCACACCTCCATTTATCCATTCATCCATTCATTCACTGGGCGTCTCCTGAGGGACCACAGCCTGAATGCATTTATACTGTGCTGCATTTAGGCATGCAGGGGCAGTGAAATAGGGTGGATAAAAGTTCCCATCCTAGAACTACACAGGGTTGGAGGGGCTAGGGAGAAGGCTCAGCTGGTAAAGTGTTTGCCACACAAGCATGAAGACTGGAGTTATATCCCCGGTACCAAGTCTAAAGTCAGGCCAGACAGCATGTGCCTGTAATTCCCAACACTTCTAAAGTACAGGTAGGAGGATCTCTGGGGGCTTGCTGGCCAAACAACTTAGCCGAATCTCTGAGCCCCAGGTGTCAAACAAGCAAAGGAGACAGCTCCTGAGGAAAGACTCCAGAGCAAGGTTGACCTCTGACCTCTACACACATGGACATACATGTACATATACATGTATGATGGGAGATGTCATTCTGTAAATATGTTTCTCTTATTGGTTAATAAATAAAGCCCTGTTGGCCAATAGGAAAGCAAGATAGGCGGGACTGGGAGACAAGGGGATTTGGGGGAGAGGTAGAGGGAGATTAAAAATGTAGGACTGAGAGAGAAGAACTCCGGACCCTCTCTCTGGTAAGATAAGACCACGTAAAAATACTTAGATTAATAGAAATGGGTTAATATTTGAGACAGAGCTAGCTGATAAGAAACTCTAGCTTCTTATCGGCTTTATATCTGGTACAGTGTCTCTGTGTGTTATTTGGGGCTGACATGGCTATGGGACCAGGCTAGGGGGAAAACCTGCTCATAACACATGTATGCATTCACATACCTAGTAACACTCAGATAAGATGTGCCGAACTGTTTCTAAATTCCAGATGTCATTTCCCACTAAATGATGCCAGCCTGTATGCACACATCTGGAGAAGGAGAGCTCACGTCCCTCAGGTCTATTGTGAACCGGACAAAGAAGACAGACCAGACCTTCTGCAGCTCAGAAGGTCTGCTTACCTTAGTATGCTCAGAGTAGGGGACAACCACCTGCATGTGGCTCCCCTCCTTGGGTCCAGAAGGGCTCATTTGGCTAAGCATCGACTGTGATCGGTCGGCATCGCGTTATCTTATTAAATCCCCCAGCCATGCACATTCTGATTCTACAGGCTGGAACTCAACAAGAGGGTTACATGAACACTGAGGAGCTCTGCCCAGTCCCAGGACCCAGCGGCTCCACCCACTGCCACCTAGCTGGAGATGGAGTCTTCTCCCTAAAACGCCAGGGCCGTCCCCTTCCTGCTGGCTTTATGGAGAGTGGCTTTTCCTCTGCACTCCCTCACGTAGCCTTTTGCCAAGCTCCCCCATTACCATACCAAAAGTGGGACAACTCACTCTTGCTGGTGACCCCAGCAAACCAAGTAACTCTCAGGGCCCTGATCGCTCACCTGTACATTTAAGGACAGGTTAGGTCAGTGGCTTTTAGACTTCGAGGCAAGGAAGACAAAGGGCATTAAAAAGGGGAGGGCCCCTAATTAGGTCTGTCAACTTTCTCCTTTGCCAAGCGAAGGCTTTTAAAACAATGACTATGGACAGTTACCACGAGTGCAGCCGCCAATCAGTTCTGAATGTTAACATGGCATCTGCTTAGCTCACTTCTAACTCACTGTGTCTCCGTGTCTTGTCTGCATCACCAATGCCTGGAAAGCCTTATGGAGTGAAGTGTATAAAAAAGCACAAGCGAGGGGTTGAAGAGCCGGCTCAGTAACGTGCTTGCCATGCAAGCCTGAGGGCCTGAGTTCAATCCCCTGCAACGGATAAAACCAAGGTGTAGCAGCACACATCTGGAGCCTAAGTGCTGGGGAAGTAGACACAGGAGGATCCCTGGGGCTCATCCGCCCTGGGGCTCATGAGCTCCAGGTTCAGTGGGAGAGCCTGTCTCAAAAAATAAGGTGGGCAGGGAGGTGGTGGTGCATGCCTTTAATCCCAGCACTTCAGAGGCAAGGGGGCCTGTATGGGTTCAAGGCCAGACAGTTCCAGGCCTAGAGAGATATACAGTGAGACCCTGTCTCAAATCTCTCTCTCTCTCTCTCTCTCTCTCTCTCTCTCACACACACACACACACACACACACACACAGAGGACCAGCATATGGTACCTCAGAGGGCCTGCCCTGCTCCTACACTATGTGGCCAGTCAGAAGTTCTGCCCATCACAGCCTGTCTGCAGTACTAGCTGTCCTCTACCTCCTCAGACAAGACAGTCAGGCAGGGCTGGGAGCAAGGGCAAGGTACACATTGCAGAAGAGGTCAACAACATCTCCCTTTCACCGGACTTTCAGATTACACTCAGAAGATGCAGCAGGGGTGGGTATGTGTTTTGATGGCCTCCTTTATGCAGAGAACATTTTTAAAAGCACAAATTTCCATCTTTTATATCATTCAATTAATGTGTGCCCCTCGGCCAGGGGTGGCACACGCCTTTAACCCCAGCACCCGGGAGGCGGAGGCAGGTGGATCTCTGTGAGTTTGAGGCCAGCCTGGTCTACAGAGTTCCAAGACAGTCAAAGATACACAAAAACCCCTATTTCAACCCCTCCCCCAAGGAAAGGAAACAAAATGTGTTGCCCTCCCATCTCTTGCCCCTCCATAATCCGAGCCTATTTTCCACACCACCTCCTATCTATTGAGCTCATTCCCACCCCAGCTCTGTCCCTCTGTAGAGTGAACTTCCTCCACACATCTGCAAGATTCTCCCCCTCATGTCAAGACTTGGATCTCCAAGGCTCTATCCCAAGCTACCTACTTAACATGACACAGCCTGGCCACCAGTCTGCCTTCACTTCCAATCCACGTGACAGTGCTCTGATTCTTCTGTCCCATGGAATGAATGGTCCCTACAGCTGCTGCTGCTCTCTTCAGATACTGCCCATTGCCCAGCTGCCCTTGTGAGGACACAGGGTATGCAGAGCCAGTGTTCAGTTAAGGGTTTGGGGAGGACTGGGTGGACAGAGACCCTGAGAACAACTTCCCCAGTCTCATCACTAGCAAGTGGCTGAGCTGGGAATGAGCTCCCATGCCAGGTAGCCTTTGTGCTCGATCACAGCTGGAGAGCAGAAGGCATATTTGGAAGTAGGTATGGAGATGTGGATCCCAGAACTTTATCAGTTTGTGCCCTCTGATGCTAGCTGGCCAGCCTTCAACTTTGACTGGACTTGGAGTTGCCATGGAAACACCTCAGAAGGAATGTCTGTGAAGGTGTTTCCTGAGAGGTAAAGCAGAGAAAGGAAGACCCCACCCTGAATGTGAGCAGTCCCCCAGAGGGACCTGGAGCCCTAGATTAAATAAAAAGGGAGAAAGGAGGCAGCGGCAGCGCCTGTTTCCTGCCTGCAGACGAATGTGACCAGCCACTTCATGCCTTCCCGCTAGGACGGGTGTCCCTTAAAACTGTGAGGCAACATGAACCCTCCCTTCCTTAAGCTGCTTTTGATAGATATTTTGTCCCAGTCATGAGAAAAAAACATACAGTGGCCAGCACCCTACAGTGGCCAGCCTAGAGCAAGCATTCACTGGGTCAACAAGTGTTTATAAAATGCAGAAACCTGCCATTTGTTCCCACTGTTTCCTCCAGACT